AGAACCGATTTGTTGCACGTCTGAGATTCTAAGATACTCCATCTTCAACTGGATATTACAATTGAATAAAAAAACGAAATCACTTTGTAAACTAATATAATAATTTAGAAATAGATAAATTATCTTTCTACTATATAGTCTAGATAGAATAGTACATTGTTCATTTTTAGTATTATTTCAAAGTGAAAACTATATTTTTGAGTCTTCTAAACCAAAGACTTTAGTGATGTTCATTGAAATTCTATTTGTTGCATATCTGAGCTTTGGAAACACCCTATCTTCACTTCACCACCAAGATTGAATAAAGAGATATCATTAATTAAAAACCTAGTACAATGTACATAAAGAAGTAAAATTATCTATTATTGAAAATGGAAAAAGTGATATTGAATGGTTGGTTTTAAACTTCATTTTAAAGTCAAAACAAAGGTTTTGCATAGGGAAATTTGTGTGTTTTTGCGATGTTCATGTCCGGTCCATTCCAGACACTACATTTTCACTTGAGCACTCCAAGGCATTAAATCTATTTGAAAGCCTCAAAGTTTGACTTATAAGCTTAAATGATGCGAAGTCATTTTGATATGAAGATATTGGAGGGCAATATTGAGTGCTTGATTTTGTGATATTTACCATAGGGATATTTTGAGTTGGTGTGGAAGTATGATTGCTAGTGTGCGATGCAATGCATAATCTCCTAAGCTGCCATTTCCAAAACTACTACATGTCAGGTAAGAAGTGATCGAAGCTCCTGTGAGTCTATACAGGGCTAGAATATCAGTAGAGATAAAAGATAAATGATAGATAATTGATTTTGTATCCTATTCTAGAGTTAAATGAGCAAACCATGAGACATTTGAGTCGGGTTTATCTAGGCGAAAATTGAACCTTCATCAAAATTACTTTTGTTGCATATCTGATCTTTTTGAGACACTATTTCGAATCTTGTACCATATCTACCTCAACATTTCTGATAGACTTGCAAGGTGGTAAAAGTATTAAAAAGAAGCATACCTATCTTTTTATCAAGACATTGAAGAGTAATATTTAAGTTCTAATTTTATATCGTATTTTGAAGACAAGGGAAACTTTTTTGGTTGTTTAGAGGAAGCGGTTTTGGCGATGAAGCGTGACTCCTAAGGGAATTGTCAAGTTGAAGTATTTTTATTGTTGTGAATGTGCCACACCACCAATTCCCATAAATTCCAGAGCTTATGGAGGCGTATGGGACAGTACGTTTACTATCTATTCCCAAGATAATCTTGGAGGTTACGAAGATCTCAAGACAAGATGTCAAGTTTATCAGCTGCACAATTTCACAAAGCACAGAATTCATCCCCAAACCCGGGTCAGGTTTTCTTTTATTGATCATCACTACTTTTTGCACAAACTGCAGTATAGAAATTTGAAGATAAACCAAGAATAATGCAAGAGAATAATACAAAGGGCAAACGAGAGAGTGAGTGAGGTAAATGAAGTAATACAAAATGACCATGCCGCTACGAGTTGTATAACAATCCAACTTATCGTATAAATAGTCCTTTTCTGATCCTTATGGCACCATTTTCTTCAACGCAGTCTCTCCCGTGCCCGCACCAAAAAAGATAAAAAACAAACAAATATCAGTACTGTGCACCTTTCATTTCCAAGCATGAAACCCAACTATATATTACAAAAAAACTTAATGAATGAATCAAGCAGATCTACTGCCGAGCAAGCATATCGCGAACCAGTTTGAGAGAGCTGAAGAGAAGGTTGGCAAGGGTTTGGCGGATATGAGGCGATGAGGAGGTTCGAGTGTGGTGAATGCCAATGTTATCGAGGGTCTGCGATATGGTACGGGGATATGCTTGCTAATAAGCTGTACAATGCGAATGTGGTCGGTAAACTATATAAAACAAAAAACGGCAAACGATATAAAACAAAGAATTCTAATGAATGAATCAAGCAGATTGACTGCCGAGCAAGCATATATCGCGAACTACTTTGAAAGAGGTGAAGAGAAGGTTGGCAAGGATTCGGTGGATATGAGGGATGAGGAGACGATACGACTGTTGTGAATGTCGAAGGTATGCCGAGTGTGGTAAATGACAACGGTATCGAGGGTATGCGATATGGTACGGCGATATGCTTGCTAAGCTGTATTATGCGGGTGTGGTCGGTAAACATTTTAAAAGACATGCTAAAAGGTGTCATGCATACATGCATATGTATGTCGAGTGTTATCCGTGCTTGTTGAGCTGAATGGCTTCTCAATCTGAGTTAGAAAGGAAGGCACAACCGCGCGCTTCCTCATCTGATTGACTGAAAACTTCTTGAGAACTCGAAAAATTTAAAGGTTCGATATCCATATCTGGCATTCGTCTCAAGACGGGCCTTGTCTGTCCCGTATACACTGAAGCCGAATCATTCCTTCGCGGCAAGGCGGATCCAGTGATAGCAGGATACCGCGCATTCCGATCCCATTGGTCCAAAGAGTCATAAGGACTTTCCATCCACGCTCTCAACTCATGCGAGAATAATCTTGCATTCCTACCTAAATACTCCTGCAACATATTCTCCATGAAAGAAGGAACGTTCTGGAAATCCTCACTCTTCACAATATCTATAACGAGATTGAGGAGCATTTCCACTGCCACTGCCAAGTTGGCATGAGGTCTTCCAGAAGCAGACGATCGTGCTCTAACAATTGAAGCCAGTGCTTGAAGATCGCGTTCTGCAAACAGACGGACCCGACCCTGAGCGTAGGGACTATTGGCGATGACTTGAGGCGTAGCTCCCATCTGTTTGGGGAACAAGTTGGGGAAAATAGGAAGAGAATAGGCTTGATTAAAGTATATTCTTCGGCGCTGGGAAATTGGAGATGGAGGAGGCTCTTGTGAAAAAGCAGGCTCGAAAGGAATAAGCCTTGGTGAAATTATGTACTCCATGTGGTTTCCATCGGCAGAGAAATTGTGATGAATATCCGTAACACGTGTATTGCAAAGAGGACATGTCCGGCTTCTCCTAAGCCATCTTATCATGCAGCAAAGGTGGAAAGCCTGATGGTTACAAGGTTGGTTTACGGCTTGCCAGGAAACGGAATTTTCGCAGAATCTACAACCATCTGCCTCTCTTTCACATCTCGTGGAAACAGGTGTTAAGCAGATTGCGCAATCTTCATCGATCATTATAGGCTCTGCCAAGGTCGACATATTGAATTGATCCCTAAGGGTATTGTTATGTATAGTTCAATTGGACGGACGCCGGTTCTTGGTGAAAATGTATTGTAAGTTGGTTGTGACCGATGATGGAGATCTACCGGGCGCAGAATATGGGGGGGGATAGGGAATTATTATATACTTTTCTGAAAGTGATGATCGACCGGAGCTTTGTGAGCTAACACTCTAGTCTCTACCTCTACCTATTCGTCAATATCGACAACATTGAACCTTTACCCGAATAGTGTGTCACATTGATCAACAGGGTCTATATACAAAAAATGTAATTTGAAGATATAAATATTGCTTTTTCTACTAATATGAGATTTCATAATATAAAAATGATAAGATTGATTACAACCTCTCTCCAATCTACGATCTCTCAACTCATTACTATATGCCATACTATAATACTGTACTTGCTGTCGCTGTCCCTACCCTTCTTTTGGATACTTTGAAATAGATGAGTAAATTCCTCTACCTCTATCTCTAACTTTATCTCCTCTTCCTCCTCCTCCTCTTCCTCCTCCTGTAAACTTTCATTCAATCGTCTCTTTTATCACTGATAAACAATATATTGATAATAAAGGTATAAATCAATAAATCAATGACATGAAGCAAAATTACATTTTTTGTAGGCAGACCCCCTCAGTCGATGGGACGCCACCAAAGTGGCCAATCAGACAGTCAATCAGCTATTAGCTGACGATAGATATATCATCATTACCACCAACTCGCTGATATCGGTACAATTGCTGATCGGCCAATACATGATCCTTGTATATAAATGAAATTACCCTTTTCTTTGTCAATATCTCTCTCTCCCCCTTCCCTCTTCAATACTTCTTCCCCTCCACCTAATACCTTTCATATTCCTCTACCCTTCGATACCCATCTCCCCTCCCTCTCCATATCCATTCCTCCCTTCAATGCCCCCCTTCCCTCTCCCCCTTCCCCTCCCCAAAAGTAGCTGGTGCAGAAATCTTTATTACTTGTAAATATTGTAAATATTAGTGTGATGAATATTATTAGATTAACTGATAAGGAAGAGCTTCATAACGCGAATAAGTGAATTCAAGTTCAACAGGTAGTCGTAGAATTAATAGAGCCCTCTAGTTTGAATGATACAAAGTTCAAGCCAAGATGTCCGTAAATGATGATTTTGTAGAAGCTTGAGTAATTGTTATTAATAAGGGCATATGCCAAGGAAAATCTGAGCAATACATTTATCAGGAGGGACTCTCGGTTAAACACTTTATTTACAAGCTATTTCCAAACAGCCTTTAGAATGAACGGATGTACAGTCGATGCGCACTGATACTTGCCGATCGTTATTTTTATATAAAACTCGTATAAAACACTTGTAATTATTAAATAAATGAGCCTATATTTTTATAAATATTTTTATATATTGTTAAAGAATTTTATTAGAATATTAATAAGTCTTGATTGATTGTGTAATCGTTAAGGTTAATTACTCGAAATGTGAAAATTCTAAAACATTTACTGATAAAATAAATCAAAATCAAAAACTTTTTGAACACTACATCCCCGTACTTCTGTATCCCTTCAGTTATCGTAGAAATATTCAATACTTTCAGTAGTATTGAATTCTATATCATATATGAATGTATTTTCGAATTAATTAATATATGATACTGAAAGAGCCCGTATACAGAATACGGGAAATGCTAACGAAACACTAACCCTATTTCTTCTTATCATCAAAATCCATCTCAACTAATAAAAGCCATAATTTATACCATCTAGGCATCCTCTGGTACCATGAATGGGGTAGAGGCCCCGTTTGATCATGGTACCAAAGGACCCTCTGATGGTAAGGTTGCAACTAACCCAATTGTCCAATGCCATAGGCCACACCTATACCTTACAAAATGCGCAGTCCACTTCCAATCGATTCTACTTACAACTTACTACTATGAACCGTTCTCTGCTACCTACGGTTGGGTAGTATTACGTGGGATGCAATATAAATATCGAGATAAATTATGACATATTTCTATCAGATCTATTACTAATACCTGTTCACACTACTCATTACCGATTGCAGAATCAGAGAGAGAGAGAGAGAGAGAGAGGTAAATTACGTAGTTAGATTGAATTATACAAGGCAGTTTAACGTCGAAGATATTGACATTAGGGAGAGTTATCAAGACTATAAGAGGCGTATTAGCATAATGCACGGTCTTTCACTTTATTTTTTTTTTTTTTAAGTCCAAATTAGAGTTTGCTTCTAACTTGAATCTAGGGGTTTTGAAAGCTTGGTTCTACTACTTATGCTGCCAGAAAGTCCGTAACTAGGGTAAGCTAGCATGTACTACACAGTAATAAACTACAACAGGAATAGCCTAGCCTTTGACTTACCGAGTTGCGGACTTTCTGGTGGCATGAGCACTAGTGCATGAAGAATGGGAGATCTAGGAAGTATCTTGGAAGTACCGTACTCGTGTATGAGAATTCTAGATGAGTTAATTGTTGAGCGGGTTGAACTTGCTTGCTTGTATGTCATAAGCCTGGTTGATCGGATGTAGATCTATGGAAGTGCGTAGATGGTGATTGAAATTGCCTTGTATATTATGGACTAGGATAGTAATAAATGGAAAAGTGGAAAAGTGGAAAAGTGGAAAAGTGGAAAAGTGGAGAGCTGGAGAGCTGGAGAGCTGGAGAAGTGGAGAGAGGCGAAAGGGAAAGATGGAAAGGAAGGGAAAGACAAGAGGGGGAAAAATTGATATGGACCGGTGGTATGGTCTGTACAAGAGAATTATTTTGTATGTATGGGATGGATTGGGATTTTGAATAGATAGAATCAAGGAAAGTAGTATGTATATATTCTGAGATATGAAAATAATTAATTGGGAGAGATATATATAGAAAATTGTTCATTTGTTGTATATATGGGTACATGCAAGTTATAATGATGTTTTTATTACTAGATTTATTGCTGATGATTTATTTAACGTCTGAAGAGATATAAGAACCAAGGAGGATCTATAGATGGATTGTGAATCAGATTGTTGAAAGTCCTGTCCGGCAGTGTTTGCATTAGTATTTCCCGTATTCTGTATATGGGCCTATTCCGAGACATATATTGAATATTTCGGAAATGTGTGTGTATATAGTATCAGATTCTATATTTCGAAATTTGAGACTATTTCACATTATCATTGAACACCACTAAATGAAATATGGGAATATTCGAAATTTGAGGCTATTCCTAGTATTTTTCTAGTATTTCTGTATATTGCTTCTAGTTCCCTGTGTCAGATAATAATAATAATACATATAAACATTAACATAAATACCCTCAATACATACGATATACCATATCAAATCTCTAATACGGGTTCACGTAATACTACCGTATACTAACGCAAACACTGCTGTCCAGAGCTAAAGGTCAATTGACCCATCCTTCATATCAAATCTGAGAAATCATCAAGTGTTGTACAGCATTGTATAGTAAGCAATGTATTTTCATGCAAGCAGCAAGAGTAAGTTATTGAGAAAATACAAGAAGCGTCGATATTTAAAAAAAGAAAGAAATGAAAGACCCAAACAACCATCGGAAAAAAGAAAAACATTGCCAAATTATTCTTGTCAAACAAATCTGTCCCTGTATATCCTCCTCTCCAATCGTGTCACATTCCATCACCTATTCAGACTTCCTCGTTTCGTTCAGTGCTGTCCCTATGAAGTAACAAAGTATTAGTTGACGCCGATCAACCTTCGCACTCACCAAGATAAAGAAACTTACTTGAAAATAATCACTGATCAACCCATTGCACCTTCATCCGTTTCTTTAACGAATGTCTTTCTCAATGTCCTTCTCGATGTCTTTCTCAATGTCCTTCTCGATGTCCTTCTCGATGTCCTTCTCGATGTTCTTCTCGATGTCCTTCTCGATGTTCTTCTCGATGTTCTTCTCGATGTCCGCAGGTGTTTCCTGAAGCTGAATGGCGTGCATGGGTTGCAGAGGATTCTGTCCTCCATTTACCTGCTGACTCTCGGCCCTGGCGTTCTGATCCTGAGGATTCTGCGGTCCATTGTTGACAGCTTGGACCATTTGTCCTGAAAAAACAGAATTCACACCTGATTGACGAAGGAAGACAGGTCTCTGTTTACGGGTGTAGGTATCGTGATCTTCTGCGAAATTGTAATGAAGAGACTCAACCTGTGTGTTGCAGAAAGGACATTTTGCGGGCTTCTGGCGGCCGCTTGCATCGATCCACTGTTTTATGCAACAGTAGTGGTATTCCTTGTGGTTGCATGGCTGGACGGCTGCACTCAGATTAACAGCAGTCGAGCATGGTCCACAGTTGTTATTCTGTCCGCGTGGACAAGCCTGGGACAGAGGCAGCAGGCATATGATACATTCATCTTCTGCCACAGTTGCGTTTTGGAAGGGTGCCATTTTGAATTGGCAGGATGTTTGTTGTACGGGTTCGGTGATTGTGGAGTTTGAGAGCGAAGATGTCGAATTCGTAAGGATTGTTTGTTGATATGGATAAACGATGCTGTAATTGGAAAGTTCTTCTTTCGAAGTCCTACTCAATTGAAGGAATATTCGTTGAATTGATGGATGCTGTGTGGGGTGGAAGCATATGATGACGAACTGGAATTGTGAGGTTCGAGTAAAGAAAAAAGATCAAGGGTCGCGTGTGGTGTTGGGGGGGCAGCCTCACATAACTTCATAGCTCAGAGGACTGGTGGGTGCAGGGGTTTTGGTGTGAAGAGGGAACTACCCAGGATTACCGTACAACTGTTGCCACTTGCACCCAACTTCTTCTTCTTCGGAAGAACATAATCTACCAGGTACTGACTACAACATCTCTTCCTTGTGCAAGGCACAAAACCTTGGTAACGGAAAGCTACTCCAAGCTAGGGATAGTGATAAATTCTTCTATTGGCTTGAAAACGAGGAGAAATTCGGATTAACCCCATATGTATGGATCAGAAAGCACGCGATAGAGTAGAGGGGTGAGTGAACATAGATACCTTGATCTAGTCTTAATGGATAAGTTAAAGTCGAACTTTTGGCAAAGAGAGGTAATTAAGGTACTCATGTCGCCAGAAAGTCCGCAAGTTCGGGAACTTGAAAGACTAGGTTTATCCCTTGTAGTTTATCATTACGGTATATGATATATGCTGGCTTACCTGAGTTGCGGACATTCTGGCGGCATGAGTAGAAGATGTTGTTGACTCGGAAGTCAATTTACTAGTCAATTGTTAGCCGTAATGTTTATATTTTTTTAAAGTCATATCTCATCGAAGACGACCCTTGAGCCTTGAAGATCTTGAAGATCTTGATGGGGAGGGGATTTAGTTTGTCGCGATAAGTATATTAGCGTTGATCAGGAATCTTGGGGCTCAATATCTCGGTAACTCATCCGCAATTTGATACAAGCTTTTTATTCCTCAGATGACCCTTTTAAAAGGTGTACTATATAGAACAAATCTTCTTCTCCTTATTTATACAGGTAATTTTATGTAAATTGAGGCAGTTTTGAGGAAGTTGTTTTGAGTTGAAGTTTGAAATTTGTCGTTCGACGTTCGACGTTGACATTCTGGTGCGTCCTGAGGTTGAGGCGATGTTTAGTGGCGCATGTGGCTTGCTCTCGGTTAATATTATGGATTTATGCACACAAAAGGAGCACTACCGAATTCGGATAAGCTAAAACTTAAGGTTATTCTGATAAGCCTAACTTTCGTATTCCTATTGGCAGGAATCCTTCACCTGATCGGCAACTATACTATATTAAGTGTCAATACCACATGATAATCTCAAACCTTATCGGTAAATATGGTTGCTCCCGACACTACACAATATACTACAGTAATGTTAAATTTTGACTTTCGATTTTTGATCGTTTTCTCTGCAGGAGATAGAACAGTTGCGAATGACTGCAGCCATATCGCAGAAATTTAGGAAGAGATGCCCAAAGGCCGTGTACCGGAGCTGGTGTTCAATAGTCCAGGTATATTCCTATGCCAGTGGGACTATGGGATATACCGGTACTTAATATTGGTGTTCCTGTTCACGTGTCTTTGTTACATATTGCAAAATCATTGGCCATCACATCACTTGGCATTGGTAAGAGACTAACGAAGTAACTCATCCAACTTGAAGGGTGACCCTTCAAGTGTCCACTCGGACCTGTTCGTCGATCGATGACGCTCTCAAGCAAGAGAATGATTCATAACTAGTCCGATCATTAAATTTATTTGGCGCATTGACTTAAGCTCTTAGTTTCCACTAAACGCGATAAAAATAAACATCGGACCCCCAAACAATGAAAGATCAATAGAAGGGTTTAGCCAAAAAAAAAAAATTTATATGATTATATAATGGATCCTGGAGCCCTGAGTGGCTTATTCAGGAGGGTAAGTGTTGGGATAAAGGTGAATATGGTCACGTGATCATACACTGGGCATTCGCGTCCATATAGGCCTCCCCGCCCTCGAAGTGGGAATAGCCTCAACTCAACCACTACAACAATACAAGAAGATATCATACAGATCTGATTAACATCACCACCGAGGTGATACCAACAGTAGGGACGAATGACTAGTCCCATTTGCTTTTATCAACCATCCCCCTTTTGAACACCTCCGATGTTGAGAGACGCTATAGTTATTGAAATATCTGGAATCAACTATAAATGACTTAGATCTCTATAGAGGCTCTGTAGATCTATAGTGATAACCAATAGAACTGATATTCGATATCTATTCAGATCTCGTACTAGCAGCTCTTATTATACAAAATGGTAAAAGCATGTTATACTCATGAGACCCATTCTATAAGAAAATATTTCATTAAGAATTTTTTTTTCTAAACCCCTACAATGATATCACTTTTTATTAATAGTATGGACAGGGCTATCGCTGACTTGTCTCCAAAATTGCCTCGATATTGGCAAGTGTGACCAAAAGGGTATAAACAGGACTCCGATTGTGTACTTAGAATCTATAAGTGAAGAGTTATGTAGGGTGCTCAAAGGAGGACTTATATACAGGTTTGGTAGCCTTATAGACTAGATATAAAAAAGTGAAAGAAGAGAATAGAGATAAAGATAAGCATTATACGATGCGTAGATCTAGAAGCTCTAGAGCTAGAGCTTTAGGCTTAGAAAGGAAGGTCTAAAAGAACTGTCTTATCATACATGTAAGGTGTATAAGCTAGTGGATGGAAGAGAGTCGTCTGTTCCGTCACAGCAAGTCGTCGGGTTGTAGTTGTTCTAACAATCATTCTATGTTGGCCCGTGAGCAAGACACAGAAGAGAACTTTCTAGTATCATCAATTGCAGTGACAAATTGGGAACCTTGAGCAGCAGTGGAGCTAATTATCGGGGTCGTTGATACTGATAATCAATCTCCAGCTACTCATGTTACCCAAGTTACAGAATTTCTGACAACATAAATATCAGAAAGTCTGCAACTCAGATAAACTAACATACATTATACAATAATAAACTACGACAGAAATAGCCTAGTTTTTAATTTCTTGAGTTGCAAAATTTCTGGCAGCATAAGTAGCTTACCCGAGTTGCGGACTTTCTGGCGGTATGAGTAGATCAAAAAATGTATTTGTAAGCAATCAGTCATTGTACAGTTAGGCTTTCCGAAAATTATTATATCTATGATTATACTATTAGGTGCCTATATCAAAACTGTTCATGTCGCCAAAAGTCCGCAACTCAGGAACTCAAAAAAAAATAGGTTATTACTGGTTTACACAAGTTGCGGGCTTTCTGGCGGAATGAGTAGTATAATATCTTATTTAACCCTCTTATCGTCCCCCTTTACACGGGCCACTACAATAGTTCGCGGTAAGAGTCGTCATGCTCCATCGTTTTTTGAGCGACGAGTACCTAGGTAGACCAAGAACCGGGTTTATTCTCTATTGATTGTAAGCCTACTAGCCCCCCACTCGTCCCTAAACCATACCACACAACCAACTCACGTGAAGGAGTTAGGTCCTTTGATCAATCCCATCCTTTAATTGGTCCTCGTAACTTTATACTATACATATACTACGTAGATAGTTCACATAATTATTTTCCGTTGGATGAGTAGATTTCGGAGTTCTAGCTTCTCTTATAATTACCCTAATCTTAAAGCCTGATATCGAAATTTATGCTATATATATAAAGTTATATAGACTAAAACAAGGACGGGACTACGAGTCATTAAAACACCCTACTATCTCTCGTGGATTTGTTGTGTTGGGTAGGGGACGAGTGGGGGGCTAGTACGACTAGAGGTGATTCGTCATGATTATTAGAGGAATCGGAAGTTATAACGGAAGTTCAATCCGAAATCACAGTGCAAGTTGATTGGAGACTAGGATACACCGGTACTGTAGGGCGATTGGTTCGGAAGAGATCGGTTCGGAAGAGATCAGCGAGAGAATCGAAGAGATGGGAGCAAGGATATGGATATACATGGATGATTACAGAAAAGAGAAAGAGCAAGTACCGGTATATAGATAACAAGTTGGATGGAAATTAAATTATAATTCTATCGGGGATTTTATTCAACTAAACTAATCTATGCTATACCCTTTAAATAAACAAATAATTTAACAATCAGTAATAGGGATCAATACAGAAGATACGACTCTAGCCAATCACTACTATAGAGTATATATAATAATAATAAGAGTAGTCTTTCTACCCTCTGTCATCTGAAACCTTCATCGGCTTTCCATGGTATAGTTATCTAGTTCCCAATTGGGGCAAACAATTATTCCCTGTAAGCGACAACCGTGTACATTTACAAAATTGGGTATGCAAGTGCAAGGATTTTTTGTCTTGATATACAATTCAACCTTAAATCTTAAACCCTACAGTTGCATACCCAATTCTACGGTAATCCCTGCTATATTATAAGGTACAAGCTTTGACTTCAGCCCCTTCATACCGGAAAAACAATTCGCCTCACTACGTTCCTCGAATCATTTTTGTAAGGCACCTCAGCTTGTCCTGCTGGAGGCTTATTATATTTTTAATTTGATAATCATAAAGATTGAAAGTCATCCTTGAATATTTATCTCTTCAAATTTTTGTCTCGAGTACAACCTTATTGATTAATCGAAGAGGAATAATCGTTTACTCGAGAATAGGAGATAATCGCTTTTCCTGATTGGCTGATTGGGAACCAGGCAGCTGATCCAATAGAGAGCCGACTATTTACGTCTAGACACCAATTAACCAACCGGCGATTCAGACATTGATTCATTCGCCTTTGTGGATACCGAATTGTCCTTGCCCCTTCCTAGAAGTCAATTCATACTAGGGTAGTAGGGCCTCCAGTATGAAAGAAGTTTTTTTTTTTGGATATACTTATTAGTAGATGACGTATTGGAAGGTCAGATAATAGAAAGTAGAATATAGTATGGCATCACTCGCCATATGGACATGGACATGGACGGGGGAGATTCGATGAGCGATGCGGATGCGATGGAATCATTGTGAAGGAATTGATGGTTGAGTAATTTCCTATTCGTGTATATATATATATGTATGAAATTTGATAAATGAACTTTATCAAAAATAGTATGATAATTTATGATAATGGTAATGAGGATGATTTACATATTGATAAATTACTCTTATTCTCATACTACAAAAATGAAATCCATTTTACTTTCATGCGACTTAGATTCTACCCTTCCACCATAGATTCTAATCATCCACTATAAGATTCTACCCCTTCCACTATAGATTCTTACCCGCTCTCCCCCGGCCTTCCCCCCTTCTCACACCCCCTTCTCACCCTCTTCAATTCAAATTACAAAATCCACCCCTCCATCCTCCATCCTCCATCCATCCATAAACCGAAATGATGTAATTATGCCAAGAAAAGAAAAAAGAAACAAAGTCATGAATCTCAAATTAAGCACAGTTGAGGGAGAGAACAATGCTTCCGTGGCCGAAGGAATGATATGATGAGAGAAGAGAAAATTGACCCATGCTTATGAACTACCTAGTATGATTGAGTCCAGACTCATCTACTACCAATCTAGGCATCTAACGGTATCAGTATACCTAGGGCCCCTCCCTACCCCATAAATGGGACATCACTACTCGAGTACCATCACTACCATTATTTACTATCCTTAAAAAATGACCTCATACACTTCAAAAAAGAAAAAAAGCCCTCTGACCCCCCTCTCCCCCTTTACTTTACCCTAGATTCTACCATATATTCTACCATAGATTCTAGAATCTAGTGGCATGAGAGTAAAATAGATCAAAAATTTGTAGCATAAGAGTAATAAAATTTCACTTTTGGTGACATGAGAAAGTAATTTGCCGTTCACATATAGGTACATACGATAGATATGTATATTCATTCTCATTGGGTATCCTAAAGCGAAATAGATATTGGGGAATCACTATATAGCCCAATAGTAGCAAACACAAACATTCCCCCAGTTCATACCTCTACACACCTAACATTGACACTTCCCATTGCCCACAATCCCTTTCATATCTGCATCCATATTTCCACCCCTTCCCCATCTCACTACCCTTCTACTTTTTCCTCCTAAACCTACTCCCAATCCCCGGTCCTCCTTTCGCTCCACTGTTCCTCAACTTTAATCTCTTGTAATTCTGTAGACTACCCGCCGTAGCCTTTATCTTCCTCGCCGCCGTTTTAACCCGTCCTTCCTTATTAATTTCCCTATTTTTCTTCTTCGTCTTATCTTGGTCTGGTCTCCTATATCGTGTCCCTCCTTCTGAAGCTGTGTATTCGGAAGCTGAATCTGAGTCGAAGTTACGGCCGTCGGGTGGGAATTCGTCGGGTTGGGGAGATTCGTCATCGCCGAGTGGGGGAAACTCATCGTCGAGTTGAGTTTCGGGTATAGTTTCGAGGTGGTTGTGGGGGATGGCGAGTTCATCTTCGCTTTCTGAGGCGTTGTGGTTTTTGGTGGATGAGGTTGGTTGGGAGGGCTTGGTACGATTTGGTTTGAGGTTCACGCGACGGGTGGTGCGTTTTTGACCTTTCTTTTTATATGACCTTGTTGGAGCATTTGTCGTTTCCTCGGGCTCGCTATCATACATAGCTTCATCGTCGAAACCGCCGAGGAGTTCTTGTGGTTGGCTATCTTTGATGAGAATTGTGTCTTCTGGAAGTGGTGCTTCTGTGGAGGGTTTCGATGGTAGGGTATCTGATGGGGCTGCTGATAGTGATTTTGGTTTTGGCTTCAGTGCAGGTTTGGAGGGATTGAACAATTCGGCCTCCATTTCATTTAGAGCTTCTAAATCATCGTCCATGGCATCTTCCTCCATTTTTCGAAGACCAGCAAGCATACTGCTTAGACTTTTGATCATTGGTTTTCGAGGACCTCGAATCACTTCGGGGGAATCAGGTAGACCTTCTTCATTCTCATCAACAGCTGGCATTCGTATTCGTTGGCTATCCCTTCTTAAGAACGATGGTGTGTTGAAATGTAATTTTGAGACCGAGGAAGGTGTTGTCGACCCTTGACCATTGGCACTTTTGTTTTTGAGAGGTGTGCTGAATAACAATGTCCTTCTCGATGATGGTGTATTGCTGTGCATAATCGCCCGTGTACTTCCTGGAGTCATTCCTTGTTTTCGAGGTGTAGCTTGTGGTATACCTGGGTTTCCTGTTCCAAGGGCAGTTGAGGGAGATTCTACGGCACTATCTGGATCCAAATCGAATAACCCAAGAACTTGTCCATCTTTTTGCGGCGTTGGTCCAATTGCGGTCTTTTTAGAAGGTGTAGCAAATAGGTTTCTCATAACAGAGGGAGAATGGTAAGGGTCAACATCCCATGGTAAGATCTTATTCTTCGAGGGTGTGCTGTCGACTTGTAAACGTTTTTGGGGGGTTTCATTCTGATTCTCTTCATGTCTTCTCTTTCGGGGCGTTGGTTTAAATGCTGGTGGAGGTATATGCGAAATCTTCCCGGAAAGTATATCGCGGACTCTATTGAACTCTTTGTATTTTGAAGCTGGAGAAAAGTTAGGACAAAAGACTGGCATATTGTATGAATGTAGAATTTCATACCAATGTCGGGGTTTCCTTTAATATCCTCCCTCGATGCTTTGTGCCCTTCATTCTTATTCTGAAAATCCTTCTCCCATACCTTCAACTCGATTCGAAGGACTTTCGACCGCTCCTCCAGAGACTTTCTCTCTTCTTCATCCATACTGTGAATTGGCAGAGTTGAATCCCCGGATTGTCGCTTTGAATGATACCAGAAAGCGCGGCGGTATGGGATTTGTATTGTCGCGTGGGTAAATGCTGTGTGAGAATTTATTTCTGTAGTAATAGTAACTGATAGTCTGAGTATTATTTATGAATATCGGCCGTATAATCATGAAGTCATAAAAATCATAAATTTAATTTTAGATTGTTCCTCAATCCGCATTATGGATATTTTATGAGGTGGGCATTCTGCGGAGTAGACGCGTCGGGCTAACTTAGAAGAATGCGCGATTTGGTAAGCAGTACTCCGTACAAAAGTCCTCTATACAGTCTGTATTCGGTCATTTTGATTTTTCATTGTCTATCATTTGGAAAAGTTTGGCACTTAAAAAATACTTACGAGGTATACGAGACTATTTCTCTTTACTACTAATTATTTTGCTAGTATATATTATTTTAAGGCGGTCAGACAATAGCCCGGGTGATTTATCTCAGAAAACATGCAGTAATCTTTCAGTTCATTTATCAATATTTCCGTAATAAACTATAAATAAAATATAGAAGAATGTATAGCTGGGAATGAGAGCCCCAACGCTACTTTCAGGTTTCGAATAGCTTTGTATTGGATGCCCTTTTCGGTAAGATATTATATCGGAGTTGAAGTGTAAATTAGATTATCCAATGCGCGAAAAACCAATTTACGCGAAATGACAAACTACTCTTTATTACTTGACTGTACTTACTTTTTGGCATATGAAAACACGGGAAACCGTTTGGCTTAGACAAAACAAACTGGCTAGAGTAATGCTCTAGCGAAAGTACTCCTTATATAATCATTTGAATCAACACTTAACATTAATGCCTAGATACCTATCTTTTATTGACAGGCTGTTAGTGACCTCATAAATTATATCCAGATACTTAGGCGAAGATATTAGTCTCAACTAACTACTTACAAAGCATCCCTGCACACTTTCTATAGAACGCTTACTAGCTTGAGCTGCTCTTTTTATTACTATATTATTATACAGCTGATTAGTTATCAACTCCAAGGGGCTCGATTATTTCCAAATCTCTACTGCTAATTTGATGAGTTAAACACTTTTCCACCACCAAACCACTATATATCCTCGAATTATACTCTAAAGTCTAGTCTCTAGAATCTAGAATCTCTACTAATTAACGAAATTCACCGAGACTAACTTATTATACAATAGTGAGTTGGCGAATGACAGATTACTTATTATCGATGAGTACGAGTGGTCCTAATTCAGACAGCGATGATGGTAGCGCTTAAATACCTGATAAATTCCCCAATGATACTCGAGTAGATAATATAGAGTAGATCTTGTGCTAATGGCTGTTACTTGTATAGTATGGTATAGATGGACGAAATTGATATTCATTGGAGGCCGATCTGATCTTGATCCTAGGTAATCATCCTACTAGCTAGCATCCGACAATATTCCACTTCTTTGATATTTGGGATACCAGGAGTTGAGTACATGTACTCGAGTAGTACTTGTATGCCTCTAATTATACCTAGTCTAATGGGAGTTAATCACGTAATTCCTTTCCTTTCCAATCCAATCCAATTAATTTTCTCATCCATGACTGAATAAGTAAAAGTCTGTACGAGTAGATAGGTACAATCCCAGAAAACATGAGAACAAAAATAGTAACTCCAATCAACCAAAAATCAATTGAGCACTAAAATCAATATCAAAATCACGATAATCAATTATTCAAAACGTTTTGGGTCTCTCAATCTACTTACTATTTACTACTTACTATACACAGTATCATTCACCCACCGTTCACCTAGTTATGCACCATAAGTCAAGAGTGAAGAGTGAAGTCTGAGCATGCGAAATTATTCACTCTTCACTTTTCACTCCATATTCCTCGCTACGTCTCTCCGATCTGACCTGACCTGGCCTGGCATTACACTATCAATACACTACTGCACTGCACTACACTAAAGTAAGGAAATTACGTTGAATGAATAATCATAGACACCACATCATATCATATCATACATATCATACCATATCATACCACACCATATCATACACACCACACCATACTACACTACCATACCACCATACCACCATACCACCATACCATCTACTCGAGTATATACCCACCCCTCCTGATAATTCCTCTTCTCTCCTCTCTTCTCCTCTCCTCTCCTATCGTCCATTACATTACATACATTACATACATTACATCACATAAAACCCATAAACCCACTCCATGCGCGCTATCTACCTTAACATCTTACTTACTCGTACTAATCCTAATCCCAATCGACTATACAAATATTCAAGTATACAAGTATGCAAGTACTAGGTATATACTCGAGTATACTAACGAATTATTACAGCCCAAATTCAGGAGGACTCAGCAGAGAAACCAAACCAAACCAACAAAATGAAAACAAAACAATAAAACTACAAAACGCACAAACCCTCACTCTTCTCCTCAATTGTCTCGTTTCCCCTCGCCATCTCACCTCACCTCGCCTCGCTTGTTTGCCCTATTCATTCACTTATGCATTCACTTCCATGTTCACTTCCACATCGCTTCGCTTCACTCCCAATCCAACTCAACTACAACTATACAATCCCTTTCACCTCATCTCACACTCTCCCACACACCCCCATACCATACACCCTCCTCCTTCTTCTCCTCCAGCTGGACCACCTCTTCTCTTTTTCTCTCCCTCATTCTCCTCTTCCCGTCCTCCTCCTCTCCAGCCCCCCCCACGATTCCACGAAGATAATCAAAAGACCACCAATTTCCATTTCCATTTCTATTTCCATTTCCATTTTCATGAACTCCCCCTCCCTCTCCCTCTCCCTCTCCCTCTCCCCCTTCCCTCTTCCCCTTCCTAGCCCCACCCACAAATAACTTACCCTATCCTATCCTACTCTACTCTACTCTACTCCACTCAACTCCACCCAACCAAACTCTACAAAGCCATACATAGCTAATAGCCAATAGCCAATAGCTATAGCCACATCCACATCCAAAGTTAAAACCATGGGCACAACTAAAGCTAAAGCCATAAATACAACCATAATACAGATAAAGTTCAGGTAGAAATGCATCCATTTATTCATCCAATTGTTCGTCCATCCATCTCTTCCACTCCCCCTTCCCCTTCTTACCCCCCCCCTCTTCCTCACACCCTTTCTTCTTACAACTCCACTAACCCACTCACTAACCCACTCACCCCCTACCCTCCCCCTCTTACACATCCACACCACATTCTTGATTGACTGACTAATCAACTGATATCCATCTACTCGTAGAAATAATACCGTGATACCATGATACCGTGATAAAGAGAGACAAAAGAGACAAGAGGGACAAGACAGGTTGGCTGGCTGGCGTTGTATGTAAGTAAGTGAGCAAATTTGTCAATAAGTGTATGACAAAACAGGACAAGCAAGACAACCATCGCCCTCATCACTTATACAACCATCTTACATACATACATACATACATACATACATACATACACATAATCCTCCCACAACCTTCATACATCACATCCCATCACACAACACATCACATCACAAACCACCATTCAAATTTCAAAAAATTGGAGATTTTTCTCTTTTTTTCTCTTTAATTTAATCGAGGATTCATAGGCACTTCCTTCATTCCTTCCTTCATTCCTTCCTTCCTTCCTTCAATCCATCCATCCTTTTACTCATATTCATATAATACTCCCATCCCAGCCCACGCCAGTATCAGTACCAGTACCAGGACTCTCCCATTCATACACTTCGTTCATCAATCTTCCCAGCCCAGCCCAGCCCAGCCAAATGATATGAGCCGCCCCAACCATCCCCTATCCCCATGCCGAAACCCATCCCCCAACCCATCCTCCAACCCATCCATCCATCATTGATATCCCATCCTATCCTATCCTAACATGAACATATCTCCATCCTACCACCTAGCTAGGCAGCCTAAGGTAGGGATCTCTGATATAAGCAAAAACTCAAACAAATCCAAAATCCAGTCTAAACTCCATTCCCAATGCATTCATTACATTACCCATGTATACAAATCGTATCGAGTAATTTTTTATCCGTATCAAAGAAAAAAAAACAAAAAGACTTCTGGATATTTCGAAACGAAGTTCCCCCAAAAATGAATCTTCATTTCCATCCACCATCGATATTCTCGTTGTGGTATCCGTCATGCACGCTGAAATGAACTTCTTCGCCAAACAAAACCTTAAAAATCATCAATCAATCAATCAACTTCCTCGACATAGATATATATCTCATCTCTCCCAATCTTGCGCTCTCCGGGGATAGTTCTAAAACCTATCAACCGAATGTCTCCGACAAAACTCTTATACTCAATATCATGACCAGTAAACCAATCGTTACAATGATGAGAAGAGCAAACGAGAACCATCCAAGTACCATAGCTGTGCTACCAACACCACTTCTCACGCTACCATTCCCGAGGTCTTGGGCTATGATAGAAGCGGCTACCGAAGCTGTATGTTGCCATAGGACGGAGACGAGAACAAAGATTGAGGCGATAAAGATGATGGCGAGGGCGATTTGGGAGACAAATCGGGATGGGAAAGGTTTGACTGCTCGGTTCTCACTTTCATGGACATCTTCTTCTTCGTGCCATCCAGGGAATGTGGCTAGAAGTATGAGACAGATGAACGCAAAGATGATTGCAATGATACTGTGAAATTATAAGTTGTTGTGCGAGAGGACCATGAGGAAAGAGACTGGACTTACATTAGGTAAGGGAAAACAATCATATCTTTGAATTGACTTGCAAGCCAAATCAAGTTCAAAGGATCTTGATCCACGCTCACTTCATTCGCTAATGCAGTTGCATTGTTACTGCATAACCATGCACCTCCATCTGGATTGATACAGATACCAAAGTATCCAACTCTTGCTGCTAATCGTGCTTGACCAACGATATTCGTTATCGCTGTGTGTACATTATAGTCGGTTTGTGCTGTTGAAGGTACTGGTGTATATGATTGGTAGTAGAGAGAAATAAGGAAAATATCGGGTATCATAGGCGATGAAGATGAACATCCTGCTAGTAGAAGAGCTAAAGGAATGTTAGTTTTGTACGAAGAGTGAAGAGTGAATGCTGGCTGGTATTAGAGATTACTAACAGAGCAAAATGATGGTAACTGCAATCAATATCATCAACACATGGTGATATCCTAAGAATGGTACCGCTCCTATGGAACACATTAGCACATTATCAATCTCACTTGGTACATTTCCCACAACTTACTCCAGAAACCTCCAAACCCTCTTTCCGCCATCTTAAACTATGATATGTCTCGCTCGTAATGAATGACCGAATGCGCTGGTAAGAGTCTGCCACTCCCGTCCCCCGTGTATTCGGAGCGACCGTCGGAGTCACAGTCGTGGAATGTTTGCAACGTGTTGAGGAAGTTTCAATGACTGATGAAGAATGTTGGCTATCTTCAGGAATGTATGGTGAATATTGTTGTAATTGTTCGTGAAATCGTCGGTAGGGAAGAATGTGGATATAAATTCGTCGCACTGCTTATCATTCAGATAAAGATTGTCAGATATCTCAATTCACACAAGATATGAATTATTTGAGGGGTGATAGATAAAATTCGTAGTAGTTTCTATTGAAAATTCCAGAAATTGGAGAAAGAGAGCAAAGTAGAAGTGAGATCCAGATTTCTCTGTGCAGTATGATGTGGTTCTGTCAAAAATTGTGTGGCAGGAAAGGAAAGCTAAAGTTTCTAATAAAAAAGAAGATGGCGCAGTGAGTATCCATACGGGTGCCTCGGATTTGTTTACATAGATTGATTCTCGGTTAGTCGACTGAGCAACGGACACTAAGGAAACAAGGTACCAATGAGAATCAACCAATAGTCACTGATTATCTTGCTTTATCATCAAGGACTCTTGAAATGAGAACCATTTTAATTCAGGAACCGATCAATTAGTGGATTGATAGTTGAAGTGAATTCTCGATATAGATTTGGCGATAAAAGAGACAAAGCTTATTTTTATCTCAGACCGTTCTTTGGAAATGAATTTTGAGTATTAGATTGACAGCGGGTTGACACGTTTCTGACTGCATATAATAATTATCATCATGCAGGTCAGGATGCAGGATTTCCACTTGGTTCTGTCAGTGTACATATACAATACTTTATCATTGATTCTATCCTACCCCACACTTTTCATTCCATTCCGATTGTACCAGTACTCTTGACTTATTCTTTGCCTCTCTTAATAATCATAACCAGGAAGTGCAAACACTGGCACTACACTGCTTTAACTTCATCCCATCCTATCAGATTCATTCATCTCATCTCATCTCTTCTCGTCTCATCCCACCTTATAGCCATATTCACACCTCAAATTCATATTCAAATTCAATCTCATATTCACATACATATTCCTCAAGTAACCCAACCCAACCACACCTCCCATAATCTCATCCCAACAGACCAGATAACATGTATTGACAATTCAGATCCGCAAATATGTAATAAAACAAACCAAGAAGTAGAGTAGACTTCTTATTCACTATTACAATATCGGTAAATATGTCTTGTCTTGCTGGTTATCATCTCATTCTACCATCTGAACTTTCATCACTCTGTTCCAAACTAAGATGCTAGTAGATCTCCATATAATACTCAACTTTCTCCCAGTCACTTCACATGCAAAAAAACCAAAAAATGACAAAATTAAGAGGATTGTAATTTTAGGTTCAATTAAGCTACTTGATTATAGGAACAGTCTCCCTCCCCCACCAGTAACCTTTCATTTAACCCCAGATACAAGACCAAGCAGAAACAGCAAGAAAGAGTACAAATTCATCCGTAAACCCTCTCCATCTACCGAATGCCATTAAACCTCCCAAGCTAAGCTATTTCTGTGGGACAGCCCTGAATACAGTATTTTTGCCTTCTTCAGGAGGAGAATCATGGGTATGTTCACCACCAGAACATGGTAATCTATACTTCTCCTCCCACTGCTTTCTCAACACCTCATACAAGAAAACGTACTGTTCCACAGCTTGAACCATAGTCTTCCTTTGCTGACGCAATTGATCGACAGTCTCGTATATGGCATCGTTGTTTTTCTCCTCTGATTGATCCCATCCTTCCCAAGCTCCACCCTGAAGTTCTCCCATCAAAAACTCCAAAGCAACGAAAGTACCAGTTCTTCCAACACCAGCACTGCAATGCACAACTCTTGGATTTTCTTCCTCCATATTCTTAGCTCGAGAAAGATCCATCAATGTTAGAACACTTTTGACATTTTGGCTGTTCAATGAGCCCATATCAGGCCAGAGAGGATAAAAGAAATGCCAGATGATTTTCTCTTCATCTTCACCTGCTACAGACATAGCAAGTTGACGGACCTCGATACCAGTGCCCTCAATGTTCTCTTCTCTTGACACAAATCGAACTTGGGCCTTGAAGTCTTCTCCAAGCGCCCCCGCCTCGTTGACATTGAGAGGTGGATCATCCTCACTCATCGGGTAGTATCGATAACATTTCTCCATCATCTCATCAGGCTTGGCTGGATTAGGCCCAACTAGAGGACTAAGCATGATGATGACACCAGGTGCTGCGTTATCGGGTACTGAAATTGAATGCCACAGCATATGCCAGGTGTGATCCACAGTTTGAGATTTCGGGCCTTGCATACAAATATACTTGTCTTGCAGACCTTTCTTCATCGTACTTTGCTTTTCAGCAGTAGAGGTCAAAGTAACAGGAGATGCGTTGATGTAATCATTAAAACCTTCGGGCACAACTAGTCTGATACGGTTGCCAGCCCATGGATGTACGTTGGCATAACGATCGAGCTCACGATCTGGCTCCTCTCTCGACCACTTGGGATCATCTTTGTTTGCCAAACGATCCTCCTCCATCTGCGTCAGTTGAGCGTATTTTGCTTTCATTTCTGCCGTCTGGTTAGTTTCTAGTCTTCCAAACGTTGCGAATTAGCGGCATACCATCGTGTGAGATCTTTAAAAAAGATGGCATTGCTGTCCTGGGATCCTTCGCAGCAGCTTCCCCTGCTTCTACTATTTGTACGGCACGTTCATCCTCATCATCCGCTGCCTTGCTGGAAGAGCACCCGTCTGCCTGAGGCATGTGGGTACTCTCATGTTGATCTATGAAATACTCCTCGGATACATCGATGGCAAAATCTTGCTTCGATGAACATGGGTGAATCATCTTGTGAAGCAACCTGCGGCTTATATTCTCTTTTGGGGGCGAAGGAGAACTGGTTGTTGAGAGACTCGAGGATTTCGAACGGAAGGAACGTAGACGCTGTTGAATTGAAATAGTGGCACCAATCGGAGTACGATGAGGCATATGCAAACGAACGAAAAGATGATATCACAATGATGGTAGCTTGGACAGGTTGTGAAATGTGTTCGAATTAGAAAGAATAGACTGTTGTGCCTTGGCCACGGTAATTGACATAAAGAGCTGAAAGTAGAAGTTCCTTCCAGCGACAAGTGAAGGTCCAGGCAACAGTGTAGAAAATGAAGATATATGAATGTGAAAGTTCGGTGAGTAAAAGAATGGCGAAATTGTAGGAAGGACAGAGATACCAAAATCTTTGATAAGTTGATGCGAATGTGTATGCAAAGAAAAAGGTGAGAGGAGAAGAAAAGATAAAGAGAAGAGAAGCAGGAACTTACAAAACATTCGATTCTACCGATATATAACGACTTCGCCATATCGAGTAGGAAGAGAGTAGGAAGAGAGCAGGAAGTAGGAGACTTGAGATGTTATGTAAGGAAAGAGCAATTGTGGTCTGGACCTTGGACCTTTGGACCTTGGTTGATGTTTGAGCTCGATTGAATTCTTAGGGCGAGGCAAGCACGTGTGCAGATTTCCAGTGTGGTGTGCTGACTAACCAAGCTGGTCAATCACCAATGAAATGAGACTTGTTTTAAGCGAGGCGCCAATTAAACTTTAGTGAAAGATTTTCGCCTTCAATCGTCATCAACCTTCATTTATTCAATAAAACATCTTTCTAGAATATGAAATTCGAGCTTTATCAATATGGCAATGTGGTTAGCAGCCTTTGAGGTAAAGATGCTCTCTACGGTATACTATAACGCTACTCTTACTAACATTCATTCAGACATGGGCAGTCGCACGAGTTCGTATTCCAATATCGATCTGAAATTCCTATTGCTTACAGATTTTCAGCTCCTAAGAAGTCCTACCTTTCACAGTGTTGTCCGCAAAGCACATAAGAGAGTTCATGAAGCTCGTCATGGCAAGGATCCCTCCGAAATGGGCGGTACCAATATCGATGATCCAAACAAGTCAAGTCGGTTTATTCAATATTTGAAGGACGAAATCAAAGACCAGTTCTGGGGCAAATCGCCACCTCGAAAATGATTGATGTTCTGTTGACTATGGTATAATGACAATCACACGGTGTATAATATGATAACGGGAGTTGGGTTCATGATCTTGGACGAATGGCGCATATTAAAAATTTACAGCGTTTGGAGACTATACTACACGGTATGGGTACCACAGTATACAATTATACAGTTTAATTCTTTCTATTTCATCTCCGATTTCTTCGTCTTCTACGGCACCTGAGATAGGCTCAGGCAAATATGCATTGGCTGTCGAACTTCCACCGGACATTAAATTGGGCTCTGAGACTGATCCTCCGTGTCACTTGGCTCTCATTCCGTCCGAACAGCAGAAATGCCTACACTTTTCAATTCAATTCTATGCTCTCTCAATGCATTAGATTGGTTTTGTGTGCGCACATTTGTCGTCTCATTACTTTTCTTGGTTTTCATCATGGCAATTCCTATTATCAAGCTCTTCTTGATACGCCACCGGGAAACTCATGCGCAAGACACATACGTGAGTAGTCCTCATTTATCAGCACGACTGAAATTTTTTAAGACCAAGCGCAATTTCCAGTTCTCGTGGTCTAAAGCACTAAATTGGGTTGGAACTTTTGATGAGGCTCATCTCCATTCGAGTTGGGATAAGGAATCATTCTAGATGCAAGGCTCTTGCAGCTCAATAAGCAAGAACTCAAGTTCTTCCACTGCGTAATAGGATAAAGGATTCCATTGATCATGGTGACTCGTGGATTCTCAAACGAAATGCGCTTTTCTTTGGTTTGACTGTCATGAGAGGTAGGTCATTTCTTATAACACCATGAGAGGGATATAGGGGAATTAAATACTTGCCATACGCAGACTCACACCAATATTTTATGGTGTGTGATCTATTTAAGTGCAAGAAGATTGAACCAAGACCGATTACTCACCGTGGCTTTCTATCCCGGCATCATCATGTGGGAGGTGGAAGCGATGGTCCATATATTATGGTCTACATTTCTTTCAAAGATGGAGCTGGCTGTCTGGATAGTTATAATCCATTTTTGGATGCAGAGACAAAGAGACGGAGGTGTACTGGACGGTTAGACGATTAATTTCAAGAATCACTAAATGAAGCTCTAGCTGGATACTTAGTTGATAATGATGTGTTGATAAATTGGAATTCCCGAGCTACCGCGTTCTTCTTTTTGTTCTCAACCTAGCTAGACGAGCAATCATAAATTCATTCTACACTGCGTTGACACATTGTAATCCAAATAACGATAGTGAGCCAAACCGAAGTCAGCTAACTTGCCATTTCAATCAAAGAAGACAACACTTCCTACTTGCATCACAACCCAAGTCTACTGTAGCGCCACCATAACCACTCACAAAAGGCAACAGTCGAATCTCCCAGGGCTAGGTAGGACACACACCCTCCAACCATCAATCAATCTAATCAATCAATCAATCGAAGCCCAGGTGATTTTCCCTATCCCTATCCCTATCCCTATCCCAATCTCCCAATTTCTCAATTTCTCAAACTCAACCCAGAATCACATCTTCATCTTCATCATATCATCTCATCACATCATCTCATATCATCTAACAACCAACCATCTTCCTATTTTATATAATATACAACTAAAGAGAGAGTGATCAGACACATACGACCATAGACTGAAGAGAATTGGGCATCCCGTCCGCTCTGCCATACACAAGCTTCAGATCGGTAGATTAGTAGTTGGGTGGGTGACCACCAGCGAATTCCTACTGTTGTATGTTTTTTTGGCTTTTTTGGGGGAGGGAGAAGAGGGCAGGAGAGGGCAGGAGAGGGAAGGGGGATCTTGGTTGTGATACGATGGTGGGGTGATGGGGAAGGGAGAGGGAGAGAGATTCATGCAGTGTTGGGAGAGATGGATGAATGTATTGTGTGTGTATATGTGTGCTGAGGCTGAGGGAGAACGGATTGTGATGATAGAGATGGGGATAATGATGGGGTTCGTGATGAAGAGTGGGTTGGTGGTTTGGAAACATATTGATAAAAATATATCACCCAGATACAACTAATAATGTAACCTTGCAAGCCTCCAGCCTCTACCCATTAAACCAGCAGTATCCTGCACCACATCCGCATCTTGCCTCTCCAGGCCATCACAGCCTCAAAACCCTCATTTACCCCTCCACCTCACCAACTTTCTCAAACGTATCTTCTGAGTCAGACTTGGTACAATTTCACCATCGCTATACAAATTCTCGCGTCTCTTAGTTTGACCCATTGGAAATATCACATCATACCCTTCCAACAGACTTCCTATCAAAAGTTTAATCATAGCATATGTGTACTATCTCCCCGGACAAGTATGTCTTCCATTACCCCACGCCAGGTTTCCAGGTTCAATGCCTGTGAATTATTTGAGGGGGTTATAGCTGCTTGTTCTCATTCTGGCAGTTGTTTGGTAGAAGCAGTTGGGGTTGAAGGTGCTGGGGTGAAAGTACTATCCGTAGTAGGTGGGGTCGCGAGACATGGGTTCGGCGGCCATGGAGATGAATATGACGGTGGGGAGATGAGGCCCGTGGACAGGGTGTGCGGAGTGAGGACGATGCGGTCAAAGGCGACTGTTGGATTGTTTGTTAGAGTCTTGGGGGTTAAGTGAATTGGTAAGAACTTACGAGTATTGGGTTGATTGTACCGCATGATTCTTTCATGAAACTATCTAATTTCCTCAACTTTTTCGTCGTGGAAAATTGCTATAAACCATCTTCTTATAAAGCGGTCTTGATTTGATCGCGTAGGTCGGGGATGTATTGGGGTCGTTCGAAGAGATCGTATAAGGTGTGGGCTGCAGCCTTTGTAGATGTGTGTATGACTCGGATGTGAAAAGGGGGACAAACTACAGCAGCAATTAAGACTAGACTAGAAGCTTCAAAACAATTTTCATTCAATGTACATTTTTCGATGTCGCAATGAGGAACCCTAATAAGTCATTGGCTTTATGATTTGGGTCTTGTCTCTCCAGTATAGCGGACCCTAGAATGATCTGGGCTATGGAGAGGATGGCAGCCATGCGACTTTGGGGAGCGAGGAATGGTCTGAATAGAGGACGTAGGAAGTGAGGATAGGGTCGGAGCGCATCGCCGGTTGCAACCGCTTCTGCTATGTAGGCGGAAATGATGTCGAGCCTGGCTTTATCACGAGCAAGTGGTAGGTCAACGAAAACTCGTGACGATACGGCGAGAATTATCGAATCTACATATGCGTACGTGGGATTGCGGCTTGGGGATGCTGAAGATTTCAAGCAGTAGCCGCATCAAATAGCACGACATGGGGGTATGCAAGCCCGTGACTACCACTGACGGTGCTTTTGGTTTATGGGAATGTTCACCCGAGTGCTATAGTCGAAGGAATCGAACCCTCGAGCCGCTGAGTCCTGCGATGTAATGCTGGAAAGTCTGCTAGATATTCACAGAGTCTCGCTGGAGTAGTGGGTGTCCAGAATAAGAAAGTGGTCATCATTAGCTTGGTAGACAAGATAGACTTCTATGTCTGAGCTTGATGGGTAGCTAAATTGCCACAGATGGTGCTATATCGAAGGAGTTTGGGGAGTACATCAGTGTATCTTAGTAGAAGTTCGGCCATAACTAAAGGTCAGATAGAATGTTCAGATCTAGTCCATTTCAACTCTTCATTTTACAGCCGACGAGAAAGTCAGACTTCGGTACGCCACCATGTAGATTCTCTGTAGCTAACTTTGATCCAGAAAGAGCAGAAGATTGCTAATCGATAACAAGCTTGATATTCATGGATTTCTTGAGGGGAGGCCGCAAGATACCGGCAACGGTAGTTGTTTATTCCTGTTGAATAAATTGATTAGATTTCCTGCAATCAAGATTCGGCTTCCCTTGAGACTTAAGCACGTGCCATTGGTTCTACGGATAGCTAAGGGCTCTGCCACCGCCTTCTTCTTGAAGCGTTCATAATCCCCACTTCCACACTCATTGCCAAAACGACGACCCAAAAAGTTCCCATTACACGCGACGCGATTTGATTAAAGTCATCTTTAGAGTCATTCCCAATTTCTCAGCCTTGTTAGATTTAATTAATATTTGATCATCTCTTACCATTCAATTGCAATTCTGTAACACCACACCGATATACAGAACGATGCTCTCCGATAAAGCGCTTACTAGCGCACTCTCCAAAACAGTACGCGATGTCTTTCACAGCCATGAGAAAGATAAGTTGAGCGTACGATTTATCAGAACAAAAGTTGAAGAGGAATACGAATTGGGTGATGGTTTCTTAAATGATGGAAAGTGGAAGGATAAGAGCAAGGGGATTATTAAGGACGAAGTTGTAAGTTCATTGTGCGACTTTAGATTGGCAATTCATTCTAACGGTTATCTGCAGGACAAATTGATGCAAGGAGATGATGAAGAGGAAGAGGAAGAAGAACCTCCAAAGGCAAAGAATACCAAGAAAGCACCTGCGAAGAAAGCTGCACCAGTAGCCAAAGGAACCAAACGAGCTTCGATTGAGAAGAAAGCACCTCCTCCAAAGAGACAGAAGAAAGAGAAAACTCCCGTTTCCGAGTCCGAACTTTCTGAGCTTGCAGAAACAGAAGTATCAGAAATGGATTTCGAAATGAGCGAAGATGCGCCAAAAGAGAAACCGAAGAAGCAGGTCAAGAAGACTCCTGAAGCCAATACCGATATTGAAGTTAGTGACAACGAAGATGAGGTAGCGCCCAAGCCAAGTAAGAAACCATTACAGAAAGAAGTGGTCTCTTCCAGCTCTGAATTATCCGACGTCGAATCAATCACCCAACCCAAGGCAAAATCTCCCTACAAATCCACATCCGCAAAGATGCGCGATTCCTCATTATCCACCCCTCCCAAAACTGAGGAAGAACTCTCTCCAAAACCCGCCGCCAATAAAGATGCAGGAAACGAATCCGATTCCTCAGCTATGTCCGTTCCGCTTGATGGACCTTTAACTAGCAAATCTCATGCCAAAAAGTCCAAACCTAATTCCAAATCCAATCCGTCAAAGTCCACCAAAGTAGCCAAAACCACCAAACCCAAAGTCGCAAAAGCAAAATCTACAGCTGAACTCACATCAAACGAACAACTCATCAAAACTCTCCAATCGCAACTCGTCAAGTGTGGAATCCGCAAAATCTGGGCTTTTGAATTGAAGAAATGCGAGACTGAGAATGAGAAGATTAAACACTTAAAGAATATGTTAACGGAGGTGGGTATGATCGGACGTTTTAGCGAGGGAAGAGCGAGAGAAATCAAGGAGTTGAGAGAACTACAGGCGGATTTGGAGGCGGTGAAAGAAGGCGAAAAAGTATGGGGTCTGGGCAGAGGTTCGAGAAGAAGTGGGGGTGGTGGTGCTAAGGAAGATAAGAAGAAGAGCGACAGTAGCGAGGATGACATCAAGAGCAAAAACGGCAGTGCTAAAGATGAAGATGATGAAAGTGAGGATGATGATGAAGATATGGAGATTTCTGCCAGGGCCAGAAGAAAGAATGATTTGGCGTTTTTGGGTGATGAGGAGAGTAGTGATGATGATTGAGAGATATGACTATCAGTCTACTCATCGTCATGAGTCTGTACACAGAAATTAGGGAATCCGGATATGGTCATGGGAGTTATACGGTACGAAGTTCAGGTTATGGTCATGATAGCTTTCGGTGCAGTGGGACGGATAGGTTTACTTCTGTATTTGTGTATTGCATTTGGGGTTATAAGCTACAAACAACATACCTAATTAGCGTGGACAATTGTTACAGAAATAATACAAATATTCAACATCTAGGCACCTCGAGTTGTGGTGTATATGCATAATATGGTATGATATGGTATGATAGTGTGGGTATAGGGAGTGGAGGCGTATAAAGGAGTGCTTAGTGGCATGAGACATACAGTAGGGTATGTAAATGTAACATCATCGATTTCAGTTTCTATCTAGACTTGAATCCTTACCTTTCTTCAATTAGTTCCTATGCTTTCTTGGCGATCTCTCGGCATAATGTCCCTTCTTCCTCTGTCGACGTATCTCATCCTCACGCTTTAATTGCTCTGCTTCATGGCGTTCCCTCTCTCTCTTTTGTTCCTGTCTTTCTCTCTCCCTTCTTTCTCTCCGCCTCCGCCTTTCTCTCTCCTCTCTCTCCCTTTCTTCTCTCTCCCATCTTTGCCTCTCCCTTTCTATCTCCTCGTCATATTCAACTAGCCTAGGAATATTTATATTTTCCTGTCCTCCCGCCAACATAGCATCAATTTCCCTATTCAGCTCCTCCGGAGTCGGCATAATACCTCCTCCAGCCTGGTAGTCCCATACTGGAATTGTATCTCTGCTCGCAAACATCCTATTATCAATGGGCATTTGTACGTGAAGCGCTGATGAGCGGCTTAGATAACGGTCTTGCAGAGAGTTGTTCTTTAGATGATGAGGAAGTATTCGTCTTGTTGGATCTCCTGGTTCGAGATAGCGATATGGAATAGTTTGTTGAGATGGACTCGAATGATTTGTTTGATGTCTTGATTCGTGACCGACTCTCACAGTAACACGAGGTCTCTCGAAAGCAGGAGGTCTCTCAACACCAGGAGGGCCATATCTGGATTCGGGAACACTTGAACGACGAGCGTGGGCATAATATGCATCGTCTCGAGGATGATCATGTCGTGAATAGTGTTGATATCGCTGTCGTTGATGTCCACCTTGATATCCACTCGCTGTTTCAGCTTCACCATACGAAGCTGGAATTTTGGTCGTGGAATATGCAGCTGCGTATGCAGTTCCTGGACCTCCTTGTGGTTGATATCCTCTGTCGTCATCAGCTTGTTGTCCACGTTCATCACCATTATACTCTTCTGCCTCGATGCCATCATCGGGAGGAAGCTGATATGGGGTCTTTTCTTCATATCGTCGGAGTTCCTGTGACATTTTTTTCAATTGGGTACTGCTTGGATATTGAATTTGATGTCAAAGTTGATTTTTATGTATGTGTTGAATGTTTTGATTTTGATGGAGATTTTGATGTTGGAGTTGATGAAGAGAAAAGGAAATCGATGTGCTAATAGGAAGATACGGAACTCTTAAGTAAGAGGTAAATTCTAGGCACATGAGTCCTCGAAATTTATATCCTACTGAAATGAACAGTCGTAAAAGTAATCATAAAGTTATGATTCGGTTTTATGATATCGACCAATGTAATGACTCGGTTCAGTACATGTTTAGTGAGCATAGTACTCAAGTAGTGTAGAAAAGGTAGTTAATAGTTATGAAATGATTGGTGGTAAGAAAACATACTGTATGATTATAATTTTATCGAATTTAGTTTCAGCGTCTTAAAACTCTCATCTTCCTTTTCTCTCATTCCATCTTAAGTCTAGGATTGAAACTCTATCTTCTGTTGATTTTGTGAATATTCTTGTTATATCTAGCATTTAAAGATATCATATGAGAATACTGAGCACAATAGATATACAGACATAATTCACATGGCGAATGAGAAGTTTTCGGTGTTATATAAAAGTTACATAAAGTATTGAAACTCTTTAAAAATATCTAATCTATTGAACACTATCATTCCGTCCAATCTTTTCTGAAGGATAGAATAGAATGAGAGTTTTCAGAAGCTGTTTAGTCCTAGGCTCAAAAATCACGCACTGTTCTCTCGTTTCTTCATAAATACAGCATATACCATTCCTCGTTATGCGTTGAGTATTTCCTCTGCCTTTAAAATCTCCTCGTCTCTTTGTCATCAATCATCAAACATCAATCGTCCATTGCATATCCCATTCCCATTCCTTAATCCAAGCACTTTCTAGTGCCCCCTTCCCTTTCCCATTCACTCTCTCTCCTAATGTTGGCCCAGAACGGACTACATACTTGGGATACTCATCAACCGACTCGTACTTGCGTTCGAGAACCCAAACTTCTTTTCCGTTCTCATCCAAATGCATGAAGTGGTACCTCAAAAACAATTCTTGTTCGTTTCGAGGCGGAATTTGTGCACGAGTACGAGGGGAAGGAGAAAGCGCTTGTGAAATTGGTGCTTCGTAGCCCGCAGATGAGGAGTCCCTATCTTCTAGTTGTCTCGCGTGCCCAGTCTTAGGAGGACGTGCTTGAGATTGGAGCTCAGATGCATAACGAGTGGAGGTGTTTTTCAAACAAGAACGTAGAGGACGTGATTGATATTCTTGACGTGGATCTCGATCTCCCGCTGTTCTTGTTTGCATGTACCGAGGATCACGTTCTTGAGATTCGGGATCATAATATGAAAAACAGATGTCGGTGCTCTTAGAAGGAGGACGTGAAGGACCCTGTTGATATCTTTGACGTGGGCCTAGATCTTCCGATTGCCTCATGCGAATGAACCGAGAATCACGTTCTTGAGATTCGGGATTATAAATAGAATAATAGACGTCGGTGCTCCCAGAAGGAGGGCGTGAACGATCTGGGTGATATCTTCGATGTGGGCCTCGATCTCTCGGTTGTCTCTCGCGAATAGACGAAGGATAACGTGCTTGATATTTGGGATCATAATCTTCGGTGCTCCCAGAAGGAGGACGTGAAGGACCTGGTTGATGTTCTTGACGTGGGACTTGATCTCTTGATAGTCTTATGCGGATATCATTAGGAGGAAGACGTGTTTGAGATCGGTGTTCATCATATACATCATAACGAGCGTCTGTGTTTTTATAAGCAGATCGAGGAGAAGCTGGTTGATATTCTGGATATGGTGGACTCCGACCTCCCGGTTGTGTTCCGTGGACAGAAGGAGGACAATTTGCTTGAGGTTGGGGTTGGGGATCAATATATGAATAACCAGCATCGATGCTCTCGAAAGAACTTGGAGTATCTGGATAATGTTTCTGACGTGGGTCCCGATCTGCGAGTGAGGTTGTGGTGGCGCATGAAATCTGAGATACAATGTTGGAGCATGCACTGGTGGATACATCTTCCCACTCTGCATTTTGATTATCTTCCTCACTGGATACATACTCGGTTTTGACGGATGAAGTTTGAGGCACGGCTTCGCAGGGTGAAATTTGAGACAAGGCTTCGAATTCATATGGATCGACGAAGGCGCTTCCCCGGCCCGTGTATGGTTCATCTTCCCCATGAACGGAAGAGTTGGGTGCCAGTGTATCGTCAGCAGATATACCACTGCTGGAGTCGTCAAAGAAGGATCTTCTCTCTCTTCGAGAAGACGTCGTTCGATCATTTGATTTGCGTGTCATTTCTCTATTTGATATTGGTTAGAATGTCTGTTGGATATTGGTTTGGTTCTTTGATTTGACGAGTGGTGAGTGAGCTCTATGAAAAGTATTTGGTTCAATATTGATGAAGCTCCAATATTGTGTTTGGTGAAGAGAAGTAGAAGACAGAAATGGATTTCAAGCAGATGCTGAGCTCTTAAACGGAAAGGTTCAAGTGATCTATGAGTCCTTGAAACATATGTATTACAAAATGAATAATCACGAATCTTTGGTGTAATCATGATTCGATTTCGCAATTCTTTGAACATGATTCGAAAGTTATAGGGTGTGTAACATCATTGATTTTAGTTTCTACTCTAGGCCTGAATACCATACATCATTCTTTCAAAAACACAGCAGTAGTCCCAGAGGTCGGCCGCCTATTCTAGTCTGGGAAAGCGAATATCCTGTGCAAACGAGTGTTCCGTATATATTTGTTTATTTTGAATTGTATCAAAGCTATTGAATGTATGAATGGGAATGGGACACTCGCTTGTACAGGATATTTGCTTTCCCTGACTGGAAAAGGCGGCCGATCCATGGAGAGCCGATTATTATCAATCATGCCTCATCATCCTTACAATAACGCGACCTCTTCTTCCATGCAGCCTTAGCCTTTATACCATATTCGATAGTTCTCTCAGCATCTGCGCTTTTAATTGCAAACTCCCTGCTTTCATCATGGACATCAGGGACGTCAAGTATCGTCTCAGACTCTCCTACTATCTGCTCTTCCTCTGCCTGTTTAGTACTTTTTTCTCCCCCCTTTTCCACCCTCTGTTCGAAATCTTCCTGATTTCGTGGAAGAGCTCCCTTATATTCATCAGGAAGCTTATACATGCCCTTCTTCGGACCTTCTTCATAATACCCCTTATGACCGGGCTCCGTGAACTGAGGTCTAGCCTCAGTCAAGCCTTGATAATAATGCTGGTTAAAGTCATCCGCTACGACGTTCTCCTTCTGTTCGGGAGGAGCTTCGTATTTGGCTGTGTTCTTCTTGTGTTCACGAGGAGAAGAAGCTTCGTATTAGGCCGCTTTCTTTGACTCGGTCTGGTTTGAAGACATTTTTCGATTTGGTGCCGGTATATGTTTATTTTGTTGGTTTGATGCTGATTTGAATGTAAGTTTGAATGCTGGCTTAAATATTAACTCGGACGATGTTTTGTATGTTGGTTATCGGGTTAGATATTGACTTTAATATTGATGATTATCACGGAAAATTTTGTAGTTGACAATAATAAAAGGAAATATAAAACGAAAGAAGACATTAGACTCTTAAATAAACAAATATAACCTGGATGATTTTGAAATCCGTACATAATTAATATGAATACTCGTAGACATATTCAACGATTCATGATTCGAGTTCCCGATTCTCCGAATTTTACTCGAAGATCCGTTTTTTTCACTCCTGTACAATCTTTCGATTATACAGATGCAAATATCTTACGTACTCGAGTATATCGACCTCATTACATTAAATATTTATATGTAGTAAGACGGAGTATACATAGGAAATGAAATACACGAGCACGAAGAAACAGTAAATAGCAAGGAAGCGTACCGTATCTATAAAGTGCATAATATCATCGATTTAAAATTTTCTAGGCCTAAATATCATTCATAATTCCTTTTTTCCCCCTTTTTCCTCCTAACAGAATCTTCGTTCCTCCCTCTCGAGATATTTCAATAATCCGGAGAATCAAAGAATCACAGTATTTCCAACTGTTGGACTTTTGTGATTTAGACTCACATAATTCGCACTGTCGGAAACTCCGAATCCTCAATTCTCTATCTCCCTCATCATTCCTTTTAGTTTCTTCTTCTATCCCTTCGCAATGTGAATCTTTCCTCAGGCAATGTTTCAGTTTCTCTCAAAGCCCTTTCCAGTTCCTCCTGTCTAGCTTTTTCCTGCTCGAATCTCAACTCCTCTTCCCGTTCCCGTTCCCTTTGCCGTCTAGCTGTTATCTGAATCCTTCTCAACTCTTCATGTTCCCTTTTCCGTACATATTCTTCCCTTTCTCTTGCGCTGTCCGATTTACCTGTACCTCTTCTCTGATCATAGTCACCCTTCCTATCTTCACTCTCAACCTGTTGTTCTCCCTTAGAAGTACCTCGCCTCTCAGCCGTTCCATTCGCCGCCCCATCCTTCTCGTGCACCACACGTCTCCCATCCACAGTATTCTTTGGTCTTTTAAAAACGATTTGGGTCTGAGGTTGGGATGCCATTTTCGATTTGTTATTCGATTCAAGATGGGTTTGCTACTGATTTGGATGTTGGATTTGAAGTAGGTTTGATGATTTGTACTGCCGTTGATTTGAGTACGGATTTGGATATCGATTTGATTCTGATTTGAGAACAGGTACTTGATCTGGACTGGAGGCTGGCTCAAATATTCGATTTGATATCGATATGAATACAGGTTTGTATGCTGCTTTGAATATCGATTTGGATGCTGGTTTAATTTTAACTTGAGTATTGGTTTTAATGCAGATAATGGAAAGTTTTGATTTTGATTTTGTTGAAGTTCGTAGAGAGAAGAAGAAATTGACAATAAAAAAGATCAAGGAGCTGTGCTTTTGAATACACAAAATCCTAGCTATGTGAGTCCCTAAATTTCACAAAATCCGAACATTCATATTCATATCCATCAATGACTCTCATTCACAACACTCCAAACTTGACTTCAAGCTCCTGAATCATCGCTACCAATCTGTTAACTGCAAGTACTTACATAGATTCATAGAATCAATAGTATCCCTTCATATTCGTAAAACCATGCAAAGAAAGCCATGGCTTTCATTCGCAACCCCTCGAACCTGACTCAAAGATCATTTCTCTTCGGTTCCAATTTCTTGATTGGAGCTACTTATATAAGTCCCCAAAATCCACAGTATCTCAATATTCATTCTCGAGAATTCAAAAATAAAATACAATATGTTATGACTCTCTCTCGCAACACCCTGAAACCATAATTCAATGAGCCTGACTCCAAGCTCCTTTCCTCTCACCCTCAATCTATTGACTACAGCTACCTACATAAATTCCTAGAAGTCATATTTATCCCAATATTTATACTCGTAAATTTTTGTAAAAAACCACAATTCCATTCATAACCCCCTGAAATATTGCTTCCCTGAACCTGACTCCAAGCACCATTTCTTGCACACCCCCAATCTCTTGATTGCAGCTACTTACTTGAGTATCTGAGTCCCCCAAATCCAAAAAGTTCCCACCCCAAACTTTGCTTCCACCGGGCACCCCTCTCTGAACCCGACTCTAGGTTCGCTCCTTTGCCTTGACCTTAATTCCTCTTACCTCATTTTCTCAACTCCAACTACAACTACAACTACAACAACCACCACACCAATCCCCTAAAATCCGTACTCTACCCACATTCCATCCACCAAGCACCACCACTGCTCATATCCACACTCATTCCCACAATATAGCATAATGCACTCACATAAAACAATATCTATAAATATCCCTTAATATCCCTAAGTATCTATTCATCTTCCATAGAATAAATTACCGCCTCCCCCCCCCCTCGATCTCCTCCCTCGATCTAGACCTCGAACCTCGCATCTCACCTCCTCTGTCTGACCAAGGCACAACTTCTACTGTACATCAAATTCCTTCACTTCGCTCACTAATCCTTCTTTTGTATAAATACTCGAGAACTACAAATACTACAACTACAAGTATATATATCCTACACATATTTCAAGTATATAGTATTAGAATTTTAAAAAAGCATTTCTACACATTCAAGTTTAGTCTTTAGATATAATAGAGTACCAATAGTCCAGACTACAATCCAACAATAAGTAAGATATTTTCAATTCCTAAATATATCTCAAACATTGAAACTATCAAAAATATTAAAACAATTTCAATTACCAAATACATTTGAAATAATGAATTATTTGAAATTCTTCAATTCCGAGTCTTTTCAAAGATTCAAAATATTTTGAATATTGGAATCTTTTTTGTTGGATTGTAGTCTGGACTACTAGTATTGGATACTCTGGATTATTAGATATTAAATATGTACTTACTTCCTTCAAGTTTATTCATTTACCGGCTTACAAAATACTGCCAGCTGTTGCAACCTTTACCATCACCATCACCATAACCATAACCATAACCATAACCACCATCCAAATCCAAATTCAGATTCAGTTTCCAGACTCGTAAAAGCACCTATAAATCAGGCATTCCTTAATTATAAGTTCTACAACCCCATCCCACCCCCTAACTATACCTCCATATCTCCAACCTCACCTCTACTCCCTTCCCTTCCCTTCCCTTCCCTTCCCTTCCCTTCCCTTCCGTTTTCCCCCCTCCCTCTAACCCCTCCCTCTAACCCCTCCCCTTCCAACTGCAATTATTTTCCTTCATTACAAATGATAAATCCCCTACAATATCCTAAAGTCTCCTGATATCCACGCTCCATTCCATCCACCCTAGGTATTGATTCCACTTGGAATTGGATTGGACTGAAACATTCACTTACTTACCCACCCATACATCCCATCCACCCAACCCACTCTAAACTTTCTTCAAGTTCCCACTCAACTTCCCCCCCGCCCCCGGGCCCCTCCGAGAAACCTTTGTACTTTTTTCTATTTCCTTCCTTTTTTCTTTTCCCTTCCCTTCCTCTCCTCTCCTGTCCTCCTCTCTATTCTCCTTTCCATTCCCTTCCTTCCTTCCTTCCTTCCCATCTCACCTCATCTCATCTCAACCCCCCTTCCCTTCCCTCTCCCCTCTTTCTTCTCTATTCCAGGAATAGAATCCAATTCCAAAATCATTCTCACTCGATTCGACTCAACTCGACTCGAGTCAACTCACTTATTTACTCGAGTATATATACGAATTTCAAAATCTATGATTTACCAAATATCCCAATTTATCCCAACCCATCCCAATCTAACCTAGCCCAAGCCAAACCACACGATACACATAATCTTCTCACTAGCCTCACATCTTCACAAACCCATATCCTCACTCTCTTCAATCTCTTCACATTCTTCACCTCACCTCACTTAATAACCATTTCCATTTTATTTTATTTTATTTTATTGTATAGATACACATCCCATCCCACAACACACCCCATCACATCCCACAATCAACAACATCACCCATCAACATCACCCATCACCCACCACCCAAACTAACCATCCCATCAAATCTACGACATTCATTCATTCATTCATTCGAAATCGTTCGTTCATTCCCCACCCAGCTAGCCGTACCTGCCTACCTCCCCCCTCACTCCACTCCACTCCCCTCCCCATCCCCCTCAACGCACAATCATTTTAAAATCATTTTAAACCTAGCACATCAATCCATCAACCCATCCATCATCCATCACTAGACGAATATGAATGCTCGCTCGCCCGCCCGTCGCCCGCCAGCCAAAATCAAAGCCAGCCAAAGCCAAGCCCCACAAACGATAAAATTTACTTTTACTCTCAATAAAACATCCATACATCCATATACGCACGCACACACACACACGCATATCATATCATATCATCTCATCATACCACATCAGACCACCACCATCACCACCATCAAAAAGTCAAAATCTAAACACGAAAGCGAAAAAAAAGAAAGTATAATTCTATCTATGTACAGATACAGATACAGAACGTCGGTCACTAACTTGCAAACATCGACGCCAACCAATCTCAATATGATATTTCATTAATTTTGTAACATCGTATCCAGAAGAAGATATGTCAGTCAACTTTAACTTTGACGTTAGCTGATAGCTATTAGCTATCAGAGTTGCTTTGCTGTTGTTCCATCACTTAAACAGCCAGCCACAAGATCATATCATGTGATTGCTGTTGAAGCAGTTTTTATTTCCGGCTAAAGTGCGGATTTAAGTCGAGTGTGGTGATGTAGTAATTCAAGAGTCGGAGTTAGGTTTCGCTCATTAGGGAGAACGTGGGTAAGTAACGCCCAGGAAGACGTTCGTTTGGATTTTATGCTGAAGAATTTAAACTTCCATGTTATTTTGCCGAATGAAATAAGCCCTGATGGATATATTAGTATGTTACAAAATGTATGTCGTGAAAACACTTACTTGCAAGCCTCATATGCAGACCAACAAATGGCAGTACTTGGCATAGTAGTAACGACTCTTGGTTTGACACCCTTAAAAAATCCAGCGAAACCCGCCCTTCGATGAATTACCCGACATCCTTCTACAAAACCACTGACATTTCTTAATTCTGCATCGGTGGCCGTTCCTCTCGTTTGTAATAGAGTCTTAACCACATCCATGGGGGTTGTGAGCGCAGCCGCAAATCCTCCTGCCACCGCACCAGCTGTACAATGGGTCCATGGATCATATGATTTGGAAGGATTCATGACCGTCGACAACGATTCGTATGCGAGGAATTGGAGAGCAGTGAATGGTACTGTCATCGAGAGTGTGGTGGGATAGGAAACGTAGAATGCGGTGAGACCTTCGCTTCGATAGACGTATCTAGCACAATCAGTCATTGATTTGTACATTACTTTCGAATTATGCATTTGCATGCGCTGCTTGATAACTAGAAAATGTCATTTAATAATCTTCTAAAAGATCCATCATAAATATCTTACCATCAAAAGGATTCATGAGAGCATCACTAGCAATAGTTGCGCAAGCCCCACTTGTTGCTATTCATTGTTAGCAAGTCTGAACTATTTTGAACCTTCACCAAAAACAAACCAGCAGCAAGAGGGTGATGAACACCAGCTTGATTTCCTCCCATAACATGTTTTACAGCTTCATATGTAGCAAAATAAACAGCATGTGCCGGTCCTAGAATATTATCAGTACTTTTCCGTGCATATCCGAACGAGAACAAAACTGACCAGCTCCCACAACCACACTTGACATGCCCCGCCATAAACTAAAAAGTCCCTCTCCAGTAGCTATCCGGTATCCTCCTTGTATCATACCATTGTAGACGGCGGATGGGGTTGGGTTGAGGATTTGCATTCGGGTCTGCGCCAGGTCAATATAGCTTCTTGATTTCATATGAGGGGCAATCCGTATATACCTTGATCGCATCGATCGGATACATAACAGTATGTTCCTATATGTCCATCAGTATCGATTGAAAAGAATTCCGCAGATCGAATAAGCGTACCGCAATTCCGGCAAAGGCGCCCGCAACCATATTCTGGATCAACGAAAAGTTTGGTGGGAGAGATTCATATCTAGCCAACAAGATATCAGTAAGTTGCGCCAGTTAACCAGATTCAAGAATGGAACCAATTGCCCTCATAGCCATAAACACATACTCATCATATTCCTCCAAAGGCTCTGCGTCTGGCTTAGCCATTTGGGCTAATGCCGCAGATCCTCCTCCAACTTGAGCTGATTGAAGAGCCAGGTTGTCGACTTCCGTAGAATCAACAGTGAACGTCGCAGTCCTATGAAGATTCAAAGTATCGAAATCGCGAAGCTTCTAATCTAATAGAAGTTTTCTGCGATCGAGTTGTGGTTGAGGGGCGGCGAGAGGAGGGGTGGCGGGTTGATTGGTGGTTATCGGTGGAAAGTTGAAGGTTGAGAGCAAAATAAAAAAAGTGGTGATGCCTGTGTTTATCTCTTTACAAGTAGAAAGATCCGAGATACAAACAGAACAGGGGTTATTTGGTAACAGAATCGGGACTGAAGTAGCTTGTATAAATAACTGGAATAGTCTTTATTATATTATGTTTGTAAAATCAAATCAGAATCACAATTGAACACAGGAAGAAAACAGTCCAAAGACCTTGTTGTGTTGGGATTACTGTATTGATACTGACATCAATCCTTCAACAAACAATAATCAAAATCACACAAAAAATACAATCAAAATGTTTGTACTATACAGCTCTTGACAACTAGAAGAATTTTCACTAAGAGAACAATGGAATGAAATTGTAAGATATATATGAACATTACGTATTGCCATTGAAAAAAAAATCAATTCTTTGTTGTCTCTCACCTCCGCTTTCGCAACCTTTGATCAAATTTCTGCTTATTGCCTTACCTACTGTTGGCTGAAAAGCTTTTTGAATACTTCCACGGAGTTATCAATCTATTTTCCAAGAAGACGGGTCCGAAGTTGAAGGAATAAATCTTCGGCTCCTGCGGCTGAGTAGATATATATACCTAGGTAAGTAGAAACCTTATCCTCTCGCTCACTCCTGATCTAGGTATATTTGAAGCGATCCGATTATTCGGTACATAATTTAGAATTAGACCTAGACCCTTCAATCCACCCCGCCACCGACGTTGGTAGGTAACCAGCCCTAGGGCATTTCCCCCTTTTGCATCGCATCAAGGCTCGCTCGCTCGCGAGTTGCAGCAAGGGAGGGAAGGGAACGTCCATGTCCATTTACCGACAGAAAGGCAACGGCCGCAGGGTCACAGGCACAACAAACACTAGCACAGTCCCTGAAATAAGTACACACACACACACCAAACAACCAAACACCCATATTCAATTCATTCATTCGGTAGCCAACCAACCTATCATACCCTATCACATATCACATACCTACCTATCAACATCATCATCGTACGATATACGAGTACAAGTATCCATCCCCGAACACCTTCTTAACTTACCTAGGTAAAACCTCCCCTCCCTCGCACATCCTTATCATTCATCATATTCATCATGCCATTTTAGCAGAAACCCCATTCCCTCACTCTAAATGCCATCCCACTTTCCGAGAATTCCCATTCTACATCTTCTGGCATTTGAAGAATGCTGATGAAGGGATGAAGGGATCAGTAGCGCCTTTTTGAGTGTGTGAGCATAGAGATGGTGGCTTGACTTTTGAGGTAACCAAAGAGGCTTGAAACCTTGAAACCTTGAGTTTGGTTTTTTTTCGTGTTCGGGTTTTGGTTTAGGGCAAATTGTATTGTGACGTTACTACGAGTAAATTATCAATATTGAGTACTGATTATCATATGAAACCTATGTTGTACTATTCTGAATCAAATTCTCAACAACATCAACATTAGTAGTAGTCGCCATCTTTATTCACTTGCATACATATATATTTGATACTGATCAAAGCACATTCTTTTCTTGGCATATTAAATGATACTGAATGTATTGATATATGAATAACATTCTAAATTATACTCCCATTACAAGTTGGCCTCGCTTCTTATCCAGGGGCTTCAGCCAATAAAATGCATATACCCTCGCCTTCGCCGAACGACCTTAAAACTCCGGAACCTCCATAACCTTCATAACCTCCATATTCCCTCGCTATCAAATGCTAACTCCGGGTCTACCATTGGTTTGCGCCTTCTGAAATTGATACAACAGTCCCAAGACTCCACCTCCCGCAACTCCATCACCATCTTCTTCCTCATCTTTAACTCCCCCAGTGTTCCCTCTGGTTGGAGACACTTCCCATGTTGATTCACCCAGATTCGCAACAGTCTCATCAATTGCATGAGATCTTCCAGGTTGAACTGCTGATCGACCAAGTTCATCCTCGTCTTCTATTGGCTCTTCAATGATATTAGCTCCTCTGCGAGCTTGATATCGTGATCGAGAGTTTCGTCGAACGCTACGGGCTCCGAATCCAGAGGTTGACGGATGATGATGAGGATCCAAAAGGACGGAGGCCATAGGAGATCCGTTAGCACCAGTATTAGGTGGGAATCGAGGTGTCCGTGCGGCTTGCTGTGGACCGTTGGGCCCTCTATTCATCGGTCTTGCCTCACTGCGACCCATCCTTGAGCTAGTCATATCCGCAGCTAATGTAGGCGACATCAAGCCTGGAAAAGCTGGAGGAGGATGAAATTGCTGTCGCATGCCCGGTGGATTATGTCCTGGTACACCTGTTTTTGGATTGAGCAAGTAGTTGTCCAGAAAACCATAATATGAGGCGGCCATTTTGCCATGCTTCGTGGAATAATAATCCTCTCGCACGTCGGTATTGAGCCTACCTTGTGTTGGAGTTCTTCCAATCCCCTTCTTGAAGTCGAATACCGCGAATGAGCAAACATATCCAACACCATCAACATGAACAGTGAATTCTCTGAAGAAGTCAATGATCTGATCAGCGCACTTTGGTAAGCTGAACCATAACAGAAATGGAGTGATTATGATACTAAAGACTTCTTCAAAAAATATCCCGAGTTTAAGTTGGTAGAGACTAGAGAACTCTCTCTTGACTTCGTCGCTGTGGAGTCGACCTTGCCAGTGGTTAGGCATGTAATGAGTGTATTCGACCACGTTCCGGAGCGCGTACTCGGGGTCGAAAACAAGATTTTCATCTGGTATCATGCCATTTGTGATAGCCCAAAGCGGTCCAAAGATTCCAAGATAGAATAATACCGACCTTTCTGGGGTAATATCAAACTTGAGAAAGACATCAGGATCCCAGATCGTGGCAATTACCAAAACCGATACAACGGCGCCCGCCATGAACGTTATGAATTTAGCCATATGGGCCATTTTGACCTTTGGAAATTGGTCGAGGTATCGCGATGCAAAGGGGTATGACATGTTTACCCGTTTGTTGAATAAATGATGAAGCTCGTTGAACTCTCTAAATTTCCACTCTGCGAGAGGTGTATATGAGCGCGATCCGAGAGCCGCAGGATTTTTATGATATTGCTAAAAGACGGGTAAGCAAGAACTCAAGACTCGGGGATAGAGTATAATCACGTTGAAGTATCTGAAGAAATACACGATCACCACATATATAACGATGACCGGAGCACAGATAACATTCATCAAACCTGCGAACAAGAATCTATCTCGCAACCCATCGCTTAACTCTCGTCGATGAGAATCTTTCAGAACCAATTGTCTGACCTGGCCATAGTCATTGAAGACAAAATCTAGTATGCACCACTCTAAGTTCCACTGTAAAGTTTTTGAAAAAAGCTGCCGACCTTGCAGAAAAGGGAGTGGCAGGGTAAGATCAAGAACTTCCTTGTTAAACAGGGCGATGAGGTAATTTTCTTTCCTCATCAAGCGATTGGCTATGTCATGGGCATCGAGTCGTTCTTTTGATTGAGTGCCCAAGATCCATTTTCGATTATACGGCGAAATTCTCTCCACTGTGATAGGATTTGCGTCTCGCAGGGCCATGACTCTGGCGACAACATCTTGCCAAGACACGGTCTGCATATCGCTATCCTGGATCTCAAGGAGATATGTATAGAAGTCACGCATTTTCATAAGTCTCGGAAGATCCGTCAAAAGCTGGTATACTCTATAGAGTACAAACAGGCAGAGGAGCCATATTGCTACATTTGAAAATCCAGATATCTTCTTTGTGCATTGTGGAACCAATGCTTCATTCAAGCTGTGAGCGTGTTCACGTTGTATCTTCTTATAGTCGACACATTGTGTAAGGAAAGTCGTAAATATTGCTACAAAAACAAGTGTGCTAACAAACACAAATTAGCCTGAATTCGCTTCACTTCAGAAAGGTGGACTCACAGGAGGTCAATGACTTTGGCGAGAACTATGGACCAAATTCCCGTCCCCTCAAAATAATCATACACATCTCTAATGAAATTGTCGAGGTTTGTCACGTTAACCCATCGCCACATAGCTTTATCTTTCGGACTGCCTGTCAAGAACCCAGTGCTTCGAGGAGTGGGTTGTGGTGTCTGAGGCACACCAGAGGTTCTGATTTCATCATCCTCATGTAATTTCTGCTGTGCCTGCGTCATTTCCCAATGAGCTGTCTCTCTTGCTTCTCTTGTCTCTCGTGCGGATGGTCCCGTTACTGCAGGAGCTATCTTTGGTAGTGCTGTCTGCCTTATTCGGGCGTGGTTTGGGGTCTCCGGATCGGGATGACGATTGTTTCCCTCGATCAACAATGAAGCAGGCACATCATCGTCGGGGTCTTCTTCAAGTAATCTCGGCGATTCTGCCAAATGATGTGAGCGATCTTTGCCCTTTCCTTTGCGATGATGTCTTGGCTTTTGAGGTATTTGTTGTTGCCCAGGCAGAAATGCCGTGCTCTCTGTAACTGATTCGCCGTCAAGTATATCTGCCGGTTCTCCTAATTCATCATCGTGAAACCTTAGATTCTCCTCATCGAGTGCCATCCCCGCTCGTTCTTCTATATCTGATTCGGATGCTTCGTCGTGAGCACGTATTTCGTCATAGATTGATCGACCTTGGGGATTTGATGGTAGAAGCCGTGAAATGAGATTCGAGGTCATCATTTTGAGAAGGCGCGATTAGACTTCACCAAGCTGCGTGAGTGTAAGATTGTTCTGTGAACGAGAGTTGGACCTTTTTGACTTGTAGTCAAAATCGCAATGAACTATCGTTCTGTAGGTTGTAAGTTGGAGACCTGGAAATGGACAAACGAGTATTAATGAACTTGCGAGTGACTGTGAGATCGAATGGAATATGATACATGACTGGGAGGATCGAGGCATACGGTCAACACAGTACGGTCAACATATCTTCAAATCACCTAACTGATATGGATGGCTCATAAATGTGGTTAAGATAAAGAGCACGAGATAATAGGTGAATGACCTCAAAGTCGCCCACTCCCCAGCGATACGGCAATTCGGTATATGCCATGCTGACCGCCTCCTTATCAGCCGAGAATAGCTTAGCGTCTACGATAGCCATGAAACCATCAATCATGGAACTTGTGTTTGAGACAATCAAAACGGTCAAAGATAGAGAGAACGTTGAATACAAATATCAAAAAATATGACGGTTGATTACTTTACCCGCAAACAGTCATATTCGGGGTTGAGTGATGGGACTGACTCTCCTGGGAGCCCTTTGGCATCAAGGACCAACCCATTATCTTCAAAAGTCACGAGTGTCCTTTCAGCAACTTATGCCGATTCAGATATTAGAGATGCTCTGTCCTTATTAGACAAACGAGGTATTCAAAATACTGCTGAGACTAGACGGCAGTTAAGGTTAGATGTTCAAAAGGAGGTTATTGAAAGTAATGGCGACATAATTCGTGAATTTGGCCATGTTGCAGAGGTATGAGGCTTTCCCCCCTGTGTTTAAAATCCATCTTCTCATTTATAACATTAGCAACTTAAACGTATTGGTCTTACTATTGCTACTTTGAATCAAGGATGTGAAGAGATGAAGCGCCATATTTCGGCCGCCCATCAAGAAACAGCTCCTGTCATACAGGAAGCTTCCGAGCTCATGAAGCAAAGGCAGCAAATGCAAGCAAAGCAAGAATTATTGAATGCCTTCAATGCCCATTTTGTTATGTCAGATGATGATATTGCACTACTTACTTCAACGGCTGAGCCTGTGAACGACAGATTTTTCTCCATCCTTAACAGAGCGAAGAAAATTCAAATTGATTGTGAGATTCTACTTGGGACGGAGAATCAACGGCTAGGATTGGAAATTATGGAGCAAACCTCGAAAAGTCTCAATGGTGCTTTCCAAAAACTTTATCGGTGGATACAGAGAGAGTTCAAGACACTCAATCTGGAAAATCCACAGATAAGTTCTTCAATCCGCAGAGCCCTTCGAGTCCTAGCAGAACGACCCTCGCTATTCCAAAGCTGTCTTGACTTTTTTGCTGAAGCACGAGAGAATATACTCTCTGATGGGTTCTACACTGCACTGACGGGTACCACCGTTGCAGGCGATGAGGATTCTTTGATAAAGCCAATCGAGTTGGTAGCTCATGATCCATTACGTTATGTGGGAGACATGCTAGCATGGACTCATTCAGCCACGGTAGGCGAAAGAGAAGCTCTCGAAGTACTTTTTATCTCAGATGGTGATGAAATTGCAAAAGGAATACAAGCCGGGCTAGACAGTGAACCTTGGAATCGTATATCAGAAAAGGAGGATGAAATTGGCCACTTCGATGGTTTGAAAGCTCTCAACGAATTGGTAGACCGGGATGTCACAGGCGTCGCACGGGTTCTACGCCAAAGAATTAGCCAAGTGATACAAAGTCACGAAGAGACAATCATGGCATATAAAATAGCAAATCTGTTGAATTTCTACCGCGGTACATTCAAAAGGTTGCTGGGAGATGAGTCCGTCCTCCTCGACTCACTCGCAACCCTCGAAGAGACGGCTTTACGTCAATTCCGCGCCTTAATGCGCGATCATATCACCAGTCTCCAAGCCGAAACCCAAATTGCCCCTCCTAACCTCGGTCCCCCTGATTTTCTTCACGAGAACCTCAAACAGCTTACTGCCATCATGAAAACATACGAAACATCCTTCACATCCCCGGAAACCAGAGAAGTCGATTTCGAGCCCATTCTCACCGAAGCATTTGACCCATTCATGAAAGGCAGTGAAAGCATCGCGAAGGATCTCCCAACACCCAACTGCACAATCTTCACAATTAATTGTCTCCTATCCGCCCAAGCAACCCTGGCCCCCTTCGACTTCACCGCCTCCCGCGTACAAGAAATTAAAGATACCATAGAAGAACATGCCACTGCTCTCATAGACCACCAATACAAATTTTTGCTCGAAAAGTCTGCCTTGCAACCCCTTCTACAAGTACTATCCACCACCACAGATATCAGAGACCACCCAGTATTCCAACCTACCTCCCTAATTCAAGCCTCTCAAACTCTAGATGCTTTCTTACCATCAGCATTGATGGACGCGATGGAGAATCTCAAAGATTTACAAAGCAGTATATTAGTAAGACAAATAACCGAAGAAGCGGCAGAGAGATTCTGTGATGATTTTGAGAAGGTAGAAGAGAGACTTATGAAGGCCGATGAAGAGTTGGAAGAGAGCTTGGATGAGGATGATGAAGAGCGGGAACCACTACGAGTGTTGTATCCGAGGACTGGGGGAGAAATTAGGGTTTTGTTGTCGTAAGGTAAGACTTGGCGGTGTCCAATCTAATCTGTGAAGATTACCAAATTCAAAGATAGTATAGTGGAAAATCTTCATATGCCTCGTCATACTGAATGAGTCACGTGGTAATCCTATGAATGCTCCAAACCGATCAATATTCCAAGTGGATGTGATGGGTCGGTCAATAGATCTGGTGGTCCAGTAGATCAGAGTCGATCTTTCGCATCATATCGAATTGTATCAATTCAATACGAGTACAATGCAATGTCACGGTCCCACGCATCCAAATAATTTCAACAATTCAAAACAAAATATGAGAAGTGAGAAGTGGTCACCATGATATAACACACCATCCATCCCATATCCCATACCAAACAAGAGACATCCAATCTTCATGTCTTCAAGTCTTTAAGTCTCCAAGTCTCCATTGGAAATCTTCAAATCCAATAAATCATTCTACTCTAGTCTCCAGGAATAGTTCAATCTTATATTTTACTCTACTCGAGTAGGTGCCAGTGAATTCCATTCAATACCACTGGCAAGGAAGTTTCCTATGATGTATCCAGACGGCCATCTATCATATTCCAATTCATCCATCATGTTCCAAAGCCGGAAAGGATGTGCATGTGATGTGTAAAACTTGGTCCAGATATATAGGAGACTAGACTAGACTAAGAGTAGAACTTGGAAGTGAAATAAACTTTCGCTAGGTACTGCTTGGCTAAGTTGGCTTAATTAGCTTACTCCGGACCTGTCTCCGGACCAGTTATGTTAAGTCTCCGAACCAATTAAGTGTCCGGTATCGGATTTGAGAACTCATTATTGGAATTTTATTGAAGATATACAAACCTGACGACATAGGGATAATGGAGACATTTATTTTGATTACAGTATCTAGTAATAGTCCGGACTGAAATCCAATTAAAGGGATTCCAATGTTTGAAATATTTTTAATCATTGAAAGTAATTGAATTATTATTTTATATAATCTATTGTTCTAAATATATTTGATAATTGAAATCATTTCAATATTTTAAATCAAAACAATGTTTAAGATAGATTCGGGAATTAAGAATATCTTATTGTTGGATTACAATCTGGACTATTGGATACCCTAGGTAGCTGAGGATTTTTGGATAGAGAATAGTGTGTAGAATAACAATCCTGACACGTTGAAGGGTGTTCAGGTTGTAGGGATGGAGAAGGGTGTCCTTATTATTGTGATGAGAAGTGAAGCTATACTAATCGACTAGGCTAGAGTCGCACCTTCCATATTGATCCCCAACAAAGTTTCCACCATCTTGATTATGAATCTATGATCAGCATGGTAGCTTAGGATTTTTAGATAGACAACAGTGTGTAGAATGACAGTCTTGACACGTTTCCACCAGGATGATCTTTGGAGCTCTTGGGGCACCAACTATTCCCTTTCTCTCCAGAAACGTCGTCTCGCAAATCAGTGCTTGGATAGGAGCAATGATGACTCTTTTTCTCTCTCTTGCCTGCTCAAGCGAATCGCTCTCCTCGACCAAGATCCCTTCAATTCACCATTCAAGTTCTGTACGCTTGTTTCCGGTACCATTTTCTTGATCGGTATTTCTGCAGACATAACGTATTTCCCTGCCTATATACCCAATTTGGAGGTCTGGACCAACCATTGACCGTATTGGTAGTTGAAGAGAATTATTAGGATTATAACGAAGACGAAAAATACAAGATGATGAATCTTTTGATACGTAAAGTAGCGGAGGAAATGGGTCCAGTCTTTGATTTCAGGGCGAACAGCCCGAATGATCCAGAATGGAGTTATGACCCACATCATGTAAATATAGGTTGAATCGCATTGGGACATTAAAGGTGGGATTCCTTGTCGCGAGCCAGACAGATAAATTGCGAGGCGTTCTTTTCGAAGTTGAATGTCTTTCTTCACACGTTCCGGCGTCAATGACTTCCTAGGGAATTCGAAGGGTAAATTGGGACATGTCCTTTCATCAATGGATTCAAAAACCTCTCGAACCTGAGAAAGCCGTCGTCCCTTCCCTCTTTGCACTTTTCTTAAAGCGGCACACCAAGTAAATTTCATAAGCCCTAACTAGGTCTTTACCTTTACGTGACATAATGGCCTACTAGTAGTTAGGCCCAAATATCGTGAGGAAATATTACATTGCTCGGATTTGAGATAATCTCTAAATTCAGATAATCTCAAAGTTCTTATTTGTATCGTCATTGATCTACTCGTAGAGTATAAAGCAAATACAACTCGATTTCGATCATTGAAATAATTTTAAATATTAAATTCGTATAGAACATTGACTTTGTATAGAACATTAACTCTATATAGATCATCGAATCAACTTAATATATTGAAACTATTTGAATTGTTATAATCATTTGATATATTGAAGTTATTTCAAAGTCTCTATTTTATTAATATATTATCTTTATATAAAATCTTGAATCTATTTTATATATTGAGACTATTTGAAAGTTTGTAATCATTTGATATATTGAAGTTGTCTCAAAGTCTCGATTTCGTTAATATATTATCTCTATATGAAATATTGAATCTATTTTAAAGATTGTAATCATTTGATACATTGAAGTTGTCTCTCAAAGTCTCTATTCTATTAATATATTATCTTTGTATAAGTTGTTAAATCTGTTTGATATGATGAATCTATTTGAAAGATTGTAATCATTTGATACAATATAGCTATCTCAAGATCTCTATTCTATTATTACATTGTCTCACTTCAAAATATTGGATTTATTTGATATAATAAGATCGTTTGAAAGATTACAATCATTTGAGAGAACTTACATTGTATTAATATACTAGCAGCTCCAAGGTCTCCTACTATGGAGATAGCAATTTACTTGTGCATGAAAGCCAGAAGTTTAGGGGTGAACTTTCAGTAATTCGAACCAAGTATCTAAATCTAAATTACCCACAAAAGCCCATTGCTACCGGCGCCTCAATTTGTCTAGTAGTCTACTAAACCTTTATGAAGAGTCAAGCGCTACTATACATCTTATATGAGGTGTCTCTGGAGTCTGAATGATGAAGCTAGCCATTGTACGAGTAGTGGACAATAGAGATTACCAATACATTCTATAGAGTGATAATTAACTTTATTGATACGGATACGAGTAACGAAATTGACAATTTGCTTTCAGAGTCTAATTGAGAGGAATTATTCGAATAATTGACATGAAATTTGTTGTGATCCGAGTCGGAGATAATAGAGCGACGAGCGAGTTTCTTTGTATTATCTAATCACTAGGGTAATAGCATTCTAGGGAGAACTTTATATTTCAAGTTACAGTACACTATAGCTATTTGAAGGTTTTATTGCGAGTTAACTAAAACATCTAGATGGTAAGTTTCCATTCAAATAGATTGGAATATCGGAGAGTACGACTTTACAAGTGGCTGGGTTGCATACTAGTAGAAGGAGAGAAGAACAGTGTTGATATATATCACCATGCGGATGGTGAAATAGATAGTAAGTACTATGGGATTCACGTTATTATTATCGCTGAAGGAAGTAACTACAGAGGTGGTCGAGGATAAATATTAGATATATAGAGAGTGTCCAGGCCCTTAGCATATCTAATATGATTATCTCGATATTAATATATGAACAAATAAATTCACTTCATCATATTAACCTAGTTATTATCACCATAATAGTACCAACAGTTCCTTCTCTTATAAGATAAATAGATCCAAGTTCCTTTCCATTCCTTTGCAATAATCTGACAATCATATAGTTGTTATATACCAGTATTTCCCAATCACAGCACTTGACTCATATAAATCTATTATCTTCAAGTTCTTCAAGTTCTTCAAGCTCTTCAAGGCCAGTATACCATATCTATTATATTAAAAATAAATAAATATAGCAAGTGCAATAAAATAAGCAGGTCTATATATTCTCACCTTATACCTTGTACCATGAAAAATAATCATAATATGATACCAGCAGTTCCTTCTCTTATAATGTAAAATAAATCCAAGTTCCTTTTCATTCCCTTCAAGTTGCAATAACTTGACAACTACACATTTATTAGGTATGTAAGATTACTAGTAGCTCCTAATCATCGCTGTTGCCTCATTGAACTTATTATCTTCAACTTTCATATTCTTCGAGATCAATTCTAGCTTATACATTACTCATATATAGCAAGAGGGGGTATTGTATAATCTATACCTCAACCCCGACCTCAAACTCTCGATTCAGTAGATAGAGGTCAATACTTCCCTCCTCCTTTTCTTCCTTCCTCCTCTCTTCCCCCCTCCCTTCCTTCTTTCCCTCCTTCCATTAATATCATATTTACATTTACATTAACCCCCGACACCAACCCCGACACCCACCCCAACAACAAACCCCCAGAATGAATCCTCAAGTGCAACCCTGCCAGTGACATAATAATAATACTCAAGATCGAGTTCAACATCCAGATCAACATCGACATCAACCACATATACACCAAACACCAAATGCCAAGTTTCTTCCTTCCCTTCAAACTAACCAGCTTCCACCTACCTACCTACCTACCAACCTAGCCAATCAAGAATACTGTCCCGTACTATACTCACTGCACCGGTAATATCCCATATTCCATATCTAACATCTACCACCTAACATCCCACCTAACATCCCATCCAACATCCCATCCCATCCAACACCTCATCCAAATGACGCATAGAATATCTACCCATTTCATACATTCGTGCATTCATATATTCGTGCATTCACACAATACCTTGAATCCATCCACATATCCATCAATCCATCCATCCATTCCCTCACCTTATTATATCTCAAGCTTATTACCCTAAATTATACGAGTACTATCCAAAGCCCTCCCTCAAGTTTAATTATATAAAAAGTAGATCAGATAAATACGAGTAGATACAGTAATTAGATATAATTTCATTTGATATATATATATCCACTTGATGTACTAGTATTGTATCATCCATCCATCACCATCTCTACAACACACAACAGAATATTAAATATAATCTGGGAATATACAAATTTCAAACTCGTTACCTCCTATCATACAAGTACAGATCAATAGCAATCTCGGCATCAAATGTTCCGAAACCCATTCAATTCATCAATGCAACCAGCTGTAGTTGGCCAATCTATATTCCCATAAACGCACTCTATCCCACGACTCCCTCTACTCAAACCACATCCTCATCCTCCCACTGACCTCTAATCTTCTCCCCCATCAACAACTCCCTAACATTCATCCTCGCACTCCAAACCAAATTCTCCGTCATACCCTTCTCCCTCACCTCCCCCTTCTCCCCCCCCACCTTCTGAATATCCGAATCTCCACCTACCCACCCTTTTGCCTTATGATGCTGAAACAGTGCCGGCGTCACACTCACACATCTCATGCCCAGCCTCTTCCTATCTCTACCCCATCTACACAGTCCCGCTAGCGCATTATCAAACGGTCCCGCCAATTTATCCACACTAAGATCCCAGAGGACTTTCCGCGCCCCTTGTTGACTCAACGCATATGCAAATGTACAGATGGGTCCTCCACTTGTATGAACCCATCTCGTATATGGGTTTTGGGTGGCGTTTTGGAAGCCTTTGAAGTGTGCGGGGGGGCTACGGTAGGATCGGAGGTGATGATGTATTTTCGGGAGAGATGTGCGATTTCGGGGGTGGAGGGAGGGAGAGATTTGTATTCGTCGAGGGTTTCGGGGAAGACTTCGCCGCAGTGGCCGAGCCAAAGTAGATCCCAGTTATCGCCGTAGGGAGAAATGAGATGTGCTGGGGTGCTGGAGGGGTATTGGATGAATTGTGAGCCAGCTGCGAAGGTAAGGAGTTGAGTTTTTAAACGAGTATCCCAATCCATATCATCTTCTAGTATCATTGCGCTGGTGAGATTTTCTTCGACAATTCTAAGCAGGCAGAAAGATGTTAGCTTCTGCGCTTGATAGAAGAATATGTATGAGAGTGGAATAGAAGCATACTTCCGAACAGCATTCATATGTCCCCTCCAACTCCCCAAATTCGACTCCCATAACTTCGCCCTATCAGCGCCATACGGCACTGCTTTATCCGTGACCGTTTCCCCCTTCACTCCATCCACCCATTCAATCTTGAAACCCGTCAAACTACTTGTCAGCGTAAGAGCATCTCTCTTATCACTTCGTTCCGGTAATCCCACTGCGAATATTCTCTGGAATCCAAGCGTACTGTTTGCAACATCGGAAGATCCATGAGCTGGTCTGGATTTTTGGAGAAGGTTGGAGGAATAGTGGGTTAAGTACGAAGGGGTTGAAGTATTAAGAAAGACGATAAAGAGGAGGATACTGATACAAAGAATAGTGAAAGGAAAGGCTCGGAATTGTATCATCGTAATGGTTTATACAATGTCGCACTGTAGTGAAAAAGTTCCAAAAGTCACAGATGTAGCAAAGATTGGAAAAGAGAGACCGTGCCGCGCCGGTGAATCGTAATTACTGTATGACGATTTGTTTGATGTTTAGAAACAAAACTTAGAGAAACATCTGAAGTGTACCAGAGGAGATTTTGTATTCAATGACTCGCGATGGGATGAAAATAAAAGTAAAGTGGTGCAATCTTGAGTACTAAATAAATTCCAAACGAGGAGATGCACCTTCCCGTCATATCAAGTCAAGATTCCAAAGTTTTCGAGCCACACCTTGTGGAAAAAAGAAAACCAAACAAAATAACAAGGGAATAAAATCTGTTTCCGGTTCGAAGGATATTGTCCTATCCATTCAGTATTTCATCAAGTATGCTGTGGTTCATAAAACTCTTTTATCTTCTGGCATCAACTTTTGGAGGTTGTACTCGAGTAGATGTTTGAACTCAAACTTCGTATCTCGGGATCTCGTCCCAGATATGCGGGAAGTTACATGCAGTGCTCAGTTTGAGGTTATATACAATGCCCTAAGCGATCATTTTTGAAGCGGTGTGATGTTACGTCCTGCGATTCTTTCTGTTGGTATATTTGGCTAATAAGCACTTTCCATTATCTGGGAGTCGTGACATGCATTTTATTCATTTGGCAATAATCAGCTTCGTTGCTTTACCTACTTACACATCCTATGATGCTCAATACTTCCCTGATATACTAATGGCTCAGAAGTCCATTTATGGAACTGAACAGTTATATGAAGAAGGAAAACCTCCACCCACTACTTCGGAAACCCACATATATTAATTTCAGTAAGCTGAACCTGCTCAGATCCAAGATAAGATACACTCACTAACTCTGATACCAAGTACCGTCGCTGTCAGAATCGTTGCGTCTAGAGCTGATCCAGATGAATGGTTGCAGAATCAAAAATGAACCCGGAGCGACAAGTACCGGTATGTGGAAACTGTGAGCAAGTGTACCCGTCATCAGAAAGCTTCCACCCACAGTGAGCAACATCACAGCTCTAATCCTATTCTTCATTCTCGACACCTTCTGTTATCCTAGGTCAAATGGCATCTTCGCATCTCTCGAAGACCATTGGTTTAGGAATATCTCGTGGTATGACCAAAATTGGCGAGCGGGTATTGAGTAGTGACAGTGCCGTGAGCCATTATTCCAAAGCATACTTTGCCGTGACGTTAACTATGATCCAGGGTTACAATATCCCCCTCAATGTTACCAATGACAAGAGATTAATGAGAGAGCCCCTGACTACCTCAGATGACGAGCTTCAATCTGGAACAATGATTTTGATAACCATATTTGAGAACTTTCAGGAGGAAGGTTCCAAGGACACCAAAAAGGGGGGAGGGGAGGGGGTGGAGATCATGGCCGAAACGTGAGGTATCGTATGAAGTCTGTAACTTGTAGTTTTCCCCGGACTTGCCTTTGCGGAGGCATTAACTTGGAAGTAGTGCCTGCCAAGTAACTGCGAACAATTACCTTTCTAGAACCTTTCACAGTCCACTGTTTTGCGTCAGCAGACTTCTTCATATCCAATATTTATTAAGGATTCGAATACCTTACCCCGGATCTACATTGAGAGGGCACTCACTTTGAACCTGGGAAGTAGTGTTCGCTGGTAGTCTGCCAAGTGATGTTCTGTTGGTAGCTTCAGAAGTGAAATGTATTGACTACGAGCTGGTTGCCTTCTAGATCATTTCTAGAATCATGAGCAGTCCACTGTTTTCTGTCAGCCGTAACCTAAGGTTACATCTCAAGCTCCCATTTAATCTTGAAAGAAACAAATGATTGAGTACCGGTACTGTTGGTTGTGACCGTCACTTCAAACATTCAAGTTCATTACTTAGGTGATATGGGAGGCGACATTGAACTGGCACAGCAATGTACCCCTCCCTATTCGAGTAAGGGCGACGCACTGGTATTGAGGCTCGTATTTCTTTCTATCAATGCTTTGTAGAATGTAGAACAACTACCGGTACTTGTTACTTGTTCCCACACGAGCGATGAATATAATTGTTTAAAATCAACATAGAATCAATACTTAGTATTAATTAAATATCTCAGATTCTATTAACGAGCATTCCCATCATTTCAAGTTGTTTGGAATGATTGAAGTGGTTATAGAGTGTGTTGAATAGGTCTAGGTCTTTTGGGGGCCGTTCATACTCCCTCCCCTCCTCTTATTCAGGGATCGGCAGCGATAGCCCACTGTAAGCAAACCCTAAATTGATCCTTGTAGAATCTTTATGACTTATCAACAATACGAGTATAATAAATTCTTACTATTACTTGATAAATCATTGATAAGCTGTATGAGTAGAGTCTTCAATACTCTTGCGTTTCTCTGTATACTTGATTAGCTCGTTTCTAGATTGATTTTAAGCTATACATCATCAACAATTCATCGGGAAATCCAATCCCAGCATTCACAGTTCGCTACGTCACCAAGAGGCTTATCTGCAACGCAAAAGAGAGAAGCACATGATTGAAACTTCTCGATTATCGATTGTGAACTTGCCAGAAACACGAGACCTCATAATATCAACCAACCATCTTACAATTATCTTTGATAAATTAGTTTCTAACACGACTTCACCGACGACGACATTAATGAACTATTATCGGAACCAGAAACTTTGTCATGATGCGAAACAAACCATCTTCGTCGCTGCAGAAGACCTACGATGAATGTTATTTGATATGTTCGACAGCTGTATATTTTGAGGGGCAGGTTAGTACAGATGGTTGTCTTCAGTTGGCAGACTTGAAGATAGAAAAGATGAAGTACTGATGGGCTTTCATACAGGGTAACGAGGCAGAAGCTTTACGATCATGGCGGTCGGCTCTCGATCAAATATACTATCACAATGCATATCGAGTTCCTGCAGGCTACGCACCCAAATCCGAAACCGAGAAGGCTTTGAAGGATAGCTTGAGGTCTATGGAAATGCAATGCAAAGAACGTGTCGATTTATTAGAAGCGCTAAAAGCCTCACGGGAAGACAAGGATAATGGAGAAAAGACACCACCAGATGAGGCTAGCAGCGGTGGCAGTGGGAGATTCAAATCGTTTTTGAAATCGGGGCGAGCTTCTTCAGATTCTCAGCATCCTGCTACGACTAATACAACTAATACAATTGGAGAGGGTACAATACCTGCGGTCAATTATGATGGCCTGCCAAAACCTACCCCGCCTCCATTGCCGCAGAGACCTTCGATGGCTGCAAAGAATAGCTCAGAGATGGCTGTTGTTGGCGGTGGCAGAAGTATGTCAAACTCTTCAATTGCACCGCCAACGGCATCGTCGTCAAGACCACCCGCTTCAACTACTTTCCCGACTCTTGTACCACAGCATAACATATCGAAAGATTCAAGAAGTTCTAGCCCTGAAAAAGGAGGAAGAACAATGCTACACACATTGAGGTCTGGAGATTCTAAGAAAAGCAAGAGTTCTCGATCAAACCAAAAGAAAGGCGATAATCCTGTTACGAATAAGGCTGCTACCTTGGCGTGGAATACCATGAGTAGAAAGGGGAAAGATAAAGATAAATCGGCACGTCCCCACGATTCAGAGACTAATAACAGCACAACAACCCTACCTGACGGTAGACCAACGTTTTCCGATCCATTCAAAGGAAAACAACCACCCCCGAATCCAGTTCGATATGATAGTACAACAAGAACTCTCGTGCCAGAAACACGACCGCCGCGAAGATCACCAGTTGATTTACTGACTGGAATGAGTGATTTGGTGGGAGCTACGGGTCGATCAAACGGATATCCCTTTCCTGCAACGGATCCAGGTCAACCAGGCGCTATTTCTGGACATTCTCTTACGACTGCCACCATGAAAGACTTGATTGGACATGATTCTCCACATGTACCACAACCTGCAGAGCCTAGCGCTGGATCATCGTCACAACCCACGTCATCTGAATATTCCGCTACAGCATTCGCACAGCTTAAGAAAGCACCTCCTCCACCCCCACCTCACTCAAGACCGCCAGGCAAATTTGAACCATTGAAATATCCAACTTATCTCCAGGAATATCCCGACACGATAGCCAAGAAGGGCAATCCGGAGGGCATAGTGCCTCAGCGAAGGAGACAGTCTCCAAGGCTAGGCTCAGACACAGATTTTGGAGGGTCATCGAATCGTCTACAAAGAAAACCAGTATCTGCGAATAGTTCATCGCCAAGACGTAAAGATGATGGCAAAAAGTCACGAGGCAAAGAAGTCAATCGAGCACTAGGAGATGACACTTCATCTCAAAGTGCGAATGACGACACCAGTATTGAAGAACCACGAGCTCGACCTAAAAGAAAACAAAAACAAGTGGTATCGCCAATTCTTGCTGATCCCACGACACCAACATCGGATGAATCCAATGATTCTGCCACGGACGTGATCAAGAATGCATGGGATGAGAAAGTCAAATATCTTATGAAGAATTTGCCGAAAGGAGTCGATGAAGGGGCTGCTAAACAAATTTTCAATGAGATCGTAGTTCAAGGTGATGAGGTGCACTGGGATGATGTTGCCGGTCTAGAGGTTGCTAAGAACGCACTCAAAGAAGCTGTCGTTTATCCATTTTTACGACCAGATCTATTCATGGGTCTTCGAGAACCAGCTCGTGGTATGCTTTTGTTTGGCCCTCCAGGTACTGGTAAAACTATGTTGGCAAGAGCGGTTGCCACTGAATCGAAGTCTACGTTCTTCTCCATCTCAGCTAGTAGCTTGACGAGCAAATTCTTGGGTGAATCCGAGAAGCTCGTCCGAGCATTATTTTCTCTTGCCAAAGCACTGGCACCGAGTATCATTTTCGTGGATGAAATCGATTCTCTTCTTTCTGCACGCTCCGGGGGAGAGCATGAAGCTACAAGGAGAATCAAAACCGAATTCCTTATACAATGGAGTGACCTGCAAAGAGCTGCAGCTGGTAGGGAGCAAACAGACAAGGAAAAGGAAAGGGGAGATGCTAGTCGAGTGCTCGTACTTGCTGCAACAAATTTGCCATGGGCAATTGATGAAGCTGCAAGACGACGATTTGTGAGAAGGCAGTATATTCCATTACCTGAAGATGAGACTAGGACCAAGCAATTAAACACTTTATTGGGACACCAGAAACATGGCTTGAAAGACGGCGATATTCAGGAATTGGTCAGATTGACCGATGGTCAGTCTCTTCGTTTCCATCGTTTACATATTGCTAACAACATGAATAGGATTCTCGGGTTCTGATGTTACAGCATTGGCAAAAGATGCAGCCATGGGTCCTCTCAGATCTCTTGGAGAAAAGCTGTTGGAAATGAGCATGGACGATATTCGCCCAATGCAAATCCAAGACTTCAAGGCTAGTTTGGTCAATATCAGACCAAGTGTAAGCAAACAAGGACTCCAAGAATTTGAGGATTGGGCAAAGGAGTTTGGTGAACGTGGAGGTTGAGGTTGAGGCTACGATGGTATGTGTATATGTATATATGACTTTGTGTATAAATATTTTAGTCTTTGGTTTTAGCTGGATGAATTTGGGGGCTGGGCATACAGTAGGATCCATGGGTTTAAGAGAGGTGTGGAAAGGTCCTCAGTACCGGGAAGAAGTAGTTTGGACCGGGAGTTCAGAGTCTTGAGAAGTGAGACTCTTAACATGATAAGAGCTGGTCTGGTGTTGTGATAAATAACACAACATACACAATAGATGTATTACACGATGTATTCATTTTCCCATGTCATTTTTTACATATGATAAACATGATACAATCCCATATTTATACACACCCTGTGCACATGTGCACCCTGAACGCCGTATATGCATATCCACCCAGATTCATTTCCTTTTCACACAAGCTTTACTTCTCCACCACACTTTCGCCCGCCTTAGCCTCCTCCTCCTTTCCAAACCCCTCTACAAACCACTCGCCGCCCTCAATGCCCCTCGGATCCTGCTCAAACCCCCAACGACGCCAGCTCCCCTTTCTAATATGCTTCGCCATTAATCTGCGTTCTCGTTCGGCTATTCGTTCTTCTGCGGTTGGAATCGGCGGACGCTCGGAGATGGGAGTGCCGAAGGGGGCAATGATAGAGGATACAACGTGGTGAATACTTTTGGAGGTTCTCCAGCCAGGTGATATGGAGATTACATCGCCGGTGTTTAGAGAGGAGTTGGGGTCGTGGACGAGGACGTGCGAGGTTCCGCTATATTTCTGGGTGGGGGGTTAGTGAGGGAAGAAATTTGTGCTAAGGGGAGTAGTAGAGGGAGGAGTAAGGAGGGGAAAGCATCGGGATCAAAGGAAAATAGAGAAAATACCTTTTGAAGAAGCTGATTCCATATTTGTACTCCAGTTCGTACTTTTACTGTTTTTGCCATGAGGCCACTTGATACCACCACAGCATTGATCTGCCGCGGTCGAGGGGCGGCCTTTACAACGGACTTTACAGCGAACTTTACAGCGGACTTTACCGCTCTCCGCGTGGGCATTTTGAAAGGGGTTATAAGACTGGCAGATTGCTTTGGCGCAGATTGAGACAAAGGGGGAAGTTTGATCGTATTTTGATACCTGATATTTTGATAGCTGCCATTTCGGAATGTAGAACTTTTCAGAAACGTTTTTCCGGTTCCGAGATCAAACTTTACACAGCCACAATTGTGGCGTTATATTTCTTAAACCCCCACCATAAACATGACGTTTCTACTTTGCAACACAAGAAAATATAAGAATCGGAGTCTTATGAATTTACAGTTCACATTTTAAAATACCTTCCTTTGAGAGCTGAGTTAAGACAGTTGAGTTGATGTGTTCATGTGTTTACGACATCATTTTCTTTGAGCTTAGAGACACACGTTCCTGATCGCAATACGAAAACAAAAACAAAATGTTTATGTTAAGAAATGGTATGTAAATAAATAACCCGCCCATCTCCACCTAAGCCCCCATTCCATCTTCAACATAAGCTTTTAAAGAGCAAAGAGCAAAACGCAAATCAAATATATTATTTCTTTTCTCCAACAGTATCTAACGTATACAAACAGTCGGCAAATTGATCTTCGGTGATACATCCAAAGAAACTTTGATCGAGCTATCCCAAGGCCAACTTTATCTCGTTCGACCGCTATCCCCCAAGGGATACTCCGAACTTATCTTCCGCGACGCAGCTGCGAGGATTAGAAGGACGGGCCAAGATTTCCAATATCAACTTGTGGTTCAAAGAGCCTACGAAGAAGGCGAAGAGGAATTACTTGACGACGAGGCTGCGGACGACGAAGGCGGCACAGCAGCTTTAACAGGCGAACGCGACGAGAAAACATTCCTACTAGACGAAAGTTTACATTTCCGATCGGAGATTCGCGAAGGCGGGGAAAAGGTTCTTGCTTGGAGAGATCTGAGCGGTGACACTGGTGATTTATACGAATTCGTTTGCGACAATTCGGTAGAGAATAGTCAGGTTCAATCATTTGAACTTACCTCTGTTCATTGCCAATTTGAAAGAAAATTCAGGAGAAGTCATTTGACAGCTACCGTGGAGGAGTTGAGTCAGTTTGCATTCGAGGAGGAAGAACCGATCCCGCATGCTAGTCCGCCTGTCAGTCCTACAACGCTGAGTCCTGTGAAGTCTTTCCCAGCTATCGATCAAGCGGTTACTAGAAGTACGGCGAATTCTCCACTTAAGGGAAATATGAGTCCTGCTACGAGAGGGTCGAGGGCGCCGCCCAGAACTCCTTCGCCGGTTTATGAAGGTGCAACAAAGGCGCCAGCAGTTGCAGAACATCCCGAGTCAATTTCTGCATTGGCAGAAGAGATTGCGGAATTACACTTGTTTGATTTTGTTAGTGGAGCATTTATTAAGCAGGATGCTGAGGTCAAGGCAACTGTTACTGAAGTTGGAAAATGGCAATACTGGCTGCAACTTACTAGTAAAGACAGAGACTGGTTAGGTCAAGCTATTATTGCGGATATCAATCCAGTCTTCAACTTCGAATACCTCTCATTAATTTTCAACGCTTACACATCTGATCAACAAGCATATTCATGGCTTCTTCGCTTCAAGGATCAAGAGACGATTACAAGATTCCAGGAAGGTTTGATGCAAGCTTTGTGGGAACAATTGAACGAGATCAAGTGGAACAAGAGTAAGGAGGACGAGAGGAATTATGTTCTTGAGGCATTTCAGGATCTTACCATGGAGGACGCACCGGATTTTGTTGAAGGTGGGGAGGAAGAGGAAGAGGAGGAAGAAGTGGAGGATGAAGACGATGGCCAAAAAAGCGAACATTACGACTCTGATGAGGAAGATGATGATGTGGTTACCAGGGACGACGATGGAAATGTCAACTCACAACTTGCGGTTGGATACAAGCACGATCGATCATTTGTTGTTCGAGGATCCAAAATTGGTGTCTTCAAACATACACTAAACAACAATCTGGAGTTCTCAACCAACATTTCGAAAGTTCAAGCACCGAATGGCAAACTTTTCAGCCCAACGAAAGTTATGCTTCACGCTGAGGATACGAACATGATTCTTCAAGATGAGCGTAACCCAAATTCGCTTTATAAGATGGATTTGGAGTACGGAAAGATTGTCGACGAATGGAAAGTTCACGATGATATCCCTGTCAACAATTTCGCACCCGAAAGCAAATTCTCTCAAATGACAGGAGAACAAACTTTCCTTGGTCTGTCTCGAAATGCTCTTTACCGTATCGATCCTCGTCTCGCAGGCAACAAACTCGTCGATTCTGAACTTAAACAATATGTATCCAAGAACGATTTCTCGGCTGCCGCGACAACCGAGAAGGGCTACATCGCAGTCGCTAGTAACAAGGGTGACATCCGTATGTTTGATCGTCTTGGTATCAATGCCAAAACCCACATCCCAGCTCTTGGTGAACCTATCATTGGTCTCGACGTTAGTGCTGATGGTCGTTGGGTTCTGGCTACTTGCCGCACTTATCTTCTTCTCATCGATGCTCTCCAAAAAGATGGAAAAAATGAAGGCAAACTCGGGTTTGAGAAATCATTCGGCAAAGACTCAAAACCTCAACCCCGTCGTCTTGGTCTCACTCCAGCCCATGTCGCCCAATTTCAACATGAGACTGGCGCTGCTCTCTCGTTCACATCGGCTCGATTCAATACCGGTGAAGGTCTTTCCGAAACATCTATCATTACAGCTACAGGTCCTTTCATTGTAACATGGAATATGAAGAAGATCTTGAGAGGTAGCAAGGATCCTTATAGTATCAAACGCTACGCTGAAGAAGTCAAGGCAGACAATTTTAAGTATGGCAGTGACAAGAATGTTATTGTGGCATTACCAAACGAAGTCAATATGGTTGCAAAACAAAGCTTCAAGAAGCCAACCAGAGAAAGTATTGCGACACCAATTAAAGTTGGATGGAGCAATGGCAGAAGAGAAAGTGCGAGGATTGGGGGTAGGGATAGTAGCAGATATAAGTTGGGCAGGGAGGATGTGGTTAATAGTCCTTATTAACTGATGGTTGCGAAATCTGACCTGGGATGGACGGATGGGAACGTTAATGCTGGAGTGGAGTGTATCGGGAGTTTAGTCAAGGCTTTTTACATGCATGCATGCTTTCTTTCTATGGAGCGAGTTATTTTTTCTTGAGTTTCGGGTTTTGGGTGACAAGCTCAAATAAATTTGATTTCATTTGATTTGATTTGATTTGATTCACAATATATTTCATGCTAGCCATTTGACGGACAAATGGATGATTTGATGGACAGATAGGAAGGAAGTAATAACAATTACAAGCAAAAGATATAATATACTAGGAGCTTTTTTATACAGGTTACAGGAAAAAAAGAAGAAAAAAGAGAAGTAGTAAATATGCTGATGCAGCTGGACTGGGAATGAATGTTGGCAGGAATGGAATGTGGATGGATGGATGGATGTATTTAGCAAGTAAGGAAGGAAGGAAGGAAGGAAGGAAGGAAGGAAGGAAGGAAGGAAGGAAGGTACTTCAGTAGATAGGATGGGTATGGCATAGTATCTAGTTAGTTAGGTAGCTAGCATTAGTTTAGTTAGTTGGTAGGGGAATGAAATTATTAGGTATTGAGTATTTAGTATTTAGCATTTATTGCAGAGTACATGTATGTTAGGTGTGAGTGTTGAGTATGAGGTATTGAGTGTGAGTGTTAGGTGTTGAGTGTTGAGTATGAGGTATTAAGTTTTAAGTATTGAGTATTGAGTAAATGAATTAATTGAATTCTGAGTCTGAGTCTGAGTCTAGGTCGGATGGATGGATGGATATATGGATATATGTATGTATGTACATATCTAAGATGAATAGTGATCTAAATTTAATACAACATTTTAATTGTTTGTACTCGTATCTGAGCCGAACTTTTCGAAAGTTTCCAAGGTTTCCTCTGATTCTAAAGTCTTTCTTTGATTTATATATATATTACTCGAGTATATAATATAACATAACATAACTTTTCTATACCCATCCACCCTCTCATATAAACCCCTTATAGACGATTAGTGAACTGAATTCAATACGAGTACTGTACAACTTGAATATGTTGTTTGTATCTGAGCCAACTTTTTTAAGATTTTAGATTTTCTAAAGATTCCTCTTGGTTCTAGATTACTTGATTCATACATAATACATAATACACAATATAACTTTTCTATACCTACCCACCCTCTCTCATCTCCTCTCACATCTCCTCTCCAATCTCCTCACCCATCAACCCCTCCACCATCCCCCCATCTAATACCCCCCTAAACTCAAAATACTAACCGCCGTCCTCTCCGGCGCCAAAACCCTATACAACACCGTCTTATCATCCACCCCCAACGCAATCTCATCAAATACGCCCTCTAACCTCACCAACTCCTCATAGAAATCACCCGCTACTTTTTCCATTTCCTCTTTCTCTTTCTCTTTCTCCTCTCCCCCCTCCTCACCCTCATCCCCACTCCCCACCACCCCCCTAACACTAAGCGCATACTCCAACAAACTCTGATCATCCGCCACCACACTACTCAACAACCACGGCAAATGACTCCCCAACAACCAGGACCTCGCATCTCCCACCGGCAACGCATTTATCAAATCCTGTTCCCTCATCCCCTCCAACTCCGCAATTGACTCCGGTAGGGGTGCAAATAACGCTGAGGGTTTATTGGGTACAAAGGCTTGATAGTAGTTTTGCAAATAATTCACAGCAGTGTGTTGGGAGGACGCAATGTGGATGCACATTGTTACTGCATCGACTAATCCTGCGACGGTGGTGAGCACGGGGAAGCTGCTGATGGAAGCACCAGTTGGAGAGCGGATTTCGGAGCTCCAGGAGCGAAGGTAGACGTCGTTGGAGACGGAGATATCGGTGGGGTAAGATGGGTGCAACATCCCAGCTACAAAGCGTCGTAGCGTTTGCCACATGAGATGCATATTTTTCGCATACGCGTAATTATGAAGTCTTTTCGAATCCAGTTCCGCGAGTGGGAAACCGCGGGATTCCAAATCGTTAGGAACGTAGTTTTGTACGAAATCAAAACTTTCATACTGTTTACTCACCATACTCAAAGTGCCCTCTTTCTTCAACCCATCGATATTAACGATAACCTGCGGAATCAAACTCGCTCTCGCAGCCGCATTTAGCGGGAGTGTCTTCAGCCAATGCGGAGTCAATAGTTTGAAGACGGGATGGTTTTCGGGGAGGGTCCGGTGAGAGGCGATTATTATTCCTTCTTCGATGAGATGCGTGTGTGTGAGGTGAACGCCTAGTTCGTGCGTGTGCCAGTCGGATACTTGGGCGCATTGTTTTGCGTAGCGCCAGGGCCAATCGGTTGCTTCGTGGGTTTTGGGGGAGGAGGGGGTGGTGCGGCGGTTGAAGAGGGTGAGGGATTGTGTGATATTGTGGTTGTAGTCGAGGATTATTGCTAGGGGGTGGAGAGCTCCGGTTGGGAGGAGGCTGAGCGGAGTGGGGTGTTAGTGGGATGATTTTTGAGTACATTACGAGATTTGGTGATGAGGAATGACTCTCGGCTATTCCCGCTCAATAACCAGATTATATCTTCATCCTTCCAGATCGGGTGGGCTGACTGCAGGGCTGAAAACTATCCAGCTTATGTACGTACGAGTACGTATGCACGCTTACCGTACGTTGCCCAATCAGGATTAATTAGAAGAATGACGGCGCTTACGCTTACGCTTACGCAACGCTTACGAGATACAGCTTGTAGCCCATTCATGAAACAAACGCAAAGAAATATAGTGTCCAAAAAAAAGAAAGGAACGAATCACTTACTGAAAAAGACTAACACTCGCACAGGCAAACCTCTTCCCATCACCACTCACCAAAGGTTCCCCTTGTTCCACCCCCGCAAACTCACGAAAATAACTACAATCCTGCACGTACAACCCATTATCCCTCTCTCCCTCCCCAATAACCTTCAGCGACTCCTCTTTCCCCTGTGCACTAGCTGCTGCCTTAAACTGTTGAATCCAGTGCTTACTCGCCCTCTTAATCGTGACTGGGTTTACCCCCGTAAACTGTTGTTGCGCATACACATCATCTGCATACCAATCCTTCCTCGTTCCAATATTAGCTTCTTTTCCAATATCTCTCCTTTCGGCAAAGAGTTTGCGATTGACACTCTCGATCTGAGCAAAGGAGCGCTGATTCGGTTCATCGTAGAGGAAATCTAGGATCTGGGCGGGGATAACTTGGCCGACGATGGGAGCGGTGGCGAAGAGACGATCGGCTTGGAATATTTGGAGAGAATGCAGGAAATCGGTTTTGGGCTCGAGACTCAAGTGAGGTGGGTAGCCGTCGGAACCGGGGGTTTGGAATTGAAAGCGTTCTCTCTTTTCGGCGAGAGAGATGGGGGCGGTGGGGAGATGGGTCTCAAATTGATGAACGTCGAAAAAGGAGGTGAATCTTTATATATCATATATGTGATTAGTTGTTTGTACGTGAGATATATTCCGAGGAAATACATACGTTTTATTGATAAGAGCATGAACTTCCGATACTGCCTTCTTAGTCCCAACATAAGTTCCCGTCGCAAATTTCGGTTTATCATCTCCCTCTTTCAGCGTATCGTGTTCACCGGCGAAGATAGAATGGGCGAGGAGTTCTGACTTCAGGACTCCTTTATTCCACGCGATGGGTAATGGTTTGGGTAACGGATGCTTGGCTTGTTCATTGTGTAGCATATTTTCCACTTTTTGCAAGAGGCCCGACATCTTGAGGAAGTTGTTGAAAACGCAAGCGAACAGTTTGAAGATAAATGTGAACATTCGTTTGATGGGAGGGTTGGCGGTGGTGGGAGAGGGTGGATGTAAATGGGAAGGTATAAGTTGAGGTCGGTTATTACTGTAGAAAAGGGCCAAAGATATGGGTGAATGATAAGATATACTGGTTGGAATGGTGAATGTGAAGCAAAACTAATTGGCATTTTTCCTCCTCGGGAGTGAAAACAAAGAGCTATATATATCTGTATATATATATAGCCAATTCATGGCAGTGCTTGCAACGCCGCTGGGCTTGGTGGCTTCAAAAATCAGGGCTGACTTATTTAAGATATTGGGATCTAAAATGTGACGAGAAGTCAGCAATGGGCTCAGCTGAAGCCGCAGTTTCCAATTCCATAACGCCTCAATATATGGCTGATGTGAGTGTGAGAAATGTGCAAACATATCCAAATAGTGTCTGATTATTTCACGATAGACGTCTATCTTACCATGTATGCCAAGATTTCGTATGCCTGTATCACCAAAGTTTTCTTGTGAACTTCCTCATTCAACGACGTAAGATTCTTATATTTCTTACAACTTTGCTGCAAAAATTCTACACAGCGCTTCATTTGTTCCATTAGTAATTATAAATTGCATGATCGCTAGACACCAAAGAGGTCGATCTTAAACAAATTCAAACTTCCAAATCTGACTGCTACATGACCGATCTTGATACCGGTGTTTGGTGTTAAGTATAAGTCGCCAATAACTCCTCGCTGAAGTCCTCCAAACAAATAACTGAAAATTGATTTTTCCACCTTTGTACAAATGCCTTTGATTGATATTCGTGACTCAAGCCTTGCTTCCAAGCCACGAGCTCAACCTTCCATCCTTTCATAAGGGCTCTCTCGACATTCTTGAAAAAGCCTGCCGAATACTCTGCCTCAGCCCCATCACCAGTTGCCAGAACTATCGTTGATGGTTTATAATCAATTATAGTTTCAAGTAACTTCATATGTAAAAGCTCATCAACACCCTGCTCGAGGTAACCTTGAGTTGCAGTATTTGAGTATGGAGTTTCGGATCCACTCGACTGCCCGTTGAGGTATCCAGTGCCTCGCCCCCGCCGTGCTTTCCTGGGTGTCAACTCTCTGTTTTTCCACACCCTATCCAAAATGTTGTTTTCGTAACCACATATCTGGGCCTCAGCGAAAACTGATGCGACTGGAGAGTGGTTCAACTTGGATCCAGCCAAAATTCGGCGGGCAGCAGGTCGATTTCTCTCCATGATGAATGCTAGCGAGCGATATGAGAAAGGTGAATCTATTTTCGTATGCATCCACTGAGGAATTCGTCGGACAGTCTTCAAAGCATGTTGAAACCCGATCATAATGTTGCTGTAATCGACAAATACGTGAATGGCGTCGGGATCAGTAGAATTTTGTAGATTAGTCTTGGTATTCAAAAGTGTGGTTTTGTCGATACCATATTGGTCCGATAGCTTCCTGGCTATCTTCATTATTTTTTCTTCGTAGGCCAAATTATAAAGAGGGGATATAACAATAGGAACTTCGGTTAGAAATCCCGCAGACTTTAACCGTGAAGGTGTTTCTAACTCAGATTCGAGTCCGCTACTCTCATCCGTTTGCGAAATGCCGGACAACTTCTGCCGCCGTGGCGAGGCTTGTTCTTTCGAGTTCTTTTCCAGATCCCGTGTGCTCCGCCGTTTCAGCTTCGGACATTTTGATCCGGGAACCTGATCGTTCCATCGTACCTCTTTCGTTTTCGTAACATAGGTTTCAAAGATATCCGGACTATCTGAATCGTCCGTCGCAGAAGATGGTAGACTATCTAGACCAGAAAAGACGCCTCCAGAAGCAAATGATGGTATCGATCCATATGAATCAAAATCAGAATCTTGACAAATTGTACTAGTATCGATACCTAAGAACTTCCATATTGGTGTGAAATCACCCAAGGCTACGGCACACTTGTCTGCAGTTGTGGAATCATTCTCTGGTGAAAAATGTTGGGAGTCGAAGATGGAAAACTTGTCGTTTACACTGGGTGTAATCGGAGTAGAGAGACGATGAAAAAGGTCAATGGCGGGAGTCAGATCCCATGACAGGGTAGTGTGCAGCTCGCTCATGTAATTAATACGAGGATCGACCTGGCAAAGATGCACAAGTCGAAGTTATTCTAAGTATGGTTGGGAATATGGTATTGAGACTATAATGAAGAATTGAGGTTAGTGATCTGATACCTCTCATAGAAAGCACAGTGGCAAAAGGCATTCATTGCGCATAACTTACAATGAACCGGAACTGATGTTTGCAAGTACCAATCATACTTCTCGCTGAAGGAATGAGAAAGAGAATTGTTATAAGATTAAATGAATTGTAAGATAGAATGAATGATGATGATGAGGAGTTTGGACGTTTGGACTTCTTTTTAGAGGAAAGATGAACTGGTCGGAGGCGATTTCTTGGATACCCGGTAACCTTAGGCGGGTAGGTATACAAATACTTGTATTGTATGCCTCGGCACCGCAATTCCCAATATTCGAAATATTTTCAATCTCTGAAAACAACTGAATCATTTTAAACAATTCAATCTTTCAAATATATTTATTGATTGAAATGATTTCAATATTCTTAATGTATTCAATGAATGAAATATATTTGGAAATCAAGAATATCTATTGTTGGACTGCAGTCTGGACTATTGGATAACCCTGTGCAGCAGCCTTGCCATTTCTTACCACCCAACAATATTGTATGTCTTCCTAGCTGGCTGTACTGTAGTCAGTCTGCTAGCATCCAATCCTCTCCTTGCAAAAATGGTTATATCACTTCCATATCACTACCTAGATATACCGGTAGTCCCGAAGTCTAAAATCATGGCCAAAGTTGGTTTCGATTGTGATATCAAGGATCACAATGTTATATTATACCAGTAATATTATACCAGTATCTGAAGACAATAAACTCCATCTCCCTTTCCATAAACGCTACGTATAAAGCATATTTGTGGTATATCTTGTCTTATGCAAAGCCCATGTTCCAAACCATTGCCCCAAACCCAACTTCCATTACATTTGCCCAGTTGGCTTTCCTTACCACGTGCTCGATATTTCATACGATAACTTCTTCATCATCATCATCATCATCATCATCATCAATCTGATGCTTTCCCTCTATTCCAACACAAAGTGTCCCCTCCCCCTTTCCCTCGCTACTTCCCATCTTTTTTGCCGCTACCCATTCCAAACCACGACAGAAAGCTTCCTCTCTTCGCATCAGGAAATGTAGATGGAGAAAGTGAGGGGCTACTGAAGACACTAGATCTACATCTCTCGCGTGGAGTGTAAATCACCTCTGATGGTTTACCTATGCATTCACATATGTTAGAGTGGTTCAAAGCTGTGTCATCTCGCAAAGTGCAAGAAAAATAACATGCATATCACTTACGGATATTCCCAGCTCCTCCAATACCATATGATCTTCGTCGCTCGTCCCGTATATCGGTTGCGGTGGACTCAAAGCTCTCTCCGAAAATATTGTTTGTATTTGCATTAGCGGAACCTGGATCTGACGCCATTGGTGCCGAGTTTCTCTTATATCGGGGTGATGTTTCCGTTGACGGGGCGGATCTTGATGTCGCTGCAAGGAGATAGTAGCCCCCAAATTCTTTATTTGAGTTACTTGCCTGAGACTTCGTGCTTTTCGAAGATTTCAGACAATACCAGTGCTGATCAAGCGATGATGGACGAGGCTCTTGTTGATAATTGTGAATAGGTTCGACGAGGCTATGATCCGATGGAACGAGAAGTTGCTCACGAGAATTATTATATCCGCGATATGGTGTATGTGAACTTCGTCTCGCAATGCTAGACGATAGTTTCGACTTGATTCTCGTATGACTTGACTTTCTGGAGTTCGATCTTGAACACGAGAAAGTTGATGAGGAAAGAATAAGGGGTATAATGGATGCCATATCTATATCTATATCTATGTATGTTATGTATCTACGTCAGATCAGATTCGTGGAGGCAAGATTGGCAAATGATATGCTAGACAGAAGGGACAGGATAGACGGAAAACCAGAAAGCAGATTGGATGAAATAACCTGGCATACCAAATATATACACCATAAGTCCAAAATCACACAGATGGCAGAGATACCTCAACGGTCCTTCATAGGATATCAAAGACGCCTGTTCTGTTTCTCTATTGGCTCACCATGAGGCACTGTACCGGTATGACGTTACATAATATGATCGCAAATCGCTCGTATGGCATGGTAGATTATGGAAAGGCTTAAGCTTCTCGACGTTTTCGACGGTATGCATGGACATATCTAAACGGGTCTGTTGCAAGAGACATACATACATACATACATACATACATACCGATTGGATCCAGCAGCCCTCTCCGGCGCAAGTTATTGATTCATTCGCAAGTATCTATCCAACGGTACGGTATCTGCTGTATATGCATGAAGGCTTGCGAAATCAAATATTGGCAGGGGTAAGGAGTAAGGAGTATGGTATGGAGGAGAGACATGATGAAATATAGATAGAGATGGCAGATGGCAGACAGATGGATGTTAGGGAATACAAGCTTTCTAGGGACATGACAGGGGTGGTATCAATGATGTGATGCGGATCACAATGCCTGGGATGGACCATACAGGGCATGCAACGTTATCTTTACCCCGGTGTGTATGCCCAGATCTGCTGTAGGTTAGGGTTAGGGTTACCAAGTTCGTACTGTATGAGTAGAAACCCCGCATAGAAGATTTTGCGGGGTACCTAGGTATTAAGGTTATACTGTATCATATTGATATCAAAAATATCAATATTTCATCTCGCAGTAAACAGCTACCTACATAAACATGACCTTGCAAAACCATCAACAAACTATGAATCAATCCAATCCAAATCCAATCCAATCTCAACCCTCAGTGCAGGTTTCCTTTCCTTCACTTCAATAATAAATTAAATGAGCAAGAAACAATGCCGATATCCGACCACCTATCACGAAATATATTGGACAGTAACCTTACCACTAGAGCGAAACGTTGCGAATGTTACTGATGTCTTAGTCTCAGTCTCAGATCTAAACGCTCTGTTTGTCCTTTTTTCTATGATCTCATTTCTTACTCACTACTCTATATACTAGTACACTCAGCTTACTCAAAATCAGAAATTGGTACTGAGTGTGGATAAGTATCTACGAGTAGGAATGAATGAATGAAATGAAATGGTATCGTGCATGAGTAACACCCGTCCGTCAAAAAAACCCGTTGCGCACGCTTTGGCGCATGCATGCATGCGTGATGTGAGGTTCCGTCTCAGATTGGTTGGTTGATATTGTGGTTTGGTTTGGTTTGGTTTGGTTTGTATTGGTGGGTTGGATTTGGAATTGGGATTGGTGTTTGTATGGAGGTATGTTTGTATATGTTGGTATCACCGTGGTGGTGATGAAGTCAATAGTACTATCGTATTTCATATCTTTGTATTGCCTTAAAGAACTAAACTATAGAGATACTAATACTAAATGATATACACTCTGTAATGATCAGAGCATCACTTATTGCCCTAGCCCTTAACCCTATTACTCACTATAGCTAAATGAATAATATCCAGATATTGATAACTATCTAAAAATCGAACGAATTCGTTTTTAATAATCCTTTCTATATTCTATTAGTTTTTTTTTCTCTAATCTCTATTAATCTATTCCATAATCTTGATCTTGATAATGTTATTATAGATTAGTTCTTTGAATACTTTTCCTATCTTAGATTTCGTTATTGTATTAGTAGGATTAGATTCTTTATTAATCTATTTAATCTCTATAATCTTATATTGTTTATATAATTATTTAAGGGCTATTAGATCGATCATTAGCCTTTTCTTCTGGATTATACTAAACTTGATGAGATAATTATAAAATGATTTAGAATCGATACAAATAACAAAAGAGATTCGTTTTTCTATAAAAACGTTACTTATTATATTCCTAATCGTTATATTGGAATCGAATCCGAATATTATTCTATAAAGTTCTAAAACCAAGATACTTTATATGATTTTTTTATATTTAATAAATAATTAATAGATAATTATCACGGGGCTGGTACAGGTGCTAGTGGGAACTAGATAAGATGTATAATATTCGATAAGGAGAGAAGGAGGCGCGTGGAGTAATACCGATTATATAATGAATTAATACCTAAGGCATCTATTCGAGCTAATTAAGAATAGATAATATATATAACGTGGTTTATCAGTGCGTCACGCATATCAGTGCCTCGCGCACTTTTTCACTATTTTGCAACTCTTCAATTCAACACGTGTTTAATCAACAATCAACAATGAATAACACTTCAAAAGAAGCTAGGATTATCTTAGCTATTGAAGCTATTAATAAATCAAAAAAAATGAATCGCCGGAGTGCTGCTAAACTCTACAATGTCCCTAAAACAACACTTCGGAATCGAATAAACGGTTTAACCCCGCTACAGGAATATCAACCACTAACTCAAAAATTAATTAAATTAGAAGAAGAAATGATTCTTCAATATATCCTCGATATAGATATACAAGGATTTACCCCTCAATTGAATAATATAAAAGATATAACAAATGATATTCTCGATATTCGTAAAGCACATTACATTGAAAAGCTCTGGGCGTATCGATTTATACAATGCCAGCCAGAATTAAAGACACATTTTAATTGTATTTATGATTTCCAAAGAGCTCTTTGCAAAGATCTAAAGCTTATTGAAAGGTGGTTTCGATTAGTATCGAATATGCAGGCGAAATATGGTATTCTCGATTGCGATTTCTACAATTTCGACGAAACAGGCTTTATGATGGGTATTATATGCCCTGGGATGATTGTAACTAATGCTGAACAATATAGCAGAAACAAAATAATACAGCCAGGTAATCGAGAATGGACTATAGCGATTATATGTATCAATGATATAGAAGAAAGTATTCCTCCATTTTTAATAGTTAAGAACAAAAATCACCTCTCGAGTTAGTATACTAAGAATGATCTCCCACTTGATTGAATGATTAAAGTCATTAATAATAGATGGACAAATAATGAAACAAGTTTAAAATAGATTAAACACTTCAATAAATATACTATTGCTCGAAAACAAAGTGATTATCGAATATTAATATTAGACAAACACAAAAGCCACGAATCGATTGCATTTCAAGAATATTGCAAAGAACACAATATTATAACTCTTTCATTACCTTCTCATTCTTTGCATATTACTCAACCACTCAATATCGGATGTTTTAGTGTTTTAAAACGAACATATAATCAACAAATTGAGGAATATATTAAGGCTTATATCAACCATATCACCAAGGTCGAATTCCTTATAACCTTCAAAACAGTATATCTACAATCAATAACTATTCAAAATGGATTATCTGGATTCCGCGGAGCTGGATTAATACCCTTTGATCCTCAAGCTGTTATTTCTAAGCTAGATATCAAATTACAAACATCTACACCTACCAGATCCTCCTTTGTAAAACTCGATCCTTGGATTTCTCAAATACCTCACAATTCGAACAATACTCTTTCGTAATCAACCTTAGTTAAAAATCGAATTGCACAACATCAAGGAAGCTCTCCTATACCTATATTTGAAACAATTACAGCTTTAACTAAGAGTACAGAGATATTAGCTTATGAGATAACACTTATGAGTGCTGAGATTCGTACTCTTCGAAAGGCAAATAAGGCATTGAATAAATGTCATAGAGCTAAAAAGAGTCGAATTTGTCAAGGAGAAATATTTAATATACAAAATAGATGTGATATTATACTACAGACCAATATAGATAATCAGATTCGACGCAATGAATGCTTTAAGAGAGGTAATTCAAATAGGGAACAATCAATTTTACATCGTTGTGGCTTTTGTAGTAAAACTGGTCATAATATACGAACTTGTCAGGAGGATTTAGAAGACTCTAGTTTATCAGATTCTGAATAGTTTCAATTAATTTTATATGTTGTGATTATTGAATAATATTTTGAAATGATTGAGTAGTGAAAAAGTGCGCGAGGCACTGATATGCGCGACGCACTGATAAACCACGTTATAGGTATATTCAAATAAATATAAATATATTCAGATAGATACAGGTATATCTAAGTAGATATAAATATACAAATTGTGGAGATTTGTATAGGTGAGTATAACTTTGCAAAGTTGATAAAATTATTTACAAATTGAAAAAGAAGGTATAAATTGTTATTAAACTTGAACAAGATAATATTCAATATAGAATTTATTACAAAAGAATAGATTTATGGAGTCTGGTTCAATATCCGATATATAATTGGATATATAATAAAACATTGTTGCAAAAGGACAGATATATAACTTTTTTGAATATAAAAACTATAATAGAATAGGCTATTATAAAAAGATAAATATATAGTTTTTTCCTATCTATAGTTTACAAATTTCAAGAGTAATATAATTTAAAATCATTGCAAAAGGACAAATATATAATTTCAAGTTATGTTTTTCTGAATTGAATCTGATATTCGTTTTTAATATATTGAGGGCAAATGTTTTTACAAAAGTTTAGATCTTTTCAAAGTTAATATTTTGCTGATTTATAAATCAGTGATAGAATTAGAATCACTGATTAGTATTAGTATCACTATAGTAATGATAAAATCAATAGTATTATTATATTTCATATCTTTGTATTGCTTTAAGAAACTAAACTATGGAGATACTAATGCTAAATAATATACATTCCATGGTGGTCAGAGCGTCGCTTATTGCCCTCCCTAGCCCTTAGCCCTACCGCTTACTACAGCTAAGTGAGTGATATCCAGACAGTATGTTTATCTGTAAGAGGAAGGAGAAGGAGAAGGGAAAGGGGAGAGAGGTGTCACTGCCAGTGGTACAGATCGATCTGGGTATTTTGCGTCCTGTATCTTGTCAGGTGTCAAGTCTGCGGTTTCATGTTATTTCATGTGTTATGTCAAGTCATGTCAAGTCACATCATGAGATTGAGTTATACAGTGCAGTGCATATAATACGCATATATGCACGCGTGGAATTCAGCTATGTACTCTGTACATCACATACCAGTATGGAATTCGGAACTTTGGGGTGGAACTCCAAACCTATTCATACTCCTAGTTTCTTCAAGTCCCTACTAGTACCTATCTTTGAATTGAGTAATAATATAATGGTGTGGATAATATAGCCTCCATTTCTACTACAGTAAGAGTCTATTACTACTTCACATGTGCTCTGGCGAAATAGGCTATATGTCGAACTACGAGTATAGAAGTTTTAGTTTTAGAAGATACTTAGCTATCTTTATTTGACTTAATCAAATTGATCAAAGGATGGATTCATCCCAGTCTATAAAATATCTGATCTGCCCCAAACCAAGCGCTATTGTTCAACTAGCTATTATCTTTAATAATTTGATTATCTTGAGACGAGAGTAATGTTAATATGAGTTGGTTTCCAGCTTAAATATGTTTTGAAAGAACATAATCGAGATCCATTCCATGACTAGCAGAAGTGAACACCTACTCGTCTACTTCGAGTATTTAAAAATGTATTGATAATATAAAGAAGAGGTATTATATCAATTAGTATATCACTTTAGTATTATATCGTGTGATATTACTAGTAATATATAATAATAACATAATAAATTATTTTCTAAGCCAAGAGTTCATCCGTTTACCGATAACCTATATATAAGACAAGAGAACGAGTATAGGTACTCAGTACATTAACATTCAAGTCTATCTGAATATATCTATATATATATACAATACAGCATCAGAATGCTACCTGATGCATCTAGGCTAGGCTAGACTAAGGGCGGTATCTACTCCATTTCAACAACTTCACCTTCATTTTTCAGCACAAAGCTCTTTCTCTTCATACCTTGTTTATTTAAAGTTACTACAATAACAACTATTCGATTCCTGATATTCCAGAGATTCTACACTTCCACTTTGTACTTCGTGACCAAGTAAACTATCTATACTCGAGTATCTACCAATGCTTTTCCTTCATCCATCGAATAGGTTTTACAGCCCTGATGAGATACCGAACGCCTGTATTTATTACTGCTCTGATTTCGAAAACCCGAACCTATGTTATATTTACAGTGAGTGATACATACTAGTACATAGAGGAGCTTGTTGGGAGTTACTAGCTAGTACGGCGAGTATAGTGCATTGAATATTACTAAGATATTTCAGGCTGGAATGCAATGCAATACAATGCTATATGCCATGCCATGTCATGCAAAGCAAGCACAGTCCTGTACCATAAATGATACTAAATGCTGCAGCCCACGATGCACGCATCAGCAAAACGAAACACCACCACACACCCTCACCCCCTCCCTTCAGCAGCCGATTCCCTTCTTCCAGCCGATCCCCTCCCTCCAGCAGCCGACCCATCCAACCTCCACTTTTCCAGTAGCCCCCTCATTCCAATCGTACTCCTAGCACTCCCATTATCCGCATTTTTCATCGTGCGATTCGTCTGTGCATACGCATTGAATTGGCTATTATCTACCGGGACATATTTTTTCCCCGATGCTGGTGCGAGTCGATTTGGTCGGAGTATTGGGCTACTCGGCGTTACTGTGGATGAAGAGGGTAGCACGATGCTTTCCATTCGGGTACTTAAGCTAGGAAATGGAATTCTGACTTCCAAGGAAGACTGAGGTTGAGGTTGAGGTTGAGGTGAAGGATTGCTGATAGCTTGGTCATGGCCTTCAATTTCGGGTTCTGTGAGATCGATGAAAGAGGGGCGAGGATGTTTTGACGAGGGGTTTTCATGGCTGCTGCTAGATTTTGGTGTATGGGTGCGGGATTGAGATTCTCGGTGTAGAAGAGTAGAGGCGCGTGGACCGGATTCAACCCATATGGTGTCCTCGCTGTCAGCTTCACTATCATCTATTATGACCGGATTTTCCCGTGTGGTAGGAGGAACCTCGTTAGTATGATTCGTATCATGAGGTTCGCTTGTTTGATAAGAAGTGACCACTGGCGAAGCGGGGAGCGGCGCAGTAAATAAGTCAGGAGAAGCGCGATCTGGTACGGCTTCAAAAACTCTCTGTATAGTAATAGTTCTTGGAGCCGGTGGTGATGTAGAGCTGAATCCTGATAACGCGTCGAGATTGTATATTGATTTTGCAAATAGTTCTCTCGCCTTCGATGGAAGATTGATTGACGGACTCAATCTTGGAGATTTGCGAGCAGGTTCGTCGACTGGGTGAGCCAAATATCGTTTTCTTTGTATCATAGATATAGTGCTTCTTAGATTCGAAACACTTTCTGATGAACTTGAGTCATCAAACCCAGACATACTTGAACCGGCCGAGTCCGAGGAGCTCAAAGCAATTGCAGTACCGTTTGATACACCATTTGGAACTTCAATAGCATATGGTCCAACTTTTGGACGCTGACTCAGAACAACTTCAACAGTCGTAGAGGCTGTACTACTCGGAATTGCTAGCAATATCTCCGGCATAGGAATAGATGATCGAGTTTTCACAAGAGTACTACTTCTGTCATGTTCTGGAGAACACTGGAGCCAAGCATTGCGCAGAGAGATTCCCAACGCCATTGAGACACTCCGATCAAAACTATTCCCAATGATTTTGATTTGTTCCGATCTTTTTCCTATTATTACCTCATTATCAGGAAAGCTTTGTGCACGGCGAAGCTCCAGCATTGTCAAGCGCCGTTGCTGATCCCAATGTAAAATCGTTCCCATACGACCATCCTCCATATTCATCGTCACCAGGATGGTTGGAAATAACCCACGAGGTTTGATCCTTCCCCAAGCATGGGAACCTTGAATGACGCTTTCTCTGATTTTCCCCGACTTCGACAAGAACGGAAATAGATTTCGTTCTGCTTTCGTCATTACACCATTGCCGTCATTCCATGTCTTCCAAAAATTCATACCTCTTGGATGAGTGGGGATGCACGCAACTTGAAGTCTATACAGTTTCGACAAAGTTTGTGGGAGGACATGATCCGGATACTTTGTGCATTGAGACGTGGCTCCATCTCCAATATAAGGAAGGTCGGTTACAGAGTCTTCAGCGGTGCGAAATTTGAACGGTGTAGCACAATGCACTCGGCTACCAAAGGATTGGCCATTTGCTAATTTCCCAAGTCCGCGTTCACCAACGTGAGGGGGGTGGGAATGTGATAGTTGGGGATGTTCAAGTGGAACACAACCAGAGGCTGCAAATGATACAAAGATCTGACTTCGTGATTGTGGACTACCAAAACTCCATGCGTCAAGTAAGAAAAGCTGTACCTGATACCCAAGACCAACAATGGCGCATATGAGCTGGGAAAGGACATCCTCGTCTCTTCCTAAGCCTTTCTGGGCCATATTCAACACATTCTCTAATAATCCATATTTAGGCCGGTAAAAATCAATATAGGCAGCGACAGATGCGATGAGTGACTGATTGCGTAGACCTTGATCATTGCCCTTATTTGTGTTCATTCTGCTAAAACCTTGGCAAGGACTACCCGCTAGAATAACATCAACATCACCTGGTAGAGGGATTTTGAGTTTTCGAGGGTTGCCCTTAAAAGCGTGGGCCAATAAATCATTGACCGAACCGAAGAATATATCGGTTTTGTCAGGGTCTTTCAAATTGGCAGAATATGTTTGTACCGCCGCCGAGAATAAATCGACAGCCCATTGATTATGCAGTGCTCCAGATTCTTCTAAGCCGCGACCGAAATTACCGCCACCACAGAAGAGGTCGAGGCCGTTTAACAACCTCCGATTCAGTGGGGTTTGGGGATCAAAACCTTGAATGAGGCTTTGTGGTATATCTTCCTCAATTGGTATTAGTTTCTGATCATCCTCCCGTAGTCGTTTCGTGATGATGAAAGCATTCGAGCTTCCGTCTCTACAATAAGGTGCTGGAATATTGCCACATAAAACCTCCTTCTCGGTATAACAACGTACAAGACATGTTCTTTCGAGCTTGTTAGCTGGCATCTTGTCTGTTAAAGCAGTGTATATAAGTTCGTTTGGCCGACAAGCCACAGTTCGGTCGAACTCCAATCGTCTTACAAGTCTTCTTAGTGTGACGTATTGTTTAGCGCCTTCCTCTTCGTATCTTACGATTTCGTAAGGCTCCAGACCGTTCCTTGATTTGCGTAGAGGGGGCAACGCAATTATAGTCTGTCCAATAGGAAAGCCATCAATGATTGTGGATGACGATGGATAATCACCCCCAGGCGCTCTTAGATGCTCACCTGTTTTATGGGAATTTTTCAATGTCACGAAATTATCGTTACCAAGATATGTCTGACGAATGAACATATCCGTCACTGATGGTAGACCATGCCAAACAACACGCATAATATCAATGACTTCGTCCTGAGGTATCCGAGAGTCATGAGATCCACAGGTACAGTTGTCGCTGAGGAACAACTCCTTAGGATACGGATACTTCATCTTTGCACAACTAGTGTCCGAAGGTCTATAGAGCCAAATACCATCGAAAGAGTATTTGCCGCGTGCACCTCTATGCTTGATTTGCACGTATAAATACCAGCAATGATCTTCTGTTTTCCACCGGCTGGTCTCGTCTTTCCAAATGGCATTCGGTCCATCCTTGGTGACTGAAAGCACATCTCCTATCTTTATAGCATCAATCATGTGTTGTCGTTTTGATGCTCCTTCTTGGCTAATGACACCTCTCAGGCTGTCTTTACCTCCCAAGACAGATGTATATTGTGAGTCAGTCGGAGGATTAGGGTCCGGAGTGCTTCGCAGGTTCCTGGGTGAAAGTGATAGTGATTGCTCCTCTGATTTGTGTGTGTCCTCCGTACACACAGCTGGCACTAGAGATTTGAGTAGGTGGCCAAATTTTAAATGGCTGAAGCAACCGTAGACATATGGTGTGACAATCGTCATGTTCTCTTTTATTGGCTGTTGACTAATGCCCGACTTCTCCAAGGTTTCCTTCCAAATATACAACGAGCGAAGCTTTTCTGTGACACCAACCGATTCCTTGAATAAGAAGTTTATGTTTGCTGAGATGGCTTGTCTGAAATCATCTCGGCCATATTCTAGATACCAAGATTGAAATTTGGCTGATCCTGTATGAGCTTTCCAACCCCAATGTGCAAAGTCTGCCCGAAAGTTGTGGATTGACACCTTTTTCTTTCGATCCTGACATTCCAAAGAGTAATCGACAAAATGCTTTGAAAGGTTCGCCAACCATAAAAATCCAAGGTGGAAACGTGCGTATTCAGGTGCGGGAACTTGTAGTCGATAGTAAATATTTGTATTTGTGTTTAGATTGGACTGAAGCCATATAGCATCACCAACATCATCAATCTTTTCACCATAGTTTCCTATAGAGCATATCTTGAATGGAACACCTTCGACATAACGACGTAAGCTTCCCACACTGAGGATTCCATCGAATAAGAGGCATGAGTGCTTGACTTTACTTGCAAGGTCTTGAAGGCTGCGAAGTTCAAATCCATATAGAGGGGTATCAGGGATGTATACAGAGAATTCTGTCAATCCGAATTCCACAAAATCTTCTTGAGTCCATGGATACCCAGCCCCATCTTTATTTCTGATCTCATGCAATAAAGCCGCACATGCCTGATGCTCCTTGCTTGTGGGTATGGAAGGGATATAGCCATGGTACCGTGACCTAGGATATATGAGCTGTGGTGGATGTATAGACGCGATTTTGCTCGTTTGATATGGATTTAGGACTCGATCGTCAACTTCTGGAGGTAGTGTTTGATCGAGGACAAGCTGCTGAGCTAAAAGTTGTTGGTGCAAAAGTTCGAAATTATCGGTAGAGGTAGATTGAGCTCTGGTGAAGCTACCAGAGCGAGGCATTGTTTGCATGGAATTCGGCTCAGAATTGCTGCATTGAAGTTCTTGATGCTGCATTGAGTGATAGTTTGCGTTTGTAGTCAAGTATTGAGAGACTCTATTTGCACCTGACAATATTTGAATGGTTTTAAACTGGTGCTAGAGTGGTTGCTTGTTGAATTTGAGGGTTAAGTTCCTGACAATTTGCTCAGTATTCAATTTAAACAATTTGACCAGGAATAAATAGTCTACCTTAGAGTATTTATGTTGACCACATGGGAGGCTATCAGGTATTGCAGAAGTGCCATGGAACACTTGAAGATCTTATGACAATAAACAGCAATCAAGAGAGATTTCTTATTATTTCCAATTTGGATCAACTGTTGTTTTGACAATCGGAAAAACTTCCTACCAACCTTTGATGGAAGAATATTGGTGAATTTCGGGTAATGACAGTCGCACTGTTCAACATAAAGGATAGTCAGTGACTGCAACAGATGGCTAGCTCTGCATACAGAAAGCAAGCAGTAAAGACAAAGTATATATCATCAGAACAGCAAATTAAAATAGGAAAAAGGTCAAGTCAAAAGAAGCAAATTTGATTGCCTTTAGATATCAAAGAAACTTGCAGAGAGAAGATAAACTTAGTTACATTCCAGACAGATAGATATAGATTACATACTTGGTAGCTTTGAGGGAAAATATAATAACACTTAGTCAGCAGCACCAGCCACAGGCAACTTTTTCCTTTAAAAACATTAAATTGACAGTAGCTAACAAATATATTGGACTGATTGAGTACATTTCTTCAATTCAATAAGCTATACCCTTTCTTTCATCCTCTTCTCTCCTATAACTGTGGCGATTTTTTCCTGCCAATGCTCAAGAAGGCGAGATTTTCTGAACTCCGGTAAAGCCCACAACATCGCCTTGTTCCGGCCTGCTCCTCCTGTCCACACGAGTGCCCTTACTTTTAGGATATCTGTGACAATCCCAAGTGTTTCCGAATCAAATTCCAGGCCTGCGTGATCCATCTCCTTGAGTAGATCTATGCAAGTTCGAAAATCATCGTATCGTGACCAGCAAATGCGTAGAAGCTCGTTGTAAAGAGGGGTGGAGGCGCCAAGAACGTGGGAGAGGAGACCGAAGGACTTGATTCGCGGGAGCATGGTGAGGGTGAGTTGAGAGGGTCTACTGAAACCCCGGTCGAGAAGTCGTAGGCCAAGAAGGAGGTGTGATGGATAGAGCGGACCATAAAGGGCCAATGGGGAAATCTCAGGCTTAATATCAGTCGCAGTGGGGGGATCCTCTTCAATCGGAGGAATTTCATGGTCAAGTACTCCTCTTCTCAGCTGGTCTCGGCTCTCCTTGGTCTCTCCTAGACCCATTTTTGCAATGAGAGGGAATACTTCTTCTTCCAGAACCTCCCAGAGCTCAAAATCCGTTTCAGCATTGCGCAACAGCTTTTCGACTCGTTCACGTTCAGGTGCTCGCAATTCCTCCTGCGCATCGGCACCTAATTCCGAGGTTTCTATTTCGATTTCTAATTCGTCCTCTGGTTGGAGACCAATCGCCCTAGCAGCTGCAGCCCGAAGAGCTGGTGGATATTTATTGATTTCGGCTTGCCGTTGCTCCTTAGTTCGAGGCGGTAGGTTGGTCAGTGAAGATCCCATTATGTCATCGAGCTTATTCCGGGCACTATCCCTGTTCGTAGAAGGCCTGTTTTGCATGCGACCATAGTCAAGGTCGTTCAAAGATGTCCTTTGAGTCCGCGAAAAAATATCTGTAAATATACGATTGAAAGTATGCCTTTCTGAATCGGTAATGGTGGACTCGCGCCTCGGATATTGTGGACTGATTAATGCTTCGATTTCTTTGCCATATTCCACTAAGGTCTTGTCATCTTCCTCGAAACCAATAATTCCAGGTTGTGCAATATTGCCTTCTGATTCCAGTTCACTTTTCGGATATTGAGGTCGATTAGAATGGTTGTTCCTAGGTGCAAAAGTCATCCTTTTGATACGAAGTCCGGTATCTTCTTCTTGGGCACTGTAGTTTCCGTCTTGTTTTTCGTAGCTAGCTCGGGGTAAAGAGGTGTGAAAATTTGTTCGGCGGATCGAAGGCAAGATACTGTTTTGATATCTCCGGTTGCAGATAGACCTGTGCAGGCCTGCGATCGTCCTAGTCTGATATAAAAATGGCATCATCGTGGAGGATATATTTGAATATGCGATTGGAATAGCTTCAAGAGCTTTTATGGACGCCATTATTGGTTGCTGAGTAATAGGGTGAATTGTACTGTAGCATACGCTGAACTCTGAATATTCCGTAATAAATTTCGTAGTTGATGTTGATTTGAAGGCAGATATTGAAGACTCGATATTCCTTTTTCACCTCTTTTACCTCTTTCACCTCATGATTTTTTCGGTAACTTTTCCAGAGCTAAAAATTGATTGAGGTGCACGGGCCAAGTTAGCGACGCGACTTCATTCATTGGGAAGTCGCGTTAATATTACCAATTGTACTTCTACCAATGAGATAAGGATAATTGAACCACCCCCGAATAATTCAAATACTTACCTACCTAGGTAACTTCATGAACTTGTCCATAACTAACTTTGCAATTCTTCTTTTCAGTACAAACAACCACAACAGATATATATTTTCAATATGGCTCCGACTAAGAAAGAAAAGCCAGAAATGAGTGCTTTCGAGCGCCGCAGAATCGAAAATATTGCCGCGAATCAAGCAATGTTGAAAGATCTTAGCACGACAGCACAGAAAATTATCCCAAAACCGCCACCGAAACCCAAATCCACAGTACCTACAAAGAGAGCAGCCCCAATAAAAAAAGAAGCCCCTAGACCAACGCGCACAAGTTCACGTCTGGCAGGTATCCAAGCCGATAGCGAGACTGCGAAACGTAAAACAGAGGTCGAATACGACTTTGCAAAGGAAGTCTCACAAGCTAAGAGGCAGCGAGTTGCTGGAGACTTGAATTTTGGCGATATTGTTGTCGAAGGAAAGAAATGGAAAAAGGAAGATGGGTTTTTATCTGGTATCATGCGTGGAGCCCAGCCCAACTTGAGAACCTTTACCGAAGATGATATCAAAGAGACAACAGATGAAGGACTTAAAGACCTGAGAGAGAAAATGAGCGGATTAGAACTTTACAAGCCATTCGTGCCTAACCGTAAGACTTGATCAACCGAGAGACAATTTGATGCTAACCCCATGTTCAGAAATTAAAATTACTCCTGAACGAATATACGCTCTAGGGTTTCATCCAACAACAGACAAGCCTCTAATATTCGCTGGGGACAAACTGGGGAATGTTGGGCTATTTGATGCATCACAAGGAGGTTCGGAAGTAAAAGCTGAAGATGACGACGACGATGAAGAGGACCCGGATACCATAGAGCCAGCTATTACTGCATTTAAGATACATTCTAGGTCAATCTCATCTTTTGTGTTTGGTGCAGACGGGAACACACTCTATTCAGGTTCATATGATTCCTCAATTCGAAAACTCGATCTACAGAAAGGAGTTGCTGTTGAGGTATTCGCCCCGGAATCGCTAGATGAAGATGTTCCTATATCTAGCATCGACATACCATCCAATGATCCTAATATTTTATGCTTCTCTACTCTCGACGGTCGATTTGGACGACATGATATGCGTACGCCATCCAATAATGATATTTGGTACCTTTCGGACAAAAAGATAGGTGGATTTTCTCTACATCCATTGCATCCCCATCTTGTGGCTACAGCGTCATTAGATAGGATGCTCAAGATCTGGGATCTACGGAAAATAACAGGGACAGGTGACTCGCGATCTCCAATTTTGCTCGGCGAGCATCAGTCGAAGCTTTCCGTATCCCACGCTTCATGGTCCCCTGCTGGCCACGTTGCAACCTCTTCATATGATGACACTATCAAGATTCATTCTTTTCTCGATGCCGGTTCTTTTAAAGCAGGACATTCACTTGATGATGCGGCAATGAAACCTACAACTATTATCAAACACAACAACCAAAGTGGACGTTGGGTAACTATCTTGAAACCCCATTGGCAGGAACAGCCAGGAGATGGAATTCAGAAATTCGTGATTGGAAATATGAATCGATTCTGTGATGTTTATTCGGCCGAAGGGGAACAATTAGCACAACTAGGAGGTGATGGTCTCATAACAGCAGTTCCAGCAGTTGCCAAATTTCACCCTGTGGAAGATTGGGTCGCAGGTGGCACTGCGAGCGGAAAGTTGTGTCTTTGGATGTAATGATTTGGATTTCCACTTGTAAGATATTGTTAAATATATACCTAGGTATTGTTAGGATAGTGTATAATACATGAGTACTGTACTCGAGTAGTAACCAAGCTACTTATTTGGTGATTCAAAGAGGTACTTTCGAGTCATATTCCACGATTAAAATTTGCGGCTTTAAATAATTATGAACAAAGAAAACACGAAGTCAAATAAATAAATACTAGATAGATGGTGGGATGTACTCGAGTATATATTATTTCCATACCTAGGTCAACAAGGATTGATCAATCGCTCAGTCATTTTCTCTATCTCAAATCATTACTATTACCTCAAAACCCCCTTCTTCCTTCTATTTAAGAGATCATCCTATTGGAACTAAAGAATAACAATGCTGTGCTCAAAGGCAAATTTGCACTACCTTTCATGATTCGAGTACAGAGCACCCATTTTTTCTTACTTGTAAACCTTTTTATTATTCACATGTCCTTCCTTACCCATGATCAGTACTCCGTACAGAAGAACCCGATGATCAAATAAATCAATTACTTGTAAGCTCAGTAAATCGCATGTGAATTCAAATGAGAACTCACCTATCATTCGACTTTCCAGGGTATACCTACCTAGGCAGCCTACTCTAAAGTAGCCTAACCCATCCTTATCGATACCACCACCACGCGAGATCTTGACGTCTTCAGTTACCGGTACTTAACGGAATACACAACATCATAACAACGTCGTTCTGTATTCAAAACGCAACGACGAGAAGTCATCATCACCATGGCTCCGGACGAGGAGTTGAAGAAGAGGGTCTCCAGGAAGTTGACGAAAAGAAGGAAGGAAGGACATCAAGTAACCATGGAACTTCCTGAGCGCTTCCGAGACGGCGACGATGCGGACGAGGATTGCACTGCGCCTCATGGAAATGCTTACAACATGAATCAATCTGTATTTGGTATGATTGCTGCCGCTGGCTCAAAGGTTGATTTCAATGCCAGATTCGATGCGCAATCTAGCGACGAAGAAGATGATTCAGAAAAGCCAACACGGCAGAGCTCCGAGTCGCACATAAATGAAAGCCGTACAGATCCAACGACGGGGAAAGTCGATGGACATAGAAGGAAACTTTCCGAGAGCAAGTTGGTTCGATCATTTTCGCGAATGGGTTCTAGATCCAAGTCTAAATCGTCAAACATCGCTAGGGGTAGCCGTACCCCATCACCAGTGGGTGAATCTCCTCAAGAAACTACTACAACCGATATTAAATATCCACGACTTCAACCAAAAGACGCACCGGTTATGAGCAGAATGTTGGATGCCCGAGCAGAACTATCTTTGCGACCTAGTTTCGATATGCCTCGAAAATCAAAAGACCTTACAAAACTGGATGAAGATGGGAAGCCATCGCCGGATAGTTTGGCGGAGAGGTTGATGGAGATTTTTAAATTCCAGAGTCCAGAAGACGTAATAGAGGGTCAGTTCTGCTCTCTCTCTATCTCTCTATCTCTCTCTCACACAGGCATATGCTAACTAATTTGCAGAATATCCTTGCTGGCTGATGAAGAGTGTATTGCTACAAGGTTATATGTACATTACTACCAAGCATATTTGTTTCTATGCATACTTGCCCAAGAAATCTGTATGTTATTAATCTTGTCTGTAGTTGAGATACTAACGTCTTCGCAGAATGAAGTTGTCAAATCAGGATATCTATCAAAATCTGGTCTACGAAATCCAAAATATAATAGATACTGGTTCCGGTTAAAGGGCGATGTTCTTTCGTACTACACAGATCCATCAGATTTATATTTTCCTAGTGGTAATATTGATTTGAGATATGGGATCTCGGCGATGGTGACGGATAAAGAGAAAGGGCAAGACTCCACACATTTCATCGTCGAAACCCATCAACGGAAATTCAACTTCAAGGCGGATAGCGCCCCGAGCGCAAAGGAATGGGTGAAAGCCTTGCAAAAGATCATATTCAGGTCTCATAACGATGGTGACAGTATCAAGATATCACTACCCATCGAGAATATCATCGACATTGAGGACAGTCAAATAGTTGATTTTGCCGATACCTGCAAGATACGCATTATTGACAATGACGAAACCTATGCGATTGACGAGGTCAGTAAACTGACGCTAACGAAAGCAAACTGCTAACGAGTTGTCTAGTATTTCTTCTCCTTCTTTAGTTACGGCAAAGAAGCTTTGAACGTACTCAAACTCCTTGTCGAAGATACGACCGCGAAGAAAATCCCAGAGCAGCTATTATCCCCACTATCAACTACTGATAATAGCCGTGGTAGCTCTAAGCGAACGTCAATTCAAGTGGGCCAGCCTCACGTTCTCCCGCTTCAGACCAAGGCACCGGCCCTAGAAGAACATGTCCGGGCAACTCTGTCTCCTCTACTCTCTCCGGGGTCTGACAGTCCTCGAACCAGCAATGACATGAGCGGCTCAAGCTCAGATGTCTATCGCAGAAGCGTGGACCTCAATAAACACGGCCGACGAAGCGTCGACTTAAATCCATTTACTATGGAAGGCCGTAGAAGCACTAGTGCGAATAGTATCAGCACTAGACGCAGCCTAAGCGCGAATCGTTTGGATCGAGAGAAGCGTACTTCCAAGCAAGGATCATCGGATTCATATGTGCATTCTCTAGAGGAACCTGGGTCATCGGAGGCTGTACCGTCGGCAAGCGACGAAACGCAAGCGTCTGCTAGTCAGATACTGCGAGGTAGCGATGTATTTTTATCTCCCACCATACAGCGCTCGCCTTCGGCGGTATATCACCGGAACAAAGACGATTTCCAGAGTCCAGAATCTCGTTCCCTTGCCTCTCCGAGGAAGTCAACTGACGTTTCGCCAACACGTACACATCGGCCTCAACACGCTGCAACCACTGGCTCTATGAATAGCTCGAATGCCGGCCAAGTGGAGATTTCATCTGGTCCTTCATTACAAAGTATTGTTAAGGCTGGAACATATCCTTTACAAAGAGCCGCAGGATTTGCTGGCTATCTCAATAGACACTCGAAAAGGATGAGCACGCTACTTGCAACTGAGTCTATGGGTTATGTGGAAAAGGTCTCGGGGATGTGGAAAGGAGGCAAGAAGCACTATGACGAGCCCCATGGAATGCCACGTGACAATGAAACGTCTGGCATTAGGGATGATGATGATAACAAAGATGGTGCTACCCCCGCAAACCGATTTCGGGAACACTTTGCCTTGCCTTTCGATGAGAAGCTTCATGCGGCATACTTTGGTTATTTGCATCGAGTCCTTCCACTATATGGCAAAATCTACATTAGTGACCGATCTTTCTGCTTCCGCAGTTTATTACCAGGCACGCGAACTAAACTTATCCTTCCTCTGAAAGATATCGAGAACGTCGATAAAGAGAAAGGATTCCGGTTTAAATACTCTGGACTTGTAGTCACTATCCGAGGACACGAAGAAATATTTTTCGAGTTCAATTTAGCTGACGATCGAGATGACTGTGCAGTAACTCTCTTGCAGAATGTGGAAACAACGAGGTGGATGCAAGAATCTGGGCTTTTGACTATGGATGAGAAAGAAAGCGCAGAGACGGCTAGTGCCGAGCACAAAGCACTCCAGCAGGCACGCCGCGAGCTTCATTCCGAGCACGATATCAGTATGCCCAAAGAAGTCGATGGTGGATCGCCGCCAATACTATTTGATGACCCAAGAGCCTCGATATTGAACTTCAAACCTACCGAGTCTCTCCGTATCACTTGCTTGACCATTGGCTCTCGTGGTGATGTTCAACCTTACATTGCTTTATGCAAGGGCTTGATGGCAGAAGGTCACAAAACAAGAATCGCCACTCACCTGGAGTTCAAAGATTGGATAGAGTCACATGGTATTGCATTTGCGCCAGTGGATGGTGATCCAGCCGAATTAATGAGGATTTGTGTCGAGAATGGAATGTTCACATACTCATTCTTGAGAGAAGCATCTTCGAAATTTCGTGGCTGGATTGATGATTTGCTTAGTTCCGCGTGGAAAGCATGCCAGGATTCTGATCTCCTGATCGAAAGTCCTAGTGCGATGGGTGGAATCCATATTGCGGAAGCACTTCGGATCCCATACTTTCGGGCATTCTCCATGCCGTGGACAAGAACAAGAGCATATCCCCACGCATTTGCAGTTCCCGAGCATAAAATGGGTGGTGCTTATAACTACATCACCTACGTCATGTTCGACAATGTCTTTTGGAAAGCCATATCAGGTCAGGTGAACCGTTGGAGAAAGAAGGAGCTAGGCCTACAGGCTACGAGTCTGGAGAAGATGCAGCCTAACAAAGTTCCGTTCTTGTATAATTTCAGTCCTTCAGTCGTAGTACCGCCTCTTGACTACAGCGATTGGATCAGAGTCACAGGCTACTGGTTTTTGGATGAGGGATCAAAGTACACACCACCCAAGGAGCTTACTGATTTCATCAAAAAGGCCCGCGCAGATGGTAAACGGCTGGTATATGTCGGGTTCGGATCCATCGTTGTTGCAGATTCTGCAGTCTTAACTAAAACTGTCGTGGCTTCTGTTATCAAAGCCGACGTGAGATGTATCTTATCCAAAGGGTGGTCAGACCGTCTGGATAAGAAAAGTGCCAACGATGTGGAGGTACCTCTTCCTCCGGAGATATTTCAGATCAAATCTGCGCCACACGACTGGCTCTTCTCTCAAATCGATGCAGCAGCCCATCACGGAGGCGCTGGTACGACAGGAGCTAGTTTGAGAGCTGGTATTCCTACAATTATCCGGCCTTTCTTTGGTGATCAATATTTTTTCGGTCAACGTGTTGAAGATCTAGGTGTAGGTATTCTTATCAAAAAGATCAACGTAACCGTCTTCTCGCGAGCTCTCTGGGAAGCTTCACATAGCGAGAGGATGATTACCAAGGCCAAAGTCCTGGGAGAACAAATCAGAAAGGTATGTAGTTATTCACGTCTTCAATCTAAATGGTCGGCTAACAACTCATCAGGAAGACGGAGTGGACACTGCGATTCAGTGTATATATCGGGACATGGAGTACGCGAATTCACTCATCAAGGGCAAAGAAGGAAAGTCCGTAGATGATACTCTTGAAGATTCGGAAGAAAGTTGGACTTTTATAGGGGATGATAATGATCCGGAATTGGTTAGGCGAATTCATGATTGGGAGTCGATGGCGCATTCAGGTACTTTGAGCGATAAGAATGCGATGGCTTGGTCGGGTTCGGATGCTGCTTCTAGGGTGGTATCGCCGGCTAGAAAAGCGGCTTGAGATATTTTTGGGGGTGGGGAGCATGATGATATATAACGAACGGGTGGATATGAGTCGGGGATACATACTTTGGACTGGGTTAATGGGTTGGTAATCGGATTGGATGGGTTAGTAATAGGATGGATGGATGGATGGCTGGATGGATGGGTTAGTTGGGTACGTAATGTTTTATGTTATGTGAGAAGGGTGAGTGTTGGAGGCAAGGCTAGGCGAGAGGGATAACGTCTACAATAAGTCTGTCTGCAGATAGGTACCTACTATGATGGTGATATACGACGGGACAGCGATAGACACAGGGTTCAGGGTTATAGTTCAGGGTTATTATTATTATTATTATATCCATCCTACTTAATTTGTATTTAGAAGATTATGATGGAGATGGAAATGGAGATGGAAATGGAAATGGAGGGTGTGAGGAGGGTGTGGGCAGAGAGGAGGGGAGGAGTAGGAACGTTGATTTTACATATACATACACATACGCATAAATGTAAATACATATTTATAAAAGACGTAGATAATAGATAACAGATAATAGGATTGTTGATGATTTGAAGGCGTGTATGTATGTATACTGATATGGAGGATTATGATATATTATGGTACTCGGGTATGTTATGGTATGTTATTTGGGTAGGTGGGTAGGTAGATTGGTAGGTATGTTGGGATAGAATATAGTAGGTAGGTAGGTAGGTAGGTATATGATTGACTCTTAGTGCGGTGAGAGGTGATGGGGAATCGTGTTAGAGGTAGGTAGGTAGGTAGGTAGGTACGGAAACGACGGAATGGAAACTACGGAATGGCTATTAGGTAGTTATAAAAAAAAATTATAGTTTCTATTAGGAATTGAAATATTGTAATTGTAATTGTAATGAATATATTATATTTCTTTTATTTGGGTTGTTTGGTAGATAGGTAGATACTAGTGATATAATAAGAAGTATTAATAGGTTTTGATAAAGTGGGAATAATGGAATGTCTAATACTCGAGTAAATAATAAGCAGATAATAAAAAAGGTTATGAAATTAAATAGATTTCAATTGAGTTTATTTATTTAGTTAGATATAATGGTTTTTGTATTCCTTAAGTGAGATTGAAGTCAGATAATCAATAGTGAGTCAGGATGGACTGCAAACGGCAAAGAGATAAATGGTTGGTTTTGATTGGTTATGATTGATTGTGGCTGTGACAGGGGTGATAGGGGTGAAAAGAAGAACGGGTTTTGTGTAACGCACGTGATCTTTTGATATGATTTTAGGATGGGATGGATGGAAGGACCCTTTGTTACCTTTTTATAGGTATAGATATAGAATAGAGTGAAAGTATAGCAAAACCTCTTTATAAAGATACTGGATGTAAGGATAACCTCTCTATAAGGATGATATTTTCGGTCCCTTTTATATTTTGGTGACAAAAGAGGCTATATCCTTAAAACCTCCAATATAAAGATATCCTTAATATTTTGGGTCCCGAAATCCCTGTATATCCTTATTTTGAGTGGATTTAGGCCGGAAAGGGTAGGAATCTCATCGGATAATATCGGATCTTGGCTCAAAAGGGTAGTGATATATGAAGCACGTGCCGAATCCAATCATATGCACTTATACACGTGATTTCATGTGATTTCACGTGAAGTCCCGTGGTTGATATGGTAAGTTCCGGGCTCTCGATATAAGGATACCTCCAAATATCCTTATTTTTGGCGCTAAAAAAAGTATCCTTATGGAGAGGTTTTGCTGTATATGAAGCTTGAGTGTATGAAGTGAAGGGTGTTAAAGAAGTGAAGAAGGGAAGGCTCAAATGGGATGGGAGCGATGAAAGTGTTGAGATATATCCCCCTAGAACATTACCCCTCTCCTATACTTACAGTAATATGAATTTCCATCTCAATCTTCACTTCACTTCATTTCATCTTCACTCACTCTAAGCTGCTGCTAAATCAATGATCACGAGGTTTATCTGATTCTAAATGAAAGAAAAAAGTAGTGGAGCGATGATGATATTCGATTCTTGTTCTCCTCATTCATTCTTGATAACCCTTGTAAACTTCTTGTAAACCCTTGTAATTCTTGAACACTAATATCTTGTCCCGCTTCATTCACCAATTAAACTTAATCAATTCATTCAGCAAGGAACAAGCTGATTAACACCTATAAAACGGTCCATCTCCTCCTTTGTTAAATTCAGTCAATTTATCTTAATATATTTATGCCTTGTTGCCTTATTTCTCACTCCCATTTTACAACTACGTACTCCACACCCATCCACAGTATCTACCAGTCGCGTTCGTCCTCTCAAATCCTATCTACCATATAAAGTCAACAATTCACAGCCAACCATATTACTGAGTACAATACAATACCTTCAAATTTCCAAAATATCTCAACGTCTACCCATCTACCACTTTCAAATTTTACTTCGCAGAATTTCTATGGCTTCATATCAACAATCAAAAGATACATCAACTCAAAGAACAACAAATATCTAAATAGAAAAAAAGGTGAATATTCACAGATCGCAAAGCTACACAAGAAATGAGAGAATCCAGAATTCCCCCATCCCCATTCCTCACTCATCTCCTTCCCCAATTTGTGGCTTGCAAGCTTAAAAAAGTCTACATGGAATCTCACAACGCTGAACCCCGCGCGATATTTATGAGAGCTTTCAAAGAGCTTAAATTGAAATCGTAGGTCTTTCAACAGCTTGTAGATATCTATTGCATGTATTCTTGAAGCTTGCTTCAAGCTTTAAGCTTCTTCGAATTGCCTCTTGAAGAGTTGTTGCGCTTTGCTGTGGCCTTTCGTAGAACTTGTGGCTGATCTTTTGTCGTTTTGCGATTCAACTGTACCATCAAGCTCCCTTTCACCTCCGCGCGCAATCCGTTTCTTCTTCTTTTTGAATAACATTCACTGACGATCTTTCTTTATAAGTTAGGAACGATTCACCTAAGATTGCATGATCACAAAACAAACCGCAATTCTGCGAAGGAGGATATCAAAATGGGAAAGTCATTGAATTTGGGTCCAAATCTGAAGTACCCAATTACGGTTACCAAATTTTTGAAGAAACATGGCGACACCATCTCGAAACAAGACTCGCTCTTCGAATACAAATTTAAAAGTAAGCAACTGGTTGGCGATCCATTCGGTGAGCAATGGGAGGAAGAACAAACATTATATGCAGAATGGGACAGTCCATCCGAAGGTACCATCGACAAATGGTTAGTCAAAGCAGGGATGACAATCGAGAGGGATCAACCTGTTATCGACATTGATGAAAGTTGCTCGCATGCTGTCCAGTTTGCGGGACTTTGTGGAATGTGCGGGAAGGACATGACCGAGGTCTCTTGGGCCAGCAATGCGCTCGATAGCGACCGAGCTAAAATCAATATGATTCACGACCAAACACACCTCACAGTTAGTCAAGATGAAGCATCCAAGGCAGAAGAAGAATTACAACGACGGTTACTCAAGAATCGAAAACTATCATTGGTGGTGGATCTGGATCAGACCATTATCCATGCTTGCATTGAGCCTACCGTGGGAGAATGGCAGCGCGACGTCAACTCGCCCAATTACGAGGCCGTTAAAGATGTGCGGTCATTCCAACTCAATGATGATGGTCCTCGCGGTCTCGCATCCGGTTGTTGGTACTATATAAAAATGCGCCCTGGACTGGCAGAGTTCCTGGCGAAAATCTCCGAAATGTACGAGCTTCATGTTTATACTATGGGTACGCGAGCATACGCACTAAATATCGCAAAGATTGTCGACCCTGGAAAGAGATTATTTGGTGATCGCATCATCAGTCGAGACGAGAATGGAAATGTTACAGCAAAAAGTCTAGCTAGACTGTTTCCTCAAAGTACTCATATGGTGGCAATCATTGATGATCGCGCAGACGTTTGGCCAATGAATCGTCCTAATCTTATCAAGGTCGTTCCTTATGATTTCTTCACTGGTATCGGTGATATCAATTCGAGTTTCCTACCAAAGAGAGAGGAGCTTCCCAAAGTTCTAACACCCAAGAAGAAACATCATTCAAAGTCAGAGACTAGCACACCCGAGGTGACCGTCGAAACGCCTACGGGCGAAGTCTCAAAACCTATAGAACCCGAAGGAGATGATATCACACCTGCTGGAGGAGCCAAGGAAGAACCCACAATCGAGAAGAAGCCAAATCTAATCCTGAAACTCAACACGCTAGACGATGAGGCCTCATTAAAAGAACAAGCAGCAGAACAAGAGAAATTTTTGGAGCAACAATTACTGGAACGACCTCTACTTCATAAACAAGAACAACTCGACGAAGCGGACAAGAAACAGGAAGAGGCAGAAAAGGAGGTCGAAGGCGGCAGCACCGTTGAACATCATACGCATAGACACAGCGTGCTCAAAGACGATGATGCCGAATTAATTCATCTTCGACAACATCTTACTGATTTGCATAGAGCATTCTATGATGAATATGATAAAGCATTGGTCAATGTTCCAGGCGGACGAGTTGCACAATTAAAACCTGGACATTCAAGAAAGGTCAACATCAAGAATGAAGCAGCCGATCTTAAAGTTGTGCCTAATATCGCAGTTGTGATGCCACGTCTAAAGTATGAATTGCCACGTTACATGTCGGGAAGGTTTTGCTAACAAATTCTTAGGTCTCAAGTCTTAGATGGCTGTGTCATTGTCATGTCGGGCTTAGTTCCTTTGGGGGTTGATCTTATGAGGCAAGTTGATACCATCTATAAATTCATTTCACAAAAAAAGTTATTGCGTATATATTATATATTGTGGGGTGTGGCAAGGGGAAGAGCGAGGCTAACCAAACTCAGATCTGAGATTGCTCAGCAAATAGAAGGTTTCGGTGGCAAGATTCACAAAAGGTATGTTCATGACATTTTTTATAATATTAGTCGCTAATGTATCATAGGGTTTCAAAAAGAGTCACTCATGTGGTTGCATCTTCTCAGAGGACTCGTACACAAAAAGTCCGAGAAGCAGCGAAATATCCTCACATAAAGATAGTCACACAACAATGGCTTACACAATCCTTCAGCAAGTGGAAGAAAGATGATGAATCAGAGTACTTGGTGAGTCAACTTCTTGTATTTCGTCCTGTCAATCACTAATCGATAATTCAGGTCGAGATCAACCCAGCGGATAGAAGAAAAAGTGGTGATCTGTCTAATGATCCACCTCCTGGTGATGACAGCGAAGAATCTTCGGACTACACGGAGAGTGATGATTATGAAGATGATGAATTGAGAGGCCAAAGGCAGGAATCCGAGTTAGACGGAGCAGGGGTCATACCAGATGATTTGGAAGCTGGCATTTCTCCTATCGAGAGACTTCGTGAAGCCGATTGGAGTAGTATGGATGACGAATTAGCTGATTTCCTGGGTGACGACAATGATTCAGGCACAGAAAGCGACACAAGCTTGACCAGTCGGGCTTCTCGGACCAGTTCAAGAAGAGGACACAAGCGAAGATTGGACGATGCTACAGACGACGATGACAGTGAAGAAGAAAGCACCATGGTGAAAAAGCAACGAATAGCCAATTCGAGGACAACAAGTTTAAAATCGGTCAAGATACCCGTTGGTGCTTCGGAATCAAGTCTTCTTACACCAGGTGTAACAGGTGATGAGAATGATGAGATAGACCAATTGGCGGCGCAAGTGAGCGATCATAGTTTTGAGGATGAGTTGGAGGCGGAGATGCAGGCGGAGATGGAAGCTGCGCTTGAACAGGAGCTGGCGGATGCAGCAGCATCTGGTGCTGGTTGATTTTACTGTTTCTCATCATTGCATCTGAGATGTTCTCGGGTCGAAACTTGTCTCACTTCGAGGAGAGGAATTGAACATGAAGCGAATGAAGGAGAAAGGACTTATGTTGTTGTGTGTGCACTTCATGCATGATACCAACGAGAGGTGTTTCAGGGAGGGGAATTTTGGGTGATAAGGAGAATTAGGAGAATCAGGATTGGGATTGGGATTGGAATTTAGGAACGGGGTTGGGTGGTTTGCTCATGTGCATTTAGTGGGCGTTGTTATTACTTTAAACTGTGCTTTTGAGTTTGAGTTATTATGGAACTTTTTTATTTTTTTTGAGTTCTTGAGTTGAGTTTTTATGGGTTTTTGATGAGTTTTGTGAAGGTGGAAGGAATGGATGGGATGGGATGGGATGGATGAGCTTTGTGAAGAGATGAATGGGATGAATGGATGAATGGATGAATGGATGGATGGATGAATGGATGAATGGATGAATGGATGAATGGATGGAATGTTTATGAGAGATGAGATGAGATGATGTGCGAGAGGTGGTTTGTGAGGGGAAGCTTGTGGAGGGCGGCTGCTGGGTGCTGGGAGGAGACGTAGGAGGGAAGGGGGAAGGGGAATGGGGAGTGGTTAGGGTCGCAGCGGGAGTTGGAGTGGGAGAGGGAGAAAGTATGGTGAGAGCGAGATAAAGATGGATGGAGATATGAATGAATGTATGGATGGATGGATGTACATGATATGAAATGATATGAATGAAGAAATGGATGGATGAATATTGATGTATAAACGGATATGAGATGAATACCGATATATGTTTGTTATTCATCGAAGGATATCATATCTATTTATCTATTTACGCATCTAGATAGCTACCTAGTACTTATTTATTTATCTACCGGTATACCAGTACTCGATCAAGTACTTATAGTAGTAGTACCTACCTACCTAGGTTTAGAGTAATTTCAAGTTTGTAGTTTGATATTTATAATGATAGTACGAGTAATACTATACGAATGAATATATGTCTATCTCTGCACAGACCGAGATAAGACCCACTTCACTTAACTTAGCTTAGCTTAGCTTAGCCACAAAAAAGCTTGAGCCGGATATATCAGGCATGTATGATTGGGTAGGTAGATGGATGTTGATTATCCGGCGGGCAATCGAGCTATCGATCGACAAAACACACCATATCACACCAGATCCTACCCTACCTAACTCGACACGATCCGATCCATTGAAAGCAGATTATTTACGACGACGATATCGATAAATAGGAAAAGAAAAAGAACGAAAAAAGAGAAGAAGAGATACAGAGGAAATACGAAGGGAAGAAGGGAATCGAAAAAAGGGATAAAGATAAGAAGAGAAGTAGAGATAAAGAGGAGATAAAGAGGAATTAAGGAAGAAGGGAAGAAGGGAAGAAGGAAAAGAGAATTGATAAAGAGAAGAAAAGAAGAGAAATCATTCAATATGCCTCAGGATATGCCGCCAGTGGGTGGCTATGGTGCTGTGCAGTATAAGGTGTGTGTGGGAATTCTTCTTTTTTGTTTTGTGGGGGGAGGGAGAGGGGGAGAGGGATGGGAAGAGAT